GCGAAAGCCAGCAGCCTGCGTGGGCATCGGTGCCCTAAGAATTCGGTCATTTGGAGAAGCTTTCTGAATCACTTTTCCACTTTGACGCTTTGGAGAAGCTTTGGAGAAGCAGAATTTGTAATTTCATCATTGAAGCTTTGGAGAAGCATTTGGAAAAGTGGATCTCTTTTCCACTGTTTTTGCCTTAGCGTCTGCAACTTTCCCAATTCCAATCGATTATTTCTCTCACATCGACGTTAATAAAAATAGAGAGATGAAGAAAGCTCAGGGAAATTGAATTCCATGCCCTCAAAGGCTGAATGTATACGTCCACATATGAACCCTTGGCATGAACCCCTAGTTTATGCTAACGGCGCTGCTAGCTAATTGACCGCAAATTATGGCTCGATGATGGGAGGTCGGCCTTTTAAAGGGTCCAAAATGGCCACGGCTTCATAGAGGGACCGATGCAATCAGCATTTGGTGCCCGGTTCCGCATTTGACCCTTTTCTAGGGGTTGGTTCCCAGCGTCCATTCTTTTCAATCGTTCTTTTCAATATCCGGCTGTTTCCCTGGGCTCTTTCGATGGTTTCCTGAAAAGATCCGGATCCCTGGGTTCAGAATGGAATTGGAAGCTACCCCTAGAGCTTTGCTTCTTTGAACAAAGGCAGCCCGGCGCCTGCGCCCCGAATGCAAAGGGTCCTCAATCAAAAGCAATGCCCAATCAGGTCACTTCCCCCGCCGCTGAAAAAATGTGAGTCAAAATGGCATGACCTGCGTATCCCTGCAGTCAACAGTAGCTTCTTCATTTTGAGCCACACCCACCTAAGAACAAAGGCCAAAGGTCCGCCAATATCTCTCTCCCATTCATAAACCCCTTGCAGGGTTCACATTTCGGAGGAATCACCCCCCCGTTGGGCTGGTTTGTGCATACGGCGTCCAACTCGAAGCCAATACTAAACTCACGATTTCTCCTGCGAACCCCCAACTAGTGGCTTAATAGGGCAGAGCCTATCTTCGGGGCAAAAGAAGGCCGAAACAACCGAAGAGGAAGGAACAGGGGCCCCTGTCAACGTGTCCTGCAGTGTTTGTTTCTTATTGGCGGGGGGGCGCCCGTTTGATTCTCAGGGGCAAGGGAGTAAGCTCAATGTGATCCGCCAAACATATATATATATATATATGTATGTCTACATATGTATATATATATATATATATTTATGGACGCGTCCACCTGCAATTTGTTTCCACCATTCGTCCAACCCCTGAATGAAGAAGTGACTTTCCCGCAGTAACCTGACCCGAAATTCACGGCTCTCGCTCCTTCCCCCTGGATCCGTCGCCCCGCCTGCGCGGAGAGCGACCAGATGCCGCCCCCCCGCAGCTGGCCGAGACCTGCGCCGGGCTTTGTACCTCGACGAAAGATGATCCAAGGAAACCACAAGGGGGAAGACCGAAAGGGAAACCAAGAGGAAACCAGGTCAAAAAGGGGAAGCCGTAGAAAAGGGAAAACATGAAAAAGGAGAAACCAAAAGGCAAAAAGCTCAAAAAGGTCAATTCGCTTTGGGCAGGCGAGATCCACTTCACACCAGTTACCTGGTTTATCCGATCCCCCACTTCTTGAGTGGACTTGCCAAAACAAGTGTACACTTTCTGTTTATCACTATGGTCCAAACCCAAACAGCTTGAAGTCCACCTCTGAAAACACATCCCACTCATAGCGTTTTGTGCATCCCAACTTCTGCAGGAATTTGCCATCTGCATTGTTAATCAAAGGAAACTTCCAGGGGCCTGAAATTTCCGGACACCAATCGACCTGATAGACTTGACCAACAGGATCTATTTAAAGTGGCACGCTGCTTGCAGCCCAGGGTTGAGATATGTGTATATATCAATACATACATACCTCGCCAATTATATGGCCATGGGTCAAAAGCCCCTACCCCCAGTGAACATCCCAATCCCCACTAACATAGACTAACATGGGCCCAAAATGGGATCCCATTGGTGTTGACCGCAGCAGCCATATGGTTCCTGACATTCCTGGGGATTTTTTTTGGCCCCAGGATTGTGCTTGTTGGGAGCCGCTGTTTGCTATCTTTTTCTCGGACGCCAACCCATTGAGGGGTCTAATTTCAGTGGCTCGCAAAGACACAAAAACAAGGGAAACCAGGGTCATGAACATATCCCATGGCACAATTGAAAAACTGTTATTACCTGGTATTGTATCACAAAAGTGGGACAAACTGACAACACCCTCATTCCTAGCACGCTGATAGCTGAATTGGGAAGTGCTCAATGTTAGAGTGAATCCTTCATTTTGGTTGGATACACTTTCTCGGGGCCCCTTCTTGCGCTGAGAAGTGGCTTTCCCTTGGGCCGGCCGGGTGTTTTCGTTTTGGGGGGGGGGGGGGGCAATCCTCGGATACGGCGCGGCCTTCATCCTGCAACAAGTACTGGCCGGTGTGCCGATTCAGCAGCACATACCTGGCACATGTGTTCGGAAGGCCTGAAGATTGGATTGGACGCTCGGGTTGGGTTGGCGTGGCGTTTTGGGTACGCTCGGCCTTGGGTTTAGATCGGAAAGACGGTGGATTCAGGTTGCTTAGGCTGGGTGGCAGCGTGGGTTTAGGGTTGGATTAAGTTTAGTCTAGGGTTGGTTGGAGTGGGCTCAGGATAGTTTAGGGTGGAACCCAGGAAAAAGAAACCTCTTGGTTGATTGAAAGAAGGATGTCCCCTTTTAGGGGGATTCGTTACTTATGGGAGATGCTTCTTCTCCCATAATGAGAATATGAGGGACCCCCCCCTTGCCAAAGGACCTTCATGTTCGTTCAACCCGAGGTGAACTACTTGTATTTGGGCAGACTTCCCGATTTTTTCCTCAGCTTCGCTTAGGGCTTTGGATATTTTTGTGGGGTTTGGTCCCATTTCCTCAAAAATTCGGGGGTTCAAAAACCCGCAATTTCACACATCACCACCAACACGGGGAGCCTTACCGGGGGCCTTCCATCGGGGGAGATGCCCCGACACGCCGACCTGCCAGGCTTCACCGATGCCGCGAGAAGCACCGCAGCCGCCAGGCCTCGGTGCGAGGAGAAGACCGGCGAGGGGGTCACCTCACCCTAGGAATATCATTCCCCCCAAACTTTGCATCGGATTTTTTCGTGTTGGTGTCCCTTGGCAGCCACCCCCGCAAAAATTGGCCCCTCCGAAAAAGATAAGCCAACCATATCATGAAGTACGTGCCAACACAATGGACAGGTCGTCCCCCACGATCCCTGACAGCCTCTTCAAGGCCCAGTCAAAATGGATTGGCCGCTTCTAGGCCCCCAGCACAAGCTGAAGGCCGAACCCGAGCTCGCCATGTCGCCGCCGCATCGTGCAAGACGTGGCGTTTTGCACAAGTCTGGCTGTATCTTCTTCGGCTAGGCACACTTTGGGCGCTTTTGGTGGATTGGCTTAAAAGGACGCCGTAAAACCATCCATTTGAGAGTGCCTTTTAAAACGAACGAGCCCAAGTGGTACAAGTTGGGGCGTTGAGTGCTCTTTGATTGTATCCCTCCCACTTGGTGGAGCTGAGTTTGAACCCTCAAATCAGCTTTGGACCCTTCCCCTTTGGCTTCACAGAACGGGTTGAATGGCGAGGTTAAGCCATGACGGTGCTCCAAACCCAAAACATGCATCTCCCGGCTGGTGAATTCCAATCATGGAAGTGAAAGCTGCGCAAAATGGGAAAAGCAACTTGAGGGCTTGACCACTTTGAAACAGGGTTCCTTAAAGGATACATCCAGAAATCAGCTGATTTACGCTGAGACCCTCTGAATCAGCTGGCAAATATCTGGCAAATGCGACGTTTTAAGTTGCCCCTGCTGTAAGGATCCTGATGAAGCCAACTTGAGGAGTATTTGGGGAACCTCCAGCAAGAATGTCACCAGTTGGGTTTGTCGTTTTAAGGCTTGACCCCAAAACAAGTGATTTACTCATCTCCTTTTCCAAACCAACCAACAAGGTGTACCTTGAAAAAATGGCAGACCCATTTGGACTGTTGTTTGCCACTAATCAGCTTCCCTCCAAAAAAAGTGTTTGGAGCCCGGTGGTTAAAGGTTGGCTTCCCGTTTAGCCTCTACAAGAAAGAACAAGGGGTTCAAATGCCCAAGCCACCAACATGACCCCACCCTTAATGAGAATGAACGGGGGGGGAGAGGTGAAATTTCACATGGACGGGGAGTGCATAGGGTATTTCATTTATCTTGGGGCACTTTGGGGCCTTGAAACATCCACCAACTAAACCAATATCTCACTTCCTCCGGTGGGCTAGAAAGTCCAAGCCTTCTGTCAACTAAACTCGTCCTCCCAAGGAAGTTTGGCCAGTAGGTTTAACTATTCGGGCACCACACCTAAAGGTTCACTGGAAAGAAGAATCGGCAGCCTTTATGTTGGCTGAACATCTGACTGACGGGAAGCCCCTCCAAGAAAAATGGCACCACCCACCCACCCACCCACCCACCCACCCACCCACCCACCCACCCACCCACCCCACCCCACCCCACCCCACCCCACCCACCCACCCACCCACCCCACCCCACCCCACCCCACCCCACCCCACCCCCACCCCACCCCCCACCCCACCCCACCCCACCCCACCCCCACCCACCCCACCCACCCACCCACCCACCCACCCACCCACCCACCCACCCACCCACCCACCCACCCACCCACACACCCCCACACACGCACCCACGCACGCACGCACCCACCCACCCAGCCAGCCAGCCAGCCAGCCACCCACCCACGCACGCACACACTCACTCACCTCACCTCACCTCACCTCACCTCATCTCTCCTCATCGCACCCTGCCTCACTCACTCACCTCCTTCACTCCTTCCCTCCTTCACTCAAAAAACAAAAACAACAACAGGGTAAGCTCATGCAAACCCCCTCAAAAGAAGAAAGCTGCAAGCTGCTGGGTGTCTGGGAAACTCCTGGGATTGAGCCTCTGAGCTGGGCGACCCGTGAGCCTTTTTCACCGCTTCTCAGCTGTGCGATCTCTCCAGCGCCGGGACTCCTTGAGGCGGCTTTTCACAGCCGGCCCCCGCGGAGGAAAAACACGCGGGCAGACTCCGGTTTCATGCGTAACCGTAAACTCCTTAAAGCGCAACATATCGGAGAAAGAGAGAGAAAGAGCGAGAAAGAGAGAGAAGGGGAAAGGAAAAGAGAAAGACGAAGGTAAAAAGTAACAAACAAACAAAGAGAAATATAGAGAAAGAGAGGGAGAAAGAGCGGGAGAGAGAGAGAGAGATAAAGAAAAGGAATGGCAAATTTTCCACAGTTGTACCCTCTGCGTATCCTTCCAGAAATTTTCCACAAAGGCTCAGGTTCTCACTTCCTATGGACGGAAAGAACACGTCGGAACTTCCTGACCATCAACCAAATTAACCAGCGTGGTCCAGACCACAAAGCACGTCTTCCCTTAAGCAAAACATGACAAAACACAATTTAATCCCCTTCACCTCAGAGTCACCTCACTTCCTGAGTGCATGGGCCTGAAAAAGTAACCAAGCTGTTTGTTTAGCACAAACATGGTCTTCCCAAAAAAATAAGTCCGGTCCTCGGTCCGGATTCATCCAATCATCATTGCTGGGGTGAAGGCGCCAGAATTTCAACCTTCCATTTCCATCCAAGCCATTGGCCCAGAGTCAGATGGTACACGTAGAACCTGTGTGGAGCAGCCGGCACAAGTTGCTTCAACTTCGGGAAGCCAAAAGGTCAGACGCTCGGCTTTGGGTAAGTGAGAGGAGGCAACCCGCCCGAGGTCTGGGCTACCGCCGTTGAGCCAATACCAATCCAACATGCTACGCTTTCCCGAAGCGTGGATTCTGCTACCTCTGCTTCCATTTGCGAATACGCCCCTGGAAAAATAAGAAAATATCTCCAGCGATAGATTCCCTTTAAGCCAACAGGGGCAAGTAACACACATTCTGAAACGCAAATGGACGTCTAGGTTGCCATCCCTAACCAGAACTCGTGGTAGCTCCTGTTTCAAGTTACATTTGGATACCCCCAACTTCCAGAGGGGAACCCCGGAACTTCCATTGCCACAGGGGAACCCCGCAAAAGGGGCCCCAGAAGATTGACTGTTTAGCCACTGTTTAGCCACGATTTGAAGGGTATTCACCCCAATCTACCATAAGGTAGTGAGGCCCCCCTCAAGGCCCCCCCCCCCACCCGCCCACTGCCAGGGGTATCTTATCCGCGAAGGGAACCGATACCTTGTGGTAGTAGAGGATCTTTATTTTGTAGGTCCCTGCATTTATTCCGGAGAGTCCAAGTGTCAATACTGATGAATTGATACTGGATTAGCCCTGGTTGACTGTGTGCTGTGGTTTACCTGAAAGTGGTCCGCTTAGCATCACGGATGCAATGGCTCAGTGAGCTATGTACATCTGATGTGTGACATGAAAGAACTTGAGCCAAACTTGTGTTGCATGGAGATGAATGGGTCCGAAAAACAAACAAAACAGACACAAATTTCTTTTGATCTCCAGCACTGAATTGCTATTGGCTTCTTGGCCTTGGGCCGTAGCCTTATATCGCCAGGAACCTCCCTAAGTGTTCTCCTTCCTTTTCTGATTGTGCTCCTTTGCTCTCTGAGTGTCTCGTTCCTTGCTTTCAGTTCGGCTTCGGATGTAGACCCATCAGCGGGCTGTGTGAATCGGCGTCACACGGGCCATTCAGGAACATCTCGTTGGTGATGTGCTTGAAACGCTCGGCTGATGTTGCCTGGTAATCGGAAATGATTAGCGAGGTCTTGACCTGCATCGTCTTCTTTTCCTCATTCGTCATGGACTCAATCTCGGATCTTCGGAAACGATTTTGGATCTCGGTCTTTCCCCATCCAAATACAATTGTCGTCATGTAATCCGGAAATGTTCGATCACATCCAGAACCAGTCTTCATATAGAGATGGTGACGAACAATTGCCTTCATAGTGCAGGAGGTAGCTGTGGCATAATGTATTCTTTCTTCAATAGGCATCCCCCTTGTCGTGTTCCATGTGTCTTGATATGTCTGCATGATGTGGTTGATCAATCCATACTCCGGGTTATAGACCCATTGCAATTTGCTGCAAGTGTTGGCGGATTTGTTGGCATCGCCGGTGATTGCATCGCATTGGTACGTGGTCACGAGTGGAAAGATTCCATTCTGAAAAACCTCTCTTGCTGCTCCATGAGTGATATTCGGATGGATATGGAAAACTCCAACTGTGGCATATGGAAGTCCGGCTCGAAGAATGTGTCGACTATCGTAGTCCGCATTCGGAGCCTCGGTTGACTTCGGCAATGCCCAGAGTCTCCAATATTGCTTAAATAAGAAAACCCCTTAAATTGACATCAGTATTGCTTAAATAAGCTGTTTTACCCAGCTTGCTTATTTAAGCAATATTGCTTCTTGATAGCGTGAAGGCCTAGAAAGTCAGGCTCCTTTAGAGGAGCTTTTTGTTGGCTAGGCTGGAAGAAAGTTGGGTCTCGCAACATCAGTTGAAACACCCACGGCACCTACTTGTCTTGGGAAGTGGCATCATCATCATCATCATCATCATCAGGTGTTGCCGGCATGTCTTACAAACTGGTACTGTGCGACTGGTGTCTGCATGCATGCATTTCACATTGCTGCAGCCCATTGGTCCAAAGTCAGGGTAACCTGTTTGTAGAGTGGCCATGGCCAGAAGAGCAACTGACAGCACACCAGAAAAGCTCGTGAAGGTGTTGAGAATTCACTTTCCTCGAGCCTTGGAAGACAGGAGGTGTGTTCCACCCAGACCGAACAAATAGTCAGTGACTATCAGGACTCTATTATAGAAATGGTGCTGCTCACCTCAAGGCCCACCATGGGCTGGATCCAAGCTGGTGCTCTGCAAGCATTCCAATGTAATTCAGCAGAAGAAGCCAAGATGTTTGCTCAGAGGCTTGCAGGGGCATCTGCCTTGTGCTTTTGCAAGAGGTTGCAAGTGACCTCTGGGTCAAAAGTGAGTCCTGCCATGAAGCGGATCATTCGAGCCATTGACAACTGGCAGGGGCCCTGCTCATTGGCAGACTAGCTCCCCTTGCAAAACTTCTAGGTGCCAAAGAGGAGCATCTTCCATAGAATTAAAACTATCTCAGTGGAGGCACTCTATGCTCCTGTTCTTGCTGTTCTTGGGCAGAAAGCAAATGGAAAACGCATTGAGGATACACCAATCGAAGCGGTCACCATCACTGACTCTACTCACTCTGACCAAATCCCAGATTATGTGGTTCGACCCTGCTCGCATGGCTCAGACAAGCAGGGCTTGCAATTGGCCTGCCGCAAGTTTCGGGGGCGGAAATGGATGATTTGCCTCACCCAGAGTCTGGCCCACGCAGAAAGAAGCAAAGAATTAGCTGGTCAGCAAAAGGCGACTCAGTTGGTGCCAGAAGGTGGGAGGATGTGATCTGACTTGGCCCCCTCCATGAAGAATACTGATCTGAATTTGGATGCAGGGGAAAGAACTAAAGGATAAGTAAACGAAAGATGTTTGATATATTGAATGGCAGGGCCAATGCAGGATGAGAGTTCCCATCAGGCTGGTGCAACCTCGAAAAAGAAGCCTGTGCAGCGCCTGCATTTGTTTCACACCCCCCTGCACACTCCTCTCCTCTGAGGAGTGATTCCTGGAATAGGTTACTTAGTTTAGATGGGGGAGTTGCATGATGTGTTTTGTTTTTCTAGCAGCAGATACGCTCCTCAAAGGAGAAATCATCCGTTTGATCCTGGGAATTCACAACTAACTATGGCCGCATGCATTCTGAAGCCCAATGTTGCATCCTGGCCAGGCAAGACCACACCCCAATGATACTGTGGCTGTGGAGAGAATCCTTGCATGTTTATGTGGGCTAGTACCTGAACTTAGTCTGATCAATCCACTGAATGTGGGACAAGGTTGAAACTGTTTTGGAGTCAAACACTGACCTCAACAGAATTTGGGACACTTGAGGATGCTGCACTTCGGGTACTTTCTGGAATGCCTGGAGCCCAAAGATCATGATATTTTGACATTTGAACCAACGTGGAAGCTGGCCACATATCTAAAAATGTGATTGTTAAAAAGTTAAAAGTTTGATCTTTTTTTGAACTGTTAAAAATTACAACAGCATAGACCCCACATCACACCACAGCTACGAACCATGACGCAGCATCATAACCGTTCCCGTGATGATGTTGACAGCATCCTGATGATACCACAGGCGCTCAGCATGGTGCGCTGAATGGACGCGCAGACAACGTCCTTATGATTTCAGCCGCATAATGATGATTTTGACAGCATCATGCTCATGCAACAGCCACGAACGATTCCGCGCTACATATCTAGCAGAAAAAAACGCAGAGACGACGTCCTGATGAGTTCGACAGCACCATGATGTTGCGGACAGCATCATGGTGATGGTAAAGGCAACATCATGATGATACCACAGTTACGAGTTATCTTGCGACAACGTCATGAAATTCAGCATCATCCTGATGTTGACAGCATCATGGCGCCACCACACCCACGAACCATAACGCAGCATCGCTGTGACAGCAGCATCATGACGTGGTTGACAACATCATGATGATACAGCAGAACCGCATGCCCCCCTAGCACTCGCCCCCGGCTGTCAAGCTCGCAAAACAGCACCTCCACCAGCAAACTACATGCCCCCTTGCACTCGGCCGTCATCGAAAAGCGGCACCCCAAACTGCATGCCGCCCAGCACTCGGCCGTCAACCTTGCAAAGCGGCACCTCCACCAGCACTCCAAACTGCATGCCCCCTAGCACCTGGCCGTCAATCTCGCAAAACAGCACCCCCACCAGCACCCCAAACTACATGCCGCCTAGCACCCGGCCATCAATCTCGCAAATCAGCCCCTCCACCAACACCCCAAACTGCATCCCCCCTAGCGCCCGGCCGCCAAGCTCGCAAAACAGCACCTCCACCAGCACCCAGCGCTGCATGCCCCCTAGCACCCGGCCCTCAATGTCGCAAATCACTTTTGCTTCTTTACTAGAAGTTAGAACCCCTATAGCTTTCAGCTACCTGTGGAAAAACACTTTCCTTTTACTTTTAAATGTAAACAACATTTTTAACAGTTAAACAAATGTTAAAATGTTTACCTTTTTTTGAAACCATCACATTTTTGATATATGGTGTGTTTTGAGTGATTTGGCTCAAACTGAACATACCCTTGATCACTTACTTTGTGCTTTGAAAGCATGGCCAAGAACAGCGCTGCAAAGGCAGCCCCTAAGAACATCGCCAAGCAGAGAAAGGCTGGAAAAGATGCTGCAAACAAATTCATTGAGGTTCGTGCTGCTGGGGTTGACCGAAAACAGATCTCGAGCTTCCTGACGCCATTGAAGTACAAGGCCAAAAACGCCAAGGAGAAGCACACAGGCTCAGCAGCTTTTAGAGGCGTGGAAATCATACTCCCATATGACTGCAGTGTTTAGGACCCAATTTTTAATTAAGGCAGTCACTGTGTACTCACTACAAGTTGGCATATGCTTTTGGAGTGTGTTTTTCGAGTGTGCTGGGATTCCCCAGTATGTTATGTAGATATCTACCATTAATCCTTGTTTTTTCTTAAGACCCTGTGCTCTGCAACATAACCGACACCAGTACCTCTTAATCAAAGCACTACCAGTGGTGTCAAAGAGGGTTTGATGTGTCCTGGCCGTTTTGTGGGATGTCTTACATGTGCATGTCCAGCCTTTTTGTTTGAACTATGAACCATACTTGAAACTTAAGCATAAGCTACAATACTGGATAAAACTTCTTGATATTGATGGTCTGTCGTTCTAGGTGTGGGACCCAAATCCTGAAACTCAACGAGTTTGAATGGTACCAGATGGAAACCAAGGACGCCCGCAAGATCCTTAAGGGATTGTTTGAGGATTGCTACAAGGTAGACGGTCTGGTGGACAGTACCGAGAACCCAGCCTGATTCACCCCAATTCCATGATGGATCCCAATCTTGGTCTGTCCAACCAGCATATGTAGGCTCGGTGCTGATTGGCGGACTGCTCCTCCAGATTCTGCCGTGGCAGCGCACGTTTTTGGTTTTTCTTTGTCATGTCCGCCTTTTCCTTTGCCACTGTCACAGGATGGGATAACCTTTGTTTCCATCATAGGGACACTGGAACTTCGATTTTCCTTTCTTCCATTTCTTTTCTTTGCCTTTTCCCCAATAAGCCTGGTTGTAGGGATCCTGATTTTTGTTGGCCATATTGGCCTTCCCGCCGGAGTCACTTTTTCGAAAGGGATTGAAGCCTCCGCGTTGGTGACTGCCCTTTTTGCTTCCTGATTTTCCTTTTACTTTTCTCTTCTTAAACCTGACAGTTCGCTCAGACACTTTCCTTGCAATGAACGCACCATTCTCCTCCAAAACCCACAATGTCTCTTCATCATTGGTTGCCATGAATCCTTCCAGTCCTTCTTCATCTTCCACCCAGAAGCCTTCTTCACCTTCATACTTCCCTTGTTCTAGGATGTAGAAAGTATTACTCCGATTTCCTCCACAAGGTCGGATGGGTGGATCTTGGATGGATGTTCTGGTCGTAATGAAGAGATCATGATACTGTGTCTTCATCATCTCATAGGTGTAATTCTCGAGCGTTTCTTGAAGACATTGCTCTGATGAGTGCGCAATGAGATTGTCGCTGAGGGGCAATGCGTCCTTGTGTCTTGTCTGCATGCCGTTGAGGTACTGCCTGAGTACTTCTGGATTGTTTGTGGACAGCGGATTTGGAGGGGTGGCGCTGACACCGGCTGCTTGCTGATGCGCGGCCATTCTTCTTGCATTGGCATCGTGTACTGATGCTATGAACTCTGGTGACTGTGCAGTGTGAACAGGCATCAGGCTGCCTTCAATCTCATTAAGAGAATTTCAAACATTGATGTGAATATGAGGAACTTGATGTTCTGCCTTCTGTGATTGAAGAAACTGAGAAGTCTGTATAAGTACACGTTCGCCGAGCCCTTCAGGAAGAATTTCTTCAGCGTGTTCTTGAAATAGTTGACTCCTTCTTGGACTGCCTTGTGCGTATGAACGCCTCCAATGAGTCTGCTCTTGAGGAGTGGTCCTCTCTTGGATGCTTCGATGGTGGTGAAGGTCACCCAATCATCTACGAGTTCTTCATATCTAAACCAGCTGACTTTTCCGTCGTACGATGGCGGCTGCTTGGCGGTCATCGATAAATTGAGGGTCTCTTCAGTGAAGCCGGATGATCGGCCTACACTTGAATAGGCCTCCATGAATCCTTCTCCATCGGATGACATCTTGTTTGGATCTGTGCGGAATACCCGCCCCGCTACCACAATCAATTCAGGCCCGCTGACAGGGGTATCTTATCCCCGAAGGGAACCGATACCTTGCGGTAGTAGAGGATCTTTATTTGGTAGGTCCCTGGATCTATTCCGGAGAGTCCAAGTGTCAATACTGATGAATTGATACTGGATTAGCCCTGGTTGACTGTGTGCAGTGGTTTACCCTGAAAGTGGTCCGCTTAGCACCTTTGCATCACGGATGCAATGGCTCTGTGAGCTATGTACATCTGATGTGTGACATGAAAGGCCTTGAGCCAAAATGGTGTTGCATGGAGATCAATGGGTTCGAAAACAAACACACACCGTCCCCCCCCCCCCTCGCCTTGCACACCTCGTTCTTCAAACTCTCCGCGCAGAGTTCCGCGGATCCCTCGGATCGCGAAGCCGAGAAGCGGCGCTGCCATCGCCCCGTGCTGTACGGAATCGGGGCGACGTGGTCGGCCTGGCCGGCCTGGCTCCCCACGTGTAATCTTATGTATGTATATATGTTTACAGAGTATAACATGTCTTATGCTCTATATATACCTATTATTATGCACAAACACGTGTATATATATATATATATGTGTATGTATATTTCTCCTGGTGAAGGTTCCGTGGGCTTCAATCAACTTGAAGCGTGAGGTTTACTCGCCGAGCAAAATAGCTGTTCTTCCCTGAGCAAAATGGCTCACCTTACCTTCATGGAGCCAAAGATAAGGGAGAACGATGGAAACCCACAAGGCAAAGGTCGAATTACAAAGGTGAGGTCATGGGCCCATTGCCAGCAAACTGTGCGTTCACGACCTTTTCGGCTGGGTCAACCACTTGAACCATCGGGTGTTTGCGAAAAGCCGACACACAAAAACAAACAACTGTACAGTGGCCCAGCAGGCACCAATAAATAAATTGACTCCAATTCATGGCGTTAAGGACACGTTTCGGCTTCCGATTCTGCAAATGTCCTGGCTGAACATTGGTCTAGGTCCTCCAGTAGAGAGGTTAGAATAAGGGCACCCGTTTTTCTGTGGTAGGGAAACCTGCAATAAATATCACAAAGGGCGTGCAAAGAAACGAAGCCGACCCCGCAATAAAGTCAAGAACTGGGACTTGGGGCCGGCTCCGTGAAGTCTAGACCCCCCAAAAAAGGCACGTCAAGTGGCTTCGCCTTTTGGCCGCGTTTCTTGGATTTTGCGGGGTGGTGTGAAACCTTGCGTTTGCCATTAAAATAAACACACATACACACAGAGAAAAAGAAAAAACTGAAAAACAAAGGGGGGCGGGAAGGGGCGTGAAAACTCTACAACTCTGCAACTGCAGGTGTGAGAAAAGTGCAACTTGTGCTCAAGATGCCCGCAATTTATTGGGTCACATGCAAATCCCCACTAAACACTAAAAGGCTAAAAAGCTAAGGGGATGCGATTTGCAACTCGTAGTGTTGGAAGGTGTTCTTGCAAATTTCCGAGGGGTTGGCTCCACATTCCTTTCCAAACCAGTTCCAATCTCCTGCCTCCTCTGACGTTCGCCATGCCACGATCACAAGCATGAAACCGCAAACTATGGGGGGGCCGTACCCCTTGTTCCAACCCCACCAGTTGTTTCACATCCATTGTGATCCTTGCACCAGTTGGGATTGGCGGCTTATCAACCACTATTCAGGTTTTGCACATGTTCCTGGTGCAGGAGATTGTCTAATATTGCGGATTTCATATGTCCAAAACCAAATTCTTTGGGAGGGCTAGACAAAAAACAGGTTCTTGGCAAACCATGAGCGGGGTTCCAAAAAAATGTCCGATGGTTTACGCGGGGACATGCAGGAGCATGCGGGGCTCGTCTCAGAGTTTTCCGGATTGAATTTGAGCGAGCTTTTTGTGCCCGAGAAGAAACAAGATCGCTGCCCACTTCTCCTCAACCCCTAATGGACCAATTGCGAATGCTGACCAAGCCTTGCTCGGCTCAAGGCCAACAATCAAACAAATTCTTAGACAGGCCAGGGTAGCGCTAGCACGCCTTCGGCTTCAAGCCGGCGCCAGGACAGCCAAACAGCATTTAGCCAAGCCGCCCAGTCACTGTCTCTTGCCTCACTATGCCAACGCTATCGCCATGTTCGGCTTATGTCGGCTTCAAGGGAACTCCAGGGCAGGCACTGGCTCTTGCTTCACTGCCGATAGCGTTCACTTTCAGCATATCATTCCGATGCCATGACTGAAGCCTGGCAGCCTTCCGGAGCTTTGGCCTCGCCGACTTGATCTATTTGGCTGGCCAGACGAAGAATCCGGCCATTCACGGCTCGCTGCTGGGCAATCTGCTTCATCTTCCCTTGGGCCCGACAAAGGTGGAATGACGGACAACTGAGCGGCAAAACGTCTAATTAACAGGTGAGCCCTTGAGCCCTTGGTCTGGCAATGATTCATCACAAGGAAAATTTCACTTATAGAGTGCTTCCCTAAACTTAAAACAGCCCGAGACGCAGGGACGGACACTTATCCGCCCACGGCCCAGGATTGGCATGACTTCGCGCCACGCAAGGATTACAGACATGCAATCGGCAAACCTGAGTCCCCAACGTACTCCTTGTACCAGCCCCACCAGTTGTTTCACATCCACTCTGATCCTTGCAGCAGTTGGGATTGGCGGCACATCAACCTGTATTCATAGAGTTTTGCCCATCTTTCCTGGTGCAGGAGTTTGTCTAATATTGCAGACTTTATAGGTCCAAAAACCAAACTCCTACAAAAAAAACAGGTTCTTGGCAAACCATGAGCGGGGTTCCAAAAACATGTCCGATGGTTTACACGGGGACATGCAGGAGCATGCGGGGCTCGTCCCAGAGTTTTCCGGATTGAATTTGAGCGAGCTTTTTGTGCCCGAGAAGAAACAAGATCGCTGCCCACTTCTCCTCAACCCCAAATGGTCCAATTGCGAATGCTGACCAAGCCTTGCTCGGCTCAAGGCCAACAATCAAACAAATTCTTAGACAGGCCAGGGTAGCGCTAGCACGCCTTCGGCTTCAAGCCGGCGCCAGGACAGCCAAACAGCATTTAGCCAAGCCGCCCAGTCACTGTCTCTTGCCTCACTATGCCAACGCTATCGCCATGTTCGGCTTATGTCGGCTTCAAGGGAACTCCAGGGCAGGCACTGGCTCTTGCTTCACTGCCGATAGCGTTCACTTTCAGCATATCATTCCGATGCCATGACTGAAGCCTGGCAGCCTTCCGGAGCTTTGGCCTCGCCGACTTGATCTTTTGGGCTGACGGAAACATGCTCTCGGATCATGCCCGGGTTGGCTGGACGAAGAATCCGGCCATTCACGGCTCGATGCTGGGCAACCTGCTTCATCTTCATGATGTTGGGTGGCTCCAAGTTCAACGCCCGAAGTCGAAGTGCACAGCTGTCCATGGTGAATTCGCCTGCTACTGGAGATAGAGAGAAAGAAACTGATTGAGCCGAACTATGACGGATTCGTTCGCGCACAAATGCACAGATGCACAAGTGCACAAATGCACAGCACTTGCCGAAGAAGTCGCTTGAAACCACAGTGATGGTGTGTCAAATATCGTCTCAAAGGTCTGATTGCAGTGCTGGCCGAATGATGCCGTTTATTGCTGCTAACAGTGGCCCAGGTGACAAATACGAAAACGGACCCAGGAACCTCGGTCGAATACGTAAACGCTCCCTTTGCTTCCATTTGGTTAAGACCCCTGGAACAAAAAGTAAAATATGTCCAGTAGTGAAATCGATTCCCTATAACAACAACATGGGAAAAAAGTTTCATTTCAGCAAACGGAAGTTTGGGCTCCGAGAGTTTGACTCCGCCGCCAAAAAAAACGACGAATCGGTGGGTCGTAGGCGGTCGGTCCGCCTCCTTTTCTGTCCAGGGCTGGTGCAACACCTGGCTCCAGTCATTGAAAGTTTTCGGATGTCAACTGTAGGAGTTGGACCCAAAATCGGTTTGGTCACAGGGATCCTTACATGAAAAACATCTGAACATTGCAACTTGTAAATGTATCTTTGTTTTGGTGGAAAAAGCCATGTTTCAAATGGTTGCAAAATGTATCTTTTAAGGAGCCCTCCTCCAGTAGAGGGCTTAGAATAAGGGTGCCGTTTCTTTTTTCTGTAGTCTATTATAGTAGGGAAACCCTCCCCCAAAAAAATGTTAAAAGGGAACTACTGGGGAAGCTAGAAATGGCACAACAAGGTTCAATTGTTGGTTTCCCTCAAAAGCCCATCAAAAAAAAGGTACCAACACACACTCCAATCTGCATAAAGGGTACTTTCCAACCCTTTGTAACAACAACAAATGAACATAACCAAAAACTCGAGAACATGCCAACAACAGTGAAGGTTGATTCCCATTCTCTTCACTCGCTTGGTTTAGACACCAGCCATTTTTCCAGTTGGCCGATTTTCTCGAGAAGGATTTCTGACACAAAATCTGGACACCCAAAATGAGACTAGCGCCTGGTAGTCAAAACCAATTTGGGTTGCTTCGCGGAATCCCCAAATAAGCTCCGACAAACGAAACAATGGATCCAAGAGACCACATCCCAGGTCGGGGCCGCATGCGACCAGAAACAGGGATCCTTATATGAAAAAGCACCCGAACATTGCAACTTGTAAATGGTGGGTCCCCTTTATTGTTGGTGGAAAACGCAACTTGTTTTCAAATGGTTGCAAGAATGGAGATCTTTTAAGGAGCCCCTGAAGAACCAGGGCAACCTGGATAGCCAAGTGGCGATCGTTTTTGCCCGTCGCTGTTGTTGGCTTCTGGGGGTAAAGCGGATGGAAAAAGCGATCGCAACTGGCGATCCAGGAAGTTTTGTGTTTGCAATGTTCAGAGCAAACTTGACTTTGTGAGAAGGTTTACTTTCTGGAGGTGTTTTTCCCCAAACAGTGTGTCTACACTAAGGGGTTCTTACGGTAAGAGAAAAGGTGCCAGATTGAGGTGCCCGCTCTGTCCGCGAGCGTTTTGCGTGGTATTTTCGCAGATTCGTGCTCTTGCTTGATGTCGAAGTGCGTTTCGACTGCGCAGGCTCGCACAAAGTGAGTTGGCGACTTCTGTCCGCGAGCGTTTTGCGTGGTATTTACCGCAGATTCGTGCTTTTGCTTGATGTTGAAATGCGTTTCGACTCCACAGGCTCGCACAAAGTGAGGTGTCGACTTCTGTCCGCAAGCGTTTCGCGTGGTATTTCCCGTGGATTCTTGCTTTTGCTTGATGTTGAAGTGCGTTTCGACTGCGCAGGCTCGCACAAACTCGATTTTTTTTGTTTTTCGGCGGCTCCGGGGGCTGTGGGGGTTTTGTCTCGTGGTAAAGGTCCCGGGCTCGATTCCCGCCCTGTCCGCGCGAGCTTGTTTCCCTTTCTTTGGGCATGCTTGGATGGTGCTTCTGTGCTGCGACGGCGTCTTGATGGTACTCTGAACAACAACAACCAAAAAACAGAAACAGCAACAGCAACAGCAACAGCGCCACATTCATAGAAAGGAAGAAATACAGAGACAAAACAACGAGAACAAAGGAAGAAGCTACCTAGCTAGCTAACTCACTAACTCAGGCACCCTGGTGAAACACACACACACACAGATCTTGCCTTTTGTAGTGATGCTTGCGCAGCCATGGGCGCAATAATCTTGGCGACGCTGCTGGAAGCCGCGCCTGCCGATGTGCGCGCGGAATTCGAGCATCTCGGGTCATGTGTCTTGGGAGACCTTGCGGCTGCGCAGGCGGGTGCTTTGTTGGAAGGTTTATCTTCGGATCGACAGGCACACGCACAAACACACGCACACACGCACGACCATGGCGCTGGCTTCAACACGTGTCTGCTGCATTCTCTTGCGCGTGTCTGTTCCAGGCCGTGTCCTTGTCTTTGTGAATGTGCACGCAAATACCGCAAAATGATGTTGCAGCTTCCTGACAACAACCGCCGTTTTGCGGCGCTGCCCGCACAATACTCTGCAGCGTGTGACCGCCGCCTATCACTGTTTGGGGCCTCGTGCCGGGGTATTTTTTTTGCGGCAACCAACATTTGAAACTGCCTGGATCGCCAGTTGCGATCGCTTTTTCCATGAACTCTACCCCAAAAAACGATCGCAACCGTGGCTGAAAAAAGCGATCGCAACTTGGCTGTCCAGGTGCTCATTTTGGTGGCTCTCCAGCTCCGACCCTTGAGCCTGAATTTCTTTAGATCAAGGGGAAGGAGAAACTCCCGGGATGTCCTCGGTCCGAGACGTCCAAGAAAACTGGGGGGGGGGGCTGGGGGGGGTCCCCCACTTCCATTTGTTTAGTTTCAGAAATGGAGAGCTTCAGGGGTCAACATCCCCCCTCCCCCAATCAGCATCATATCATCCAGCTACTTAATATCCTGGAAAGAACAAAAGAGAACAAATAAACATCTAGTAGTGAAATCGACTCTAAAAACCCACAGGAAAAAAGAAAACATCTAAACGCAAGCGGCCAATCTATTTTTCAAGAGGCCGCAATTGGAATGGACAATTCCCATGAAACTCCGGAAGAATTGTGTACATGGACCCCCCTGGATTCCTGAAGAGACCTGTGTTTTTTCGTTTTTCCTTTTCGAGACCGGAAACGTCTTGGACACCCACCGGACAAATTGGACCCGAAGCGTCTTGGCCTTCATGGCCTGGTGGGCGGCATCTTTGGCCAGAACGAGCCCAAGCCTTCGGAGCCGAGTCGTAAAAATGCGCCCGGGCGTGAAGACACCGGCTCCGGAACCGGATTTCGGAGGCCTGAAGAGAGGGAAGCCCGGTGTTGGCCTGCTTTGGCTTTCAAAAAAGAAAAATCGGATGAAAAAAAGAAAACAAAACATGGAACAAACAAAAAGCGAGTTGAAAAAAAAGGTGAGCCTGTGAAGTGCGGCCATTTCTAGTTTTGAGGCTAGGGGTACTTCCCCACTTGGTTTCAAAAGAAGCTGGGGTACAAATCCCTATTCCACCAATTCCTGGCACCCGCCAGACCTTGCCTGCAAAGGGCCCACGGTTGAACAAGAGAGGCTCGCTGGCATTAATTTCAGGTTAACTAGAGGTTAAAGTGGTGAGACCTTGAAGTTACCAACTGCTTGGCCAAAATCCGGACCATACTAAGTCTCACTTCCGGAGTGGACTGGAAGAAAAGTCCGGACAATTGTATTTACCACTGAAGTGGTCTTTCCAAAAGGCTTAGAGTCCATGAACTCAGAAAGTAAGAAGAAGAACTATGATTCACCAACTGTACCAGTCTGGGCAAACTCTCTGTCCAACAATCATGCACGCTGACCGGGCACTTGTTGGAAGACTACCGTCCGCTTTAAATACAACGTACTCCCCACGATAACGGGGGGGAGGGGTTCAAGTGAGGGCACCTCCAAACTCATTAAAAACAGATCCGGGCACCCTTGGGTGCCCAAATTTACTTGGGGACTCAGCAGGGTATCCCAGCTATTTACGTACCTTGGGTGGGGGGTATTCGAGGATGATGTCTGTGCTTCTTTTTTTCTTGGGAGGGGGAAGCCCCAACAAATTGTGTGGGGTTGTCCTTTTGGTTTCCCTTTTAAAACCACAAAGGAAGGCCCCCCCCGGTCCAATCCACTTGCATCGCTCCGAGGCCACGGCTCATCGAGCAGAAAGCACGGCAGCAGCTGATCGCTGCGGAAGAAGACCCACTCATCCACCCCCCGCTGGCCCTCCCGGCCGATGACGCTGTCGAAGCCTGACAAGCGTCCAGGATCCGGGTTTAGGGTCTCTGCTCTTCCGCATTTGCTTCTTCCCCCCCTGGAAAACATGCGAACATGTTGTCCATATTGTCCGAATCAGAACATTCGAGTTTACTGGGAGGTGCGATGGGGAAGGAATGACCTTCCCGGGTTTTGGGATTGAACCCAGGGGTTCCCGAAAAGGACCCATGGGTCTCTACTCTTCTGAATTTGCTTCTTCCCCCCCTGGAAAAAATGAGAACATATGTCCAGTAGTGATAGGTTCCCTTTAAGAGCAACCAGGGAAAATGAATCATATTCTTAAGTACTGGGAGGGCTAGCTTTCCGGGAGGGGGAGTTGTCAAGGGGGTATCGTGTCTCCGACAAGTAAACACCCAGGTCGGGTTCACCGGAGCTTTCATCAACAGTTTACCGATTTGCGTGGGGCCGATCAGGAGTAATGTTTGGGGTATCCGGAAGTTAGCTTCGCTGCCTCGAGAGCCAGGTGTTGGAATGACCCCAAGAAAGCCCTCCTCTATAGGGTTTCTTTTGAGGAAACCTAGACACTTCCGAAACCATGTTGGTGGTTGGGCTTCCTTTGATTCGCATTCTGTACGAACATGCTGAACCCCCCCCGGACCCAAACCTGCAGCGATTTCCCTCGACAAAGCGAATTGTTCAAAGAAGAGTCCTAGCTCGAACGTCAAGAGAGCTTCAATCAGCATGTTTTCCTTGTTTTCAAAACGCACTCGTTGAAAGGATCCTGGAAATAGAAGGCTTACCTTGACAAATACCAGGCCAAACCAGGAAAACCCAAAGGTGAAAAGGTCGATTCGATTTGGGCAAATGAGAAAATAATGTTGTCTTCCATTTGCTTGAGTCCCCTAGAAAATTAACAATTGAGCATTGTTTTTTTTAGAGGTTCAGGGCCTATGCACTGCTGGGGAGGCTACGCGGGGGGCTTCGCGGGGCCAGAGTTTGTGGAAGGTTGGCTTCGCGAGGCTTCGCGGCAAGACTGTGGCTTCGCGGAGTGGCTTCGCCGGGCTTCGCGGATGTTTGTTCCACAAACATCTCTCACGTTTGCGCCCCATGTTGTGGAATCAAGGTGAGTCCGTGCGAAAGGCGATGAAAGGCGGCAAGAGAGGCATTGAGCTTCAGGACTGAACGTGGCTGGGCCTCAAAGGGGCGGAGCATGGAAGTTGGACCGCGGCTTCGCGGCCGCTCCAAAAGAAGGTAGGAATCTGTTTTGCCCGCCCTGAAAAACAAGATAGCCACATCGCTGCCGATGCATGATGGCTCGTGAAGTACCAGTCGGCACCAAGACGGGGCAAGGAGCCATTGATCCCCAGAAGTGCTAGTCATGAGGGCCCACTTTGGACTCAACTGTCCTTTTACCAGCCAAGGGCAATCATGGGGGGGATTCCCAAAATCAACTTCGTCCGGCAAGAGCATGCAAAAACAGAAGTTTCCTAAATCAAAATAGGCCAGAACAGGTTGCTTCCCCAATAGTTTGTGGTTCATTGGATGTGGAACCCTCGCAAATCAGTGGGCTCCTCTTTCATGGATGTGGAACCTCCTCCCTTGGTTGACGTTGGGTTTGGGGAGCAACAATTCTCAATTTTTAGCAGTTAAGTGGTTGGATTTCAACCACTAAACCATAAGCAAAAATGGGGAACATATGTCAATCCCAACAACCATGATACATGTTCTTTGCCAGAGAAAGCATTGAACAAAAAATCCCCCAAAGGGCCCCCACTCTCGGCCCCCCAAAAAACGGATCCGTCCTTTCGGCTGATTCGATTTCAGCAGGCTTTGACGCTCGCGGGACATCGGCCCTTTCGCACACAAGGCAGCCGCAAAAATCCCGGGCAGCTCCAACGACCCTCTCACGCAACCCATGATCGACCCCATAAAAGTGGTTGGTTCACCCCATACATCTATCCCCGGCCAGGGAGTATTAAGGAACTCACTTCCGATCGAGTTGATTGGCCAGACAAGTCCAAACATGTCCAAACTGATGTTTACCACTACAGTGGTCCCAAAAAGTAAAAAGTGACTAAAGCCCATGAGCTCAGGGAGTGTTCGCCAAACCCCTTTTCCCCCACCGCGCACAAAAAAATAAATCCACCGAGGCCCCGAGCCCGCGGCGCCGCCGGCGAAGGGCACGGTCGGCTTGCCGAAGTGCTGACAGCCCGGCAACGCCAGGCACATGAACCCGGCCTCAGCTCACAGCTCGCGGACAGGAACTGGAGCGAGCCGGCGTTGGTGGGGTGAGGTTGGGATGGCTTCCCGTGCGACAAAGCTGAAAAGGCTACCCCTCGGGGGAAAAACATGTATCTATATATATATATATATACACACTCCATTTGCATAATTCATTGTCGAGCTGGATGAACATTGAATTGATATATGCGAGGTTGCGTTCACTTTGGCAAATAGGTTGTTGCTTTGGGGAACCTCTGCCAAGCTCGACAATGAATTATGCAAATGGAGTATGGGTGTTTTTGTGTGCGTGTGTTTCTTCATGTATACATATACGTGGTTTGACACGCGTCATACTTACCCAATTCTGTAACAAGAACTTCTGCGATTTTCCTTCAGGTGGCGAGGGCCTGGCGTGTTCTTCACATGTCTTTCTAAGACTTGATTACCCATTCTTTCCAACCATCGTTCCTCTCGAAAACCGGATCCGTTTCCATGGGTTTCCGGTTCTCTAGAAAGATCCTGATTTTTGGGTTCAGAATGGGAAAGGTAGCACGGGTCTTTGCCCCCACTCCTGGGGCGCTCGGTGTTGTTGTTGATGCTCCAAGAAAGCGAGCGGCAGGGGCGCCGTAGGCGAACAACTCCTTGCCGTAGCGGAAGTCCGGCGAGACCTGGGCTGGTGCCAAGCTGCGGGTGGTCCGTAGGCTCCGTAAGGAGCCCCAGGCCTAGCAACTCTGGTGTATATATACATACATATATATATATATATTTTTTTGGGGGGGGGTGGTTTTAAGGGTGGCCTAGCGAAGCCTAGGGCTCACGACTGAAACCCCTCAAACCCCTCTTGTGCCTATACCCCCAAATGGGATTCCAGAAAATAATTTTAGGGGTCCTTTGTGAGGTATACTCAGTTGCCCCTTAGGGGCCCACAAAAAACACGTGACAAAGGGGAAACCAAAAGGTCGGAGATCCCGTCGATTCGCTTTGGGCAAGTCTGACACCTCGCCATGAGCTAACAACACTCGGGCCAACAACCCTAAGCAATAAGCCGAAGGAAACCTTCGACCGGACATCAACTTTCTTGCGGGGTGGGTGGCCCATGTGCTAACAACAAATGTCCTGTAGCTTGTTTCTATGATACTCTCAATTGATGCTCCGCCCCACCGAATATGGAAGTGTAGGGGCTGCTGGGAAAGGAATTTGCATTCTCCTCTTGGATGTGCACTTCCATGTTCGTTCAGAAGGGTTTGGAAAGACTACCGTCCTCCTGAGGCCGGCAGCTGTCCGCTCCCAAAGAAGAGATGGGGATGCTCGGGCGGCCAGCATGTTCCATGGGCTCCTTCAAACTTGTGCATCTTATTTGGGCTGAAACTACCCATCCAAGTGCTCATACACTCCTCCACTGCCAAACCCAGCTAGCGTTCTGCGGCAAATCATGATGAAACATAAACCTGGGGACCTGACTGAATAGGTCTCGTTGGGATCTGGGGACACTCCCCCTCTTAACTTGAATGCAGGTTGAAATGCACAGTCAACAGGCAAGCAGCTTGGATTGGTGGTTTGTAGGTGTTCCAGCCCTGCTGGGATCCAAACCACGAAGTAAGATGGAGAAGCGAAAGAAACAACCACGGACCATCCTAAGCCTTTTTCGTGGCACGCCGCGGCCTGATAGGATCCCCTACCCCCCCCCCCCCACCCGGGCTTCCTTCCAACAATGCCCTCCCACGACTAATTTGGAAGTTCCCGACCCCGTTGGAAGACTTGATTCCATTTACAGAGGCCTTCTGGGTTCGTCTGAGGGAGCATACCCTGCTTCAGTTGGTTTGAAGGGATAGCAAAAGGAAGCCAAACATGTTGCAGGGTTCTCACACAAAGCACAATGTTTAGGGAGCTACCGACTACCCTTTTTGCGCTGGCTCAAAGGGAAGCTCTAAAAGGGAACCCTTCTTTTGGAGACAAATCCAACGTTCCGAGCGGCATAGATGCCCACGCCAAAAGAGCTGCCATGGGCGACCGCAACACCTGGCAAAAAAAAGCGGGCGGGGCGTTCTCCCCAGTTTTCTCGCTTAAGAGTGGCTTTGCGCAAACGAGTCTGAACTGTCGGCGTACCACTGGAACACACATATGCATGTATATCTATATATGTATAGATACACATTATATATAGATAAGTTCAGATGCATATAGGAAAACAAGTCTGCTTACAACAAACAAGCACTAGATCCTCCAGTAGAGAGGTTAGAATAAGGGTACCCTTTTTCTGTAGTTTGTTTTAGTAGGGAAACCCTCCCCCAAAGAAAATCGGTAAAAGGGCACCTTTTGGGGGACCTAGAATAGAAACGGCAAACAAGACTGTTTACCCACAAATAAGCCTGTCACCATCTGTGCAGCAAGCCCAGAAACTTGGGAAGTTGGAGCCCAGGAACTTGGGAAGTTACTCACTTTGAACACGAGAGGCCCTGCTCAAGGACATGTAGTAACGACTGCAAATCTCCGCACCAAGTTCTGGTTGTACGCTTGTGCCGGTTTTCCTACTGTGGATTCAAGAAATCCGAAATCCATTTCGCACCACCTAAGAAACCCAAAGGAATGATTATTCCCCTGCAAATACCAATGAAGAAGGGTTTCCCAGAGGGTCAAAGTGGTGCAGGATTTTGTCCATCCACAGTATCAGCACCAAATTATGGTTGTATGCTTGTGCCGTTTTCCTATCACTACCCGAGGTTTTCAGGAGGTGCCTCACCCCTCAGTGGAAGTCACGACCCTCCCTTCTCAACATGGCCGTCCGAGGAACATGGAACGAAATGGGTGTCTTTTTGCGGGAATCCTCGTGGGTGACCTGAAACAGGCCCAGGCAAAGCAGAGACCAAGCTTTCACATACCAGGGCAAACCATTTTGGGATTCCCCTAGTTTTGCTCATAGCCAAAATTAAGCTGGGCTGTCCTCAGATCCCATGCTAAAGTTTAACTTGTGGGTGAAATACGGAAATCCCCGTAAAAACCGAAGTGTCATAGGAAATGCGGGTTGAACCTGTAGCTTGAATGAATCGACTGTTTGGGCTAACGGTTTGAAGGCTTCCACACAAAAAGACAACCTTATATTTACTGGAAGGGCCCCAAATACTTGGAATTGGTTTGAGGGAGGCTATTAACCATTTAGTTGTACCAGTAGAAAATGGTCGACCGCCAAAACTCTTCATTTGTTGAGGGGACGTGGTAATTACTGAATTCCCTGGTCTGCGTGACAAAGAAACATCGTTCTTCTCCAGAAGGACATGGACCAAATGGGTTGTTCCGCTAGTTTTTGCGGTCTATGCCAAAACCACAGTAGACCAGCAATAATATTGTCTATTACGCAATAATATGTTGACATGGTTGCGAACTGTGGGATTCCGACCCCTGTAAGGGAATCCCCTTGGCATCACACAAATGGGCCTAACTAACACTGAATTCGGTTCGGAGTTTGAAGCATGAGGGGAAGATCACGCAGTGATACACTATGCCAGTTTCGCTTCGAGCCGAAAAGTTGACCAGGAAAAAGAAGAAGCAACATTTCTGGTTGATTTTGATTCAGCGGTGCTCGGTGGGGTCCCGGCCACAGGGGACACCTGCTGAACTAGGACGCGCTCTGCTTGGATCCGGGGTCAACATTAGAAACATACAAGACTCATGGGGGTTCATGCTGTGAATGCAGAAAACCCTGCCAATTTCGGCGGTTTTATTCTCCCAGTCATTGTGATTCCATCATATTCCATCTCGACATCCCCTACCAGTCTCCTTTTGGAGACCTGTTGAAAACAACAGGTCCGGGACAATCCCGTGATCAGATCAACCCACGAATTAGGCTTGCCTACGCCGAATCGTGTCAGACAGTTTACGCATATTCGCCGCCCTGGTTTAAACCAAACCAAGCTGAAACCCTCAGTGCACAAGTCCCGACACACAAAAAGCAAATGACAACAATGGGGAGTTGGGGCACCATAAAACTAAATTGAGTCACGACTATGGGAGAATCATGATATACAATGATGATTCAATCTCTGAACCCGCATCACCAACTCGCCCAACCCAAGAATCAAACCCCAAAACCCCTGCCTGCGCCGTCTGGAACGCGGAGACCCTCCTGGGAGATGCCCTCGAAGTTCTTCTCCTTGAGTCCAACGCCAAAGCTGTTTTGGCAAGTGACTGCGCGCATGCGTGCGTGCGTGAGCGGGAGGGTGTGGTTTGCGTGTTTGCGTGTTTCTGTTTGTGTGTGTGTGTCACGTTTTGAGGCCCAGGAACCCTTTCTGGGAGAGTATAAAGAGAAACGAACAGGAAAACCATGCTTGGCCCACGAGTGGGGCTCACAGAATATATTTTACTTCATTCTTCACATGTCGCACTTCTGTGGTTTTGCCGACGAAAAATACAAAAGCTTGTTGCTTACTGATCTTTCCAGCAAGGTTTACATGTCTATTCTTGGTATGCTGGCTAAAAACTGACTGTTTTTGCAGACCCCCAGTAAAAATGAACAGAACCAAAAAACCAAAAAACCGGAAAAGAAGAAGAAGAAAAACAAAAAAAAGAAACAAACATGTCAAGAACAGTGAAGTTTAAGTTCGTGAACCCAGGGAGTGAGATTTGGCCTTGGAAACAACTTTGGGAGAAGACACATACCCAGCAGCCCAGTTGCAAGCAGTGCCCGTGGAAAGAGAGAAAAATACTCCTTGTTTCATCTGTACTCCATGGGTGCAAGCAAGGGCAAATCGCAGGAAGTTGTAGGGAGACCTCGGAATTCCTAAGGTTCCTTGGCCTAGGGCTCCAGGTTTCCCTGGACTTCTTGGAATTCCTGAATTTCCTGCATTCCCTTGGGGTTGCCTTGCAGTTTCTCACCAGTGGTTAAAGCAATACTGGGGCACTAATTATTAGGGGAACACTGGGATATTAGAACAGGAATATTGAGGCAATACCTGGAAAATACTCGGGGAGTAGGTACTCTAGTTTTTTCCTTCTTCTTTTTCCCTGGGGTTCCTCCAAATTCTTGCATTTCTCTTGGTTTCCTTGAGTTTCTAAGGTTTCCTTGGTTGCCCTAGGGGTTTTGTCGGGGTTCCTCACAAACAGGGAGCCCAAAAGATAATTTGCTACAAGTTATCAATATGACCTTCTTATTTGCATCGTATTTGTTGGCTTATTATGCTTGAAAGCCTTTCATTCATTTCGTTCACTTCTGGTCTAGAGGATTCACTCAGAGACCACAAATCAATTGATTTCCAGTAGTGAACTCGAATCCCTTTTCGATTCCCCTTAAAACGAACCAGGAAAATACACCAAGTCTTCATTTCCGCAAATGGTTCCTCCATGGTTCTTCATTTAACCCAACCAGGGTTCCTCACCAGGGAGCCCAACAGCGGGAGGATCCGAGCGATCCGCTCGCGATCCGAGCGATCCGCGCGCGGCGATCCGAGGCGGTCGCCTGGGTCCAGTGGAAGACAACCCGCGGCTTCGCCGCGTCGAGCCCCCGGAGCTCCGCGAGGCGCCGGTGCCGCGCTACGAAGGCCTCCAGCGGATGGGGCGCTGGGGGGGCTTTGGAGGGTGGATGATTGGTGGGGGCGGGCGGGGGGGGGAGGTTGAATTTTTCATTTGTTTGCTTTCTTGGGGGGTGGGGCTCAGGCTGAGGGACCAAACTCTTGGTTGAGCAATGAGGAGGTTCTGAGGCGTTTGTTTTCAAACAAATCGTGGGTGCGTGCGCAGGGCTTCCGATTTGGTACGTCAGGCACGTGGTTGACGTGACCATGGAACCAATCACTCTCAGTTTCCATCTAGATGATTAAAGGCTTGGATTGGCGGGTTGGAGGTTGGCTTCGATTTACACTTTACAAAAATCAGGGGTCCAAACCTCCAACCACCAACAGGGTTACAAAAAGACAAGCAGCTGAACAAAGTTATGCACACAACAACATGAAGAAAAAACGTGCGGTTCGTAAAATCTTGGTGCTAGTGGTTCAGAGTACGAATTTCAATCGGACCACCAAATGGTTAGAGCACTGTGCCGTCCAGTAAGCCTAGTACTAGAACCTGAGCGCTAGCCACAAGCCCACAGGATCCAAGACAGCCAAAGCAAAACCAGGCACTAGGGTGAGGAATGGAAGCCAAACAAAAAGAACTCAGGCGCCGCTGCTGAAGTTGGTGACAAACCTTCGGCGCCCTTCCACGCCTTGGCCGCCTCCAGGCGCACCACACGGCCAGACCCGAAGCCCGGGGGCGCCAACGCACCGCCGGTGCCGAGGATCCTCAAGACTTCGACGACCGCCTTTGTGGCAGGGACCTCGTACCACCCCAAAACCACTCGCAAAAGATTGTTCCGTGCCGTCTTGGTTGCAGGGGTCGTTGCAGTCGGGGAAGGCGCTACGCGGTTGTCTCTCCTTGTAGGAGCTTGGCTACGCGGGGGCTACGCGGAACATACTTGTTGATAATTGGCTAGTAGTAGTAGCAGTAATTCTTAGTAGTAGTAGTCGTAGTAGTGGTACTAGCAGTAGCAGTAGCAGTAGCAGTAGCAGTAGCAGTAGCAGTAGCAGTAGCAGTAGTAGTAGTAGTAGTAGTAGTAGTAATAGAAGTAGTGGTAGTAGTAGTAGTGGTAGTAGTCTTCGCAATAGTAGTGGTAGCGACGGTTGTAGTAGCAGCAATAGTAGTAGCAGTAGAAGAAGTAGCAGTACTACTAATAGCCGTAGTAGTAGTAGCAGTAGAAGAAGTAGCAGTACTGGTAGCGGTAGTAGTAGTAGCAGCAATAGTAGTAGTACTAGTGGTAGTACTAGTAGTAGTAGTAGTAGTAGTAGTAGCAGTAGTAGTAGTAGTTGTTGTTGTAGCAATAGTGGTAGTAGTGGTGCTAGTAGAAGTAGAAGTAGAAGTAGTAGTAGCAATAGTAGTGGTAGTGCTAGTAGTAGTAGTAGTAGTAGTAGTAGTAGCGATTGTTGTTGTAGTGGTGGCAGCAGCAACAGCAGCAGCAGCAGTAGTAGTCGTAGTGGTAGTAGTAGTAGCAGCAGTAGTAGTCGTAGCAGTGTAGTTGTGCTAGTAGTGCGACGATGGAACGGCATGTGGGCCAGTGGCCTTGAATACGTGCCTTGGGGGCTACGAGTAGAGCGAACTCAATCAACCCACGACTTGAGGTGAAGACAAAGGATCTGCGCAGAGGTTATGCGGACGACTATTGAAAGCTCCCTTGCTAGTGGCTACACGGCCGCTCATTTGGAACGGATAACGCGATCAAAAACGGGCTGAAGCCATCACATCTAATAGGTCACGATTCGTGAAGTGGATCTCGCGCTTTCTTCCGCGTTGCTTTGCCCCGCAGCCTCCCCAGAATGAAGTTGGAGCAAGTTTGGGCAGCCAAATGAAACCGTCGAGCAAAGGATAAGCCCCCCCAATTTAATAGCTTCATAAAGCAAGAAGTTTGGCCAGATCGTCGCCCTAACGCGGGGAACGCGCCGGCTGTCCCACTTGGCGCTGCGCCGGGGAGTATGGGTTCTGTGGATTACGTCCCCTCAGACACGCAGCAAGCTCGGCAGTCAGGATGGCCAAACGCTGACGTGTGTCTGGCAGCCCGGCCCGTGTTGGTGCCGGAGAGGTGACCCAAACTCACTCAACCCTGGCAACCGGAAGGCAACACCCATCGTGCAACGGACCCTTGTGAAATCATTGTGACCCCCTGCCTGCTGGAATGCCTCGGAATCAAGTTGACCAGCCAGCCTGATATCCGGCCCTATTTGGAAATCTTGCCCCCCCTTTCTTCGTTTCTTCAACATATAAGACATTGGCCTCACACCAACACGAGGAATTATATTTTTGGATTCCTTGAAGATGCAACATTGTCGGAAGTGTCCCCAGCGAATTAGGTGGTTCCGACGCAAACCCCCCACAATTTTGTTAATGCTGGGTCAAGACTATGGGGCCCGGCCTCAAATTGGGCTGCCTTCTTTCCTATTGTCCAAAGGGTGTGTGTTTCGGGGAGGTCCGTAAAGGGACGCCCCAATCGCAACCACTTTCCGTAAAAGGTTGACAAATTTAGTTTCACGTCCAATCGAGTGGACTAGCAAGAACAAGTCCAACTCGTGTTTTTGACTTGCCACTAAAACGGTTTTGACTAAAAAACATAGCGCAGGTACTCAGGGAGTGAGTAGTGGAAAACAGAGAGCGTACAAGGGAAAGGGCGCCACTCACCGCTTTGCGAAGAACGCAGCTGCCATTGCCAGAACATTTGTGGGACTTCGCCCGCCGCCCGGGCAGCACTGACCGTTGGCTGGCCCAGCCCAAAAAGTGTTGATTGTTGCCGCTGAGTTGGAAAAATCAAGGTTTGCCAAAAAGTTAAAGTCTCAAGATCCAACCAGATATCACACGAGACATTCAGCATCCCCCGCCAAAGGCGGCGCACACCGAAAGGACACACCCTTTTTCAACATGCAGGGGAGAATGTTCGGCCTCAAAAAGCCCAAGGCCCAAGGAGTTGGAACGACTTATCGACCAAGGCTGAGCCTTCGTGCCAAAGTTGGCCCGCTAAAAAGCCGGCGCCTTTGAAAGAAGCATCGACTGCACAGCTAATCCATGGAGAGTTGCAACACACACTTACCCCTTAAAACTCCAAGCCACCCGGAAAAAGTTCTCATCTTTTACAGCACATATCGCCCGTGTTACCCCCCAAAACGTTGAGAGACGTTGTGGGTCAGCCACCGCTTTCCCGTCGGGGGGCCGCGAGGGACACGATGAAGCCTCCACGGAAGCCACCGCAGACTCGGGGGGCACAAGTGCCCCAGGACCTTTCGTTTTGGAGAACCTGGACCTCACTGGCCCAAAGGACCCAATGAAAGGTGATCACCTTTTGGGAACCCAAACAAAAAAAAAAAAAAACGGGGAACAAAAACGGGGGAAAACCAAAAGGTGAAAAGGTCGATTCGCTTTGAACAACTGAGTGACTGAAAAACAAAGGCCAACAGGTAAGAACCAAAAGGTCCGATCCGGCGGATTCGCTTGGCCTCGGTTTGGTGAGAGAAGCCCCAACCCTCGCGGCGATGCGTTGAGGAGGGCGCTCGGCCAGCTTCTGTGCGCGCGCTTGCACCTCTGGATGCCCAATCTCCAAGGGACGCTCCACCTCCTGAAGCAAAGGGACTCGACCCCAAAGGATCCACAAATCAATTGGATCCTTCTTCTCAATGACCCAAAACAAGCTGGAAGCAGACCTTGACTAAAAATGACCGCCAAATCGGGGACACCAAAGGGCCGATTTGCTTTGGCCCTTGGGCAGGTGAGCTTTGGGGCAACTAGAAATGGATCAATTGGCTGTGGCTCAAAAAGGTGGAACCCATTTTGGGGCTCCTTGGATGAAAACAAAGACCAAAACCTGCGTAACCGAGCCCTTAAATTTTGAGCCACACCCAATTCAACGGGAAAGCCAAAAAGGTCCTTAAGGGTCGATTCACTTTGGGTGGGCTTATCCTGGGTTGCTCCCTCCGTCCGAACGAGCAAACGGTCCTGGTAGACCTTGTGTAATGGAAGAGCCAGCTTTACAAAAACCGTGATTCGGTCACACCAAAAACATGCAGAATGCTGTGGGAACCTTTATTCATGATAGAATTCCATGCAAACAAGCGCCGTCTGGTGGTTTCATCTACGGGAAAATCGCAAGGGTAGAAGCCTGCCTTCCCCAAAAATCACATGAGGGACTGAGACACACTAGTAACGATCAGTATGGCCCACTGTTAAGCGGGCTGACTATCCAAGAATACCAAGGTTGCCTAGCGCTTGGGGTTTGGTCATAGGCCCGGAGCATTCTGATTTTGAAGGAAACGAGCCGATTCAATCCTTGCGATAATGTTGACCCCATATTAATCAACCTGGGTTTAGTGGGGACTCATCACTGTTTGAGGGGAACACCCCCTTATTCATAAACTGGGGTTGATTAATATGGGGTCAACACTGCGAAATATCTGGGTCAGCAAAGAGAGGGACAGCCAAAGTTGCCAGAAGGCCAGGGAGGCGCGAATGCCAACAACCACCGATCCCCTATGCGAATATACAAAAATCAAGTCTGCAACTGCCCTTAACTAGATCCTCCAGTAGAGAGGTTAGAATAAGGGTACCCTTTTTTCTGTAGTCTGTTTTAGTAGGGAAACCCTCCCCCCAAAAAGGGTACAAGGGCACTTCTGGGGGACCTAGTTAAGGAAGCCAAACAAAGTTGCTGCCTTTTTGGAAATGCCGGGGCAATCATGGTAAAACTTGGCCCCATGTTCTGCAACCATTCCAAAAGGGTTTCCTGCAAGAATGAGTGCAGTTTGGGTTCCAGCCGACTCCAGCCCTGCCAAAAGACGGCGCTTTCTACCCACAAACCTGCAAATCACTTCTCCATTGTGTTCATGGAATATACAACTACGATTTGAAGGGTCTGCGCCTCTGCGCCCCCTGATTTTTGTGTGGAGAACATGGCGATGGTTCTCCTTTTCATCTTTCCCCCCCCAAAAAAAAAAACGCCCGGGGGGAACCAAAAGGTCGATTCCCTCTGGCCAAGTGTTGGATCCACATCTCCCACTTGCTCCTGGCTGGGCCCGGTCTCGACCTGCGGATCCTGCGGATCCTGCGGCTCCGGCTCCTGATTTCGGCTCAAAGGGCGCGTCCAGTGGACCAAGCCTGTTCCATGATCGAAACATCGTTCTTTTTTTAAGAGACTATATTTTTCTCAACGACCTTTCCCGGGGGATTAAACGTGATCCAAAAACAACACAGGATCCGGAACCCCATGGGTTCATGGGTTGTTTGGTTGTTTGCTTCGTGCTTCCTGTAAGGGATTTGGCCATGAGAGCGCGATGCCCAAACGAAGGATGGACGCCATGATCCTAGGGCCATTGCACAACCGCTGCGTTCCAGGCAAGCAATGGTAATCTGCTGAGCTCAAAAGGGGAGGTTTGGAGCCGGATCGGTGGTTTGGAGGCGTTCTGGTGGTTCCCACTGACACTTTACAAGGGTTCAAATCCAAATCCAAACCACCGATTCGGCTCCAAGCCACCCATGGGTTGCCAAATAGGTCGATCAAGGAGGCCATGGCAGCGCGGCAAAGACATACAATCAGACGCTGTTACAACTTGTAAGTGGAAACAAAATATCAGGTTCTGGCTTGACTTAAAAAACATGCGCTTGAGCAAAAGAGTGTAATCAATCTTACGTTGCACATCCGCGTGCGAAACTGCCTACACACGTTTTGAGCCGATCGGTTCCAAGCGAGCACCTGAACTCGAACACAGCATCAGCAAGTGCTGCAGCGACACATTGTCTAAAGCTCTGGACAGTTTGTCCCTTTGGTTTCCCTTCCCCACCCACCACCTTTGGTTTCCCTTCCCCACCCACCAAAAAAGAGAAAGGGGGTCCCCAAAAACAACAAACGCACACACACACACAGTTACAAACACAGCCACACACTCGCACGCTTTCTCGGCCGTTGATTTCTTAGTAGGGAACCCCCGCTGCAAAAAACAAAAGCGCCCGCAGAACGGCGCAATGCGCGGGGGGACCGGGGCATTTAGGCCGGTCCTCCTCCGGCAGCTCGCCTGAGCAACGATGAGACCCCTGAGCTGTGCCGAGACCCAGCTGCAAGATGCCCTCCCATCATGGAGTCATCAGAACCAATCCGTATTAATGCTGACCCCATATTAATCAACCCCAGTTTATGAATAGGGGGTGTTTCTGGATCTAGTGGGGAATCAGACCACTTTGGGCTTCCATACACCCGCAAAAAGAAGGGTCCTTCTTGATTTGCTCTTGGTTTGAAATAGAAATTCAGCCCAAGACTTGCTTTTTCAGGCTCCGGATGGTAAATCTGGGTGAATGATAATTCTTGACCAGCCTAAAAAAAGGCTGCTCGGGGGCTCTTCCCCACATAAACCACCATTTTTTTGCGGTGAATTCGGTCGTGTGAGGTCGTCACAATTTCACCCGGGGATTCCTTTTAGCTTATTCTACCCCAGCTCCTGAGCTTGGATTGTGGCTATGGAGCCCCGGGAGCCCAAGGCGTGCAATCCTTTGGGGCTGATGTGAGGGGCCGAGTGGCTTCAGCTTCCCTCGAAAAGCGTCCGGAGCTCGGTGGTTTGGAGCGGCTTCGAATCCCGACACAATCCAAAGCACCGAATCATTCGGCAACTCACCGAAACATGCCAAGTAGAGGTGTCCTTTTCTCCATGGCCAGAGAATGTCTTTCTTTGAGGCCCTTGTTGGATGGTCAAGGGAAACCAAAAGGAAACACGCCGAAGCACACGTTGGCGGCTTCCATAAGACACTCTTGCCGGTTGTTTTTTTGCTGTGGTTTGGAGCCCGGCGTTTGGGAGGTGTTCGAGGGGTGGACTCTACAAGAACCCAGGGACCCGTTCAAATCCAAATCCAAACCACCCACTAAGGGTAAGCTGATCAGTTGCAACCATAAAACACCACCCATGCCAAGGGGAACTCGCCTGCGGGCCAAAAGAAGATGTTGAAACCAAGTTGAGGCTTACTTAAACACTCACTTGCTGATGGGCCAAACAAAGTTTTGCCACTAACCCCAACAAGTGATTTAACTCCATGAACTCAGGAAGTGAGAATAAAGAGAATCTGGTCCAAAACCGTCGGTTTTCAGGGCCAAATCACCGCCCCCTGTGCGCCTCGGCGCCGGGATTTGATCTTCACCGTGGTGTGGCCTCTCGACTAACCCGTCTGGAAGATACCTATAGAACCTGTCTGAGGTGTCCTTTTGGACAAATGACATGTGGATGGTTGCGAAATCCTCTTAGGCACCACCTGTGCAACTCGGAAATCATGATTCCCTTGTAAATACCAACCAACAATGGCTTCCTATGATTTCAAAGTGAGTGCAGGATTTCGTCTATCTACTGTTCGGAGTTTGTCTGAGGTGTCCTTTTGGACAAATGACTCAAATGACATATGATTGCGGAAACCTGTCGGAACGTTGACTAAGAGTGGACCAAAAAGGGGACACCAAAGGTTAAAGGTAGGTGCTGAACAACTGAGCCAGTAAATCTGCACTTTGGCCATGGGAAATTCATATCCCTGCTTAGGTGTCCTTGTGTAACATGGATGGGTTTGCCTGGTAAAATGGATGGCATTCAACCAATCTAATCCAGTGGAACCCGTCTATGTCATTGCCCAAACTCGCCAATCAAAAGGGCACACCAGTGGATTTCATCCATTTCCGTCCAAGCGAACCGAATGGCTTTCGATTGGGTTGCCCTATGCTGAATGGAACCCCCCTATTAATCAACCCCTGTTTATTCAGATGGGGGTGCCCTTGGTTTTAGTGGGGAAGCAGACCACTCTTGGAGGGGACCCAACCGGGCTCCAGTCGTCGTCTGTTTCATGGGCGAAAGACCGAATACTTGGAACGAAGTCCCAAGAAGGCGTATACCTAGTGGTTCCAACTAGCGCGTTAAACACTTGCCTTGTTTTTTGTTGGCAAAACCGGCCGCCACGAAAACAACACATCACAAGATGTCAGAGTGCATGCGACATAGGTACAAAAGATGTGACTCACCGGAGACAACTTGTGAAAACAAGTCGCTAACAGGGATACCCTCATTTGAAGAAGTACTCATACAGCGAGGACCCTCGAACCCAGGGAGGTCAGAAGCGGGCTGGGTGCTGAAACCCCGTCGCCAAAGGGTGCCCTCAGGGCGCCCTGAGAGCGCCTGATTTTGAAACCATCAGTCCGGGGCTCGATTGCCCCAGATGCGACTCCCAAACCAAAGGGAGTCACCTTCTCGATTGAACAATGTCTCTAAAAATAAAGCACCTCCCTTTCTGTATTTTGCCTCCGGGCTCTCTGGAAATTCAAGTAGCCCTTTTGCATCTCCCCAAAAAACCTGGACAATAAAGCATCTCTCCAAAGTAACGTTCAGCTTTTAGGTTGCCATCACTGAGAATAGACCAACAAGGGGAAACCAAAAGCTCATGTTAGGTCGACTCGCTGCGGCTGAAGGTGACAGGGCTAAACTAACTAGGTCCTTCAGAGGAGAGGTTAGAATAAGGGTACCCATTTTTATGTAGTCTATTTTAGTACAAAACCCTGCCCAAAAAAATGTGAAAGGGCACTACTGGGGGACCTAGCTAATGGAAGATCGATTTCGCCCCTACCAGGCAATATTCGGCCCTACCGTGGATAGACAAACTCCTGCAAGCATTTTGTCCATCCACAGTATTGACTCAGTGCTCGAAAGACTCAGAAGTGAAAGGTTAATCTTTTGAGTTGCCATGACTAACTCACTTCCCCAAAGGACCCAGCAATACAAGGTTACACTTTTTAAAATTTTAGGACCTCTACGAAAAATGGACCAACATTGAAAAACCAAAAGGTCAAAAGGTTGATTCGCTTTGGGCCTTGGTGAGCTAACAAAAAGGTGACCAAACCCCGGGGAGAAACCAACAGGTCAACAGCTTGGCGGTGAAGCCGCTGGCTGTTGCCCAGGCGAGCGGCCCAGCGTGGTGTTGCCGAAGATCATGCAGCCCTGCTTGAACTTCCTCGATCGGGAAGTTCAAAAGAAACGAAGGTTACTCGCCCGGACGCTGCCGAAAAACCAGCTGCTTGCCAACTCGCTTGCCCAAAGGACCCGGAAACATTGTTGACCCAGTTGTTTTTTCCTCCGGGTGTCCTTGGTTTTAGTGCCGAATCAAACCACTTTTGGAGGGGCCACCCCCAGATTAATACACAAGGGGTAACTCACTTGCCCAAAGGACCCAGAAATAAAAGGTCAACCTTTTGGCACCTCCACTAAAAATGAACAAAAACGGGCAAACCAAAAGGTCAAAAGGTCGGCTTTGGGCAACTGAGGTAATATTAATCCGGGGTCAACATTCAAAGGTTGACCGTTTGAGGCTAATGACCCAAAAAGGGGAAGCCGGAAGGCTTCCAAGATCTGATCTACTGGGTGTGCTTTTAGGGAAACCCTTCCCTGAAAGCTTTTTAGAGAGAAACCAAAGGGAAACCAAGCCATTTGGTGGTATCCAAATCCTAAAGCACGACACCTGGGGTTCTTACTGCCAGAAGATGGAACCCAACAAAACTGGTCGTGAAGCTCTTGTACCGCAGGGGCCACGTTCCATTGTCATTGTCTCGCTTCCTGAGTGGATGGGACAAAGAAAGAAAGCAAAAACTGTTTGTTGGCGACTAATGCAAACCCCGGATCTTAAGTAGAACCCCCGGCTGATTAATAGGAAGTGTCCCATTTTAGTGGGGATTCATCACTTTTGGAGGGAACACCCCCCTATTCATGGGACGGGTCTTTTAATCCTGGGTCAACATTAACATGGTCATCCCAAAAAGTGACTCATGTCCAACTGAACAATTGAGTTGATCTCGACTGTCCTCAGATCCGCTAACTTTTATTGGCCCAATGGAACTCAGAAAAGGAGCTTTGCAATCTCTGAGGGTGACCCGAATGCCCGTTCAGGCACCTACTCCCCATGTGATCATGTGATGCAGTGATGCGCCAGGTGTTTCTGTGCCCGGCCAAACAACGATTAGAATGCCCTTTGACACTGACTCAGATGCCGTAGGGTAAACAGCCGTGCTTACTTTCCAATCCTTGGTGTGGATTTGCAAAACTAAAACTGACGGATTGTTTTGCGGCCTACAAAACAACATGAGCAGAACCCCAACAACACAAAACACCTTAACACATGCCACTGAAATTCTATGAACCCCCATTGTTTTAATGGTTGGAACCCCTACGCCTTGGTAACAAGAGCCAAACAAGTCGAAACTCCCAACGTGAGCCTTCGCGTTGCCGGAACCGGGGTCAACCGCCAGCCATACCGAACCAATGGTCGGGGCCTCGTTCTGAAATTTCCTTGGAGCTACCCGGAAAAAGGCTGACACGATTCTCAGACGTATACCACAACCTCTGCTTTACAACCCAAACTAATCAGCGATATATTCTGGCCTCTGTTCATGGAACCTGACAACTTCAAGACTTGCTCAATATTCTTCAGCACTTCCAACACACCACACACACACACACACACGCCCGAGAACGCTGACGTGTTCCACACATCGGCGCCCATCTTCCGCAAAAGCCGAGTTGCACCGGGGGCCGGTTGGGCCGACGCGCCGGCTCTGCCATGGCGGCAGAAATATTCGCTGTCAAGTGAGTATATCTTCATTTGCTTCTTTCATATCTGGCCTTTAAGCAAAAGATGACAGCGAAAGAGACTCCGGAACATGCATTCTTTCCTGTGTTTCCCTTCTAATCAACGCTCTCCAAAATCTTTCATTTCGCAAACAAGCAGGCATTGGGTGCTACTGTAGGTGTTCATGAAACATAAGGCTTTGATGAGAGGGTTTAAGCTGTCTTTCCCGGGGCCCAGCCCTTGCCAAGGACCACCAAGAGCTTCCTTTTAAAAAAAAACACGATGCGAGGCGTGCACAGCATGCTGAATATAAGAACCCCTGTGCCTGAGTCTCCTCTTGTCTGGCCAGGGCACGGAGCGCGATGACAAACTCAGATCACGATAATCTTGACGATTCAACCCAGTTTCGTTCATATGGGGGCGTTCCCCTGCAGTGACGAATCCCTACTAAACCTAGGGACACCCCCCTGTTTTGTGTTAAAGCCGGTACAGGGGCTTATTCATCCGGGGTCAACATTCGCCGGCTACAAGAAACTGACAACTGCCCAAAACCCAATGGAAACCGATTGGAAAAGCACCCTGACCTTGCTTTGGAGGGGGAGGGGACTGAGGGGACCCACGAATTCTCCAGGAAACCAAGGGCTGGCTTTGTCTGCCCTGCTATTAGAGAGATCGAATTCTGGGCCTGTCATTTCTTAGGCGTTTTTTCTTCTGCCGTGCAAGAAGCCAAAAGAAAAGCCGAAACGCGGCATTTTAGGGGGTCCCACCCCCAATAAAAGGACGAGCCACCCTTTTGAAAACAGGAAAAGGCGAAAGTACAGAAATCTGCAGGCTGCAGATTGACGAGCCAACGCATGAGAAAAAGTGTACTCCTTTTAGTTTCCTTTTGTTCCCTGAGAAAACACGTGCCCTCAAAAGAGGCACCAAATCATGGTAATGGGACACTAATGCCGTACAGCCATCATGAGAGTCCCCACTGCCAATTGGTTCAACAAGTGACATCCTCAACATGATCCTCGCCTCATGTGGTTTCAAATGACATCAGGTGCTCCCTCCAAAAGTGGTCTAAATCCCAACAACAGGGGCCACCCCAAGATCAAAATCAACCAGTTCTACTTAGATGCGGATTTGCGCCTGGAAAAAATCGGGGCAAAGATTTCCAGAGTGATAGAGTCCCTAAAACAACAACATATGGACAAATAGACACGGCATTAATTTCAGCAAATGGAAGCCTTAAATGAGTCTCAGCTCCATTGGTCCATGACTGCATGAAAAATGGGGGGCGATCAAATGAGAATCGGCGCCCAGAAAGCTCTGGAAGCAAAGGGCACTCTGTCCAAAACTCTGTCCCATTACCATGAGGGGGACAAAAGGAAACTAAAAGGAGTACACTGTTTCTCATGCATTGGCTCGCCAATGAACGCACAGCAATAATCAAAGGGCAACAAGGAAATGGGACCTTGGTGTCTGGGACCGCATGCGCGAAGTTCCTTTTTCCATGGGCATTAGCGTGCTTCAAGCGAGACTTTGGAAGCTCCGCTGAAAAATCCTCTCGCGGGCGCCACGGTCCAAGCTGTGTTTGGCCAATTTGACAGCCAGCTTCCCAACCTTTGGGATGATAGCATACGACACTTAATGCTACACCTCCTTTATTAATAGTCTAGTCTATTGTAGCAAATGGTTTTCGTAATTCAGGATCTTGTGACTGCTTTGGGGTCCTCAATTGCAGCAATTATTCCCCCCTCCAAAAAAAACAAAACGCAAAACAAGTGCTCTTTTTGTTACTCTCTTGATCTTGTCTAGGGCTAAGCCTCCGATAAAATATGGGCCAAACAAACTTGGCAAAGAAGTCGGGCAAAAAACCGAAGCAAACAAATCCGGGCAAACAGGATCTTTGGAAGTGGTCCCCAAACCATCAAATTTAACAAAACTTCCTTACAAAAAAGTACGGGCAAACAGTCACGCAAAGGGGGGTGCTCACCAGGGGCCCTGATCCTCTTTTAATGCGACTGTTTTGGGGTCCTCGTTAGTGTCCAACGGCTTTTTGGGTTGCTGAAATTATTAGACTCAAGCCTTAGCCTTTTACTTCAGGGCGGTTCACCTAACCAAGCTCTTCCCAGCTCAAAGGGTAAAGGCCTTGGCAATACTAAAGTAGAATTGGCAATACTAAAGTAAGTACTGGGAATCTGAGGGTCAGCCTTGGCAATACTAAAGTAGAATTGGCAACACTAAAGTAAGTACTGGGAATCTGAGGGTCAGCCTTGGCAATACTAAAGTAAGCACTGGGAATCTGAGGGTCAGCCTTGGCAATACTAAAGTAGAATTGGCAATACTAAAGTAAGCACTGGGAATCTGAGGGTCAGCCTTGGCAATACTAAAGTAGAATTGGCAATACTAAAGTAAGTACTGGGAATCTGAGGGTCAGCCTTGGCAAGACTAAAGTAGAATTGGCAATACTAAAGTAAGTACTGGGAATCTGGGGGTCAGCCTTGGCAAGACTAAAGTAGAATTGGCAATACTAAAGTAAGCACTGGGGATCTGAGGGTCAGCCTTGGCAAGACTAAAGTAGAATTGGCAATACTAAAGTAAGTACTGGGAATCTGAGGGTCAGCCTTGGCAAGACTAAAGTAGAATTGGCAATACTAAAGTAAGCACTGGGAATCTGAGGGTCAGCCTTGGCAATACTAAAGTAGAATTGGCAATACTAAAGTAAGCACTGGGAATCTGAGGGTCAGCCTTGGCAATACTAAAGTAGAATTGGCAATACTAAAGTAAGCACTGGGAATCTGAGGGTCAGCCTTGGCTAAGCCTCCGATAAAAAAGGGCCAAACAAACTTGGCAAAGAAGTCGATCAAAAAACCCGAGCAAACAAATCCGGGCAAACAGGATCTTTGGAAGTGGTCCCCAAACCATCAAATCTAAGAAAACTTCCTTACAAAAAAGTGCGGGCAAACAGTCACGCAAAGGGGGGTGCCCACCAGGGGCCCTGATCCTCTTTTAATGCGACTGTTTTGGGGTCCTCTTTAGTGTCCAACGGCTTTTTGGGCTGAAAAAAAAGGTCCTTGGCAATACTAAAGTAGAATTGGCAATGCTAAAGTAAGTACTGTCCCTCCCAGACCCCCAGGATCTCGCTTCCCAAGGTCCAACTGATTGGTTCCACTCCTAGCGGGGAGGGGGGGGGTGTAAGGTCCAACATTAGCAACCCTTGGCACGCTGGCGCACTTCGATTTTCTGCAATACCCCTCCCCCACACACTAAAAACGAAGAGGACAAAAAAACTAAACTACTAAGACACATGGCAAGAACAGGGAAGAACACTCCGCTTGTTTGCAGCGCGTTCAATTCAGAGGGACCTTGAGACAAATGCCCATTCTGTCCAATGTGATGTGTCGTGGTTCGGACAAGGCAACCCTTTGTCATCTGGTATGTAGGTGCGAATGTTTGCAGAAAACACCGTAAACACGTCAAATCGCCAAGTGCTTTGCCCATGGCCCGCTGCCCAGACCTCAATTAGCTCCGAGTTCGGATTTCCTCACGTTTCACTTTGAATGTTGGCTTTAAAGGATGGAGGGACACCCAACATAGAAACGCCAGCAACAAACCAAAAGAAGATGTACGCGTCTACATGCGTGCGTACACGTGCTGGAAAGACACACCCATTGGAGGTCTGGGACGTTGATAATGGCGGGCCGCAACGGCCCCTTGGCATTTGCAAGCTCGCAGCAAGTGACCATCCGGTGGATTTCCAGCTCTGGTGGCATAACGGGTCAACTGGTTCAAAGATGAGGGGTCTATCAAAATACATGGTGTGCTTTTGTTGAGGGAATCTTCGTTGGTGGGCTTTCAAGGGGAAACGCAAGGGAAAACCACCATTGGGGGGGGTCCGATTCCTATGCACAACGAACCTTGGGTGTACACAACAAGCCTGTCACATTATTTGTCGGAATTAGCCGGCCCTAACTCATTCTGGCGGAGAGCCCCAAAACAACAAAAAACTTGGCCAACATTTCAGATACACCAGGAACATATTCTGACTCGAAAACAGGAAGAAGGGTCCTGTGTCTAAATCCCCCCCATTTTTTTCCGTAGGATCCCCTTCTGAATCCCAGGGAATCCCAAAACCGTAAAAAGATGAGGAGCCCATGAGACCGCGATTTTTCCGGGAGAATTCCAAAACCCACCAATACAATGAGTGGCTCAAAACATGTACCGAAATGGCACCTTGGTAAATGCCACCAAAGAGTAAAACCTGCGGATTGTCCCTGGCTCTTTTATTTCGAGCCACACACAAATGAAACCGAAAGGGGATGACTCATCATCCCCGCCGAGTGAGCTGAGCGAGGCTTCCGGCTCGAGGCGTGTCACATGTCCCCGGTCATGTCCACCTCCACCAAGGAGGAGGCCTGGCTCCCGACAGATGTGGCTAGCCTGACATCTCCGGATTTGCACAAAGAAGTCGCCAAGCTTAAATGAACAAAACAAATGAAGGATGAAATAAATATGTACATCAGTATGATAAATAAGTAAATCAGTAATTATGACAAACACATGAATGATCAAAAAAAATAAAAAAATAAATAAAAGAAAACAAGTGAATCAGTACCTATATGTTTAAATGTACATACTTATATTGAGTTCTCAGGGTTGTTCCTGATCCTACTCACTAAAATGACAACCCACCCCAAAAAGTGCCCAAAGTCCCCGAAACCCATCGGGAGAGAGTTTGCGACCATCTTCAGTGCCCATCCCATGGAAAGCAAGAAACGCTGATCCGCGCAGCCCTCGACCCTCTGAGAACAAAACCAAACAGAAATAAATGCATCAGTGTCTCTAGAATAACACAAACTATATTGCAACAACCATTTTGTGGATTTTAAATAGGACAATTAACCTGTGCTGTCTAATCTACAAAACAACCGAGATATAATACAAAATGAACAACCCAGGTCATAAAACCGCTTCCATCCCAACAACATGCCAAGACAGCCAAAATGAGCCCAAGAGAAACCAAACAACCTGTTGTAAAGACCTCGCGCGGACAAGTGAAACAAACTTGTTCCAAAAGGTAAGAAACATCAAAAGCCGCTCCAAAGAGCAACTCACTAAACAGTTTCACCGTTGACAGCCTTGCGCATCGTGTTGGCCTATGAAGGTTGGGCTCTGACCTACTGCTTGTCCAATTGGTGGTTTGGAGCGGTGGTTTGGAGATGCTCTGGGCAAACCAGCCATGCACCCTCCGTAACAAACCGCCAATCTAGGCCACCAACGAGGGGTTCCCAGAAATAGAACGTCTTGAAGCGCTGCCCCATAAATCGCAAGCCATAACATATTTTCTGAAAAAAACCCATACTACGAAACCTACATTGCGATTCTTCTTTCCAAACCTCCAACACCCGTTTTTTTTTGTTTAGAAGTTTGCTTCCTGGTAAACAAAAAAAACCTGAGGGTAGACTCTAGGTCCGGAAGCGGAACGAAACAACAAGCCCTTCCCTGGCGCCACTCTTCCTGAAACGTTCCCCCCCTTTAAAAAAGCAATATATATATATATACATATATATATATATATACATATATATATATACATATATATATATACATATAGATGTAAAAAAAAAAAAAAAAAAACGCTGGCAGAAAAACGCCCACTCGCAAAAAAGGAAAAACACTGGTGGCCCCCCGCCCCAAGCAAAAAAACAAACAAATGCGAGAACAAACCAGCGGTGGCAACCCGCGGCTCTCGTCTGACTCCGGGCCCAACTATCACGGTACGTGGAAAGCTCGCCGCGTCCTGGCTGGTGCGGCGGCTGGTGAGGTCCACCTCCAGCAAGTCGCTGGCCACCTGAGTCATATACTAGCCCGGTATGAAAATGGTCTACCGAGAACCATGCTTCAAGAATTAAGAAGGCGGAGATCCGCAGCTATTTCTCGGTTGCGAAATCTGCTCCCCTGCTAAAAGTGACTAACTTTTAGTGGTTTAGTACGGAAAACCCAGTAGTTTGCAAAAACTTAAAGTCCTAACAGCCAAGCAAAATGCACCAAAGATTTATGGCAAGGGGATCGTCCCTTACTAACCTTCATCTACCCGGGTATTGATTGTGACTCTGACGAATCGCGCCGAGAGAAACGACCCGACCCGAAGCGGGGGACCCGGTCCGCGGATTCTTCCGTGTGCCTCGGTCCTCCAATAAAACGCGGTTGGACACAGTTGGTACCCAACTTTTTCGGTTTTGTCTGCTTCAGTAGGGAAAGCCTCCCGTAATAGGGCACTACTGGGGGACCTAGGTTTGCTTTTGTTGGCGAGTATCGCCGCCCTGGGAAAAAGGAGCAACAATGTCCAGTAGTGAGATCGATTCCCATTCTTACTTTAGCCCAGCAATAATAGGTGACTCATAGCTGGTCATATCTATGTGATATCTGAGGATACCAATTGAGATACGCATGAATATATTGGATATATGGAGATGAACATATATGTGACTCAAGCAGATAGAACTGAAGCATTCAAGATATCTTGAAATGAAATTAACAAGGGAAAATACACAATTGTCATTCAGCAAATGGAAGTTTGGGAAGCAGGTGAATCACAATCAACACCCGGTATATTTTCATGGGCGATCCAAACGGCGGATCATTGCCCAGCCCGGGGTTTCCAAACCGTTTTGGATGCGCCTTTTGTGGATTTCACCTGTTCTTCCCCCTGCTGGTCCTTTTGTAGTAATCTTTTAGTACTCTTTTTAACCTTCTGCAGGGGTGGAATTACAGATTCGCCACATCCAAACCGATTTCTAGAGGAGTGAATCGGCCCCACTGGAACCAGATTCCTGGCCGAGGCTTCGAAGCTGCTGGGTCCAGGGTGCGCTTGGCTGCTTCCAAGATGACTTGCCAGACACCCAAGGGCAACTAAACACAAACGAGGAACCTTCTACATCCTTTCAACAGTTGCCCAAAGGATCCAGACGTAAAAGGTTGACCATTTGGGGGCCATGACCAAAGATATGCCAAAAATTGGAAACCAAACGGCCTTGCGAAAGTGAGAATATTGTCAACAACTAGAATAAGAGATCCCAAACTAAAATTACGTCCCTAGATAGCCAAGTTGCGATCGCTTTTTTCAGTCACTGTTGCTGGTGTTTGGGGTAAAGTTCATGGAAAAAAGCAGCAACTGGTGATCCAGGTCATGGCTTTCGCGTTGCGTTTTACCGATTCCGGAATTCGGAATCGGCTTCGCTTGCCGCTTGCCATGACATGGGCGCACTGCTGTCCCTGTTGGCTACTGCTTGCACAGCCATCGCCTCAACAGAAGCTCCTGAAGCCCGGAGAGGGGTCGCCTGTGGGTTTCATGGAGCCATTTGCTTCCAAAGGTCTACGGACCAAACGATGAACAGACGGTGAACAGCGAATCAGGGTACCCTATTTTTTCTGTAGTATATTAGTAGGGCAACCCTCCCCCAAAAAATGGTAAAAAGGCACTACTGGGGGACCTAGGCTGAAATCACACCCCCCATATCATTTTTTCATGGAGACACCACGCCGGGGATGTCTAAAGTCTAAAGCAAGCAACAATTTCCCCTCCACCCCGAAAACCAACAATGATACGTTGGATTCTAGCCCATATCTAGTAAACCTTAAGATGTAAAATGATCCTGGGGTCCGCTAGAATCCCCCAACACCCCCCCCTCCGGCAACAACAACAGCAACATTCCCAAACACATGGTTTGCATCTGCGTAGAATGTACTCAGGGAAAAATAATCCACTCAAAAGATCAAGAACACAACTAGGTCCTCCAGTAGAGAGGTTAGAACTAGGTTTTCTGTAGTCTATTACCTAGCTGGGGGACCTACACTGAAATCGCAAAAACAAAAAACCATAACCCCCCCCCCCGCCATATTAATTTTTCACGGAGCCATGCAGGGGATGTCTAGAGCAAGCAACAAAAAAAAGGGAGCTAATTCCGGGGAAGAATAAACTGGGCTGTTCAAAATGGAGGGCAACCAATCTCAATGCAACAAAAATCCACGTTGGACAGCCGCACCCCGATTCTGCAACCCAAAGCGAGGATTGCCATTGGAGAGCCCAGACAAACATTGCTTCACAAGCCTTGGTACGGGCTTGCACAAAACTGACAAACCTAAAACATGAACAAGAGCGGAACAAAAAAAAAATAAGAAAAACAACTTGATCCCCCCTCACTGCCCTCACTTCAAACTCCCTTCAAAACAGACAACACAGACTTCAATTTCCCCTCAAAACAGACACAAAACAAACAAAACGGACACGTTAAACGGAGACATCTGCAACTCTTCATGCCGCCCTTTTCACTCGGACCTCTCGGACCCAGGTCGAGAAGCCATGGTCTGGCCGAAGCCCCGCGACGGACTGGCGAAATCCTCGGTTTCGTGGGGGTCTGGACGAAACAGGGATCCGGATGCATGAAAAACACCTGCAAATGGCGGTTTCCAACTTTAATTTTCGTGGAAAAAGCCATGTTTCAAATGGTTGCTTACATGAAAAACACCTGAAGATTGCAACTTGTAAATGGCGGTTTCCAACCTTTTTTTGGCGTTGAACAAGCAACTTGTTTCAAATGGCTGCAAAATGAATTTCTTTTAAGGAGCCCTGCGAAATATGATGGGTTCGATTCGTTTCACCTTTGGGGACCTTGACGAAATATGCACCAAATGGCTGTGGGTCAACAATAGGGTAACCCCAAAATGGGTTGCCCTGGTAAGTGGAAACATGGACCAAAATCTGCGGTCCAATTCCTGGTGGTTTAATTTTGACCCACACCCAAATCAGGAAAACCAATGGGCGACTGAGTTTTCTGGGTTGCTTTCCACCCCCGAATGAGCAAATGGTCGCAATCGACCTGTTGAACCGGTTCAATGGAAAAAAACACCTTTCCATCATGTCCTTGCCGGGCTCCGATCGGTAGCTCCGAAAGGCCCCCTCTGCAAAGGCAAATTTGGATGCCGGGACAAAGTTGGCTCTCTTCGCTCAGCTCCCTTCCAACCACCAGCTAGCCGGAAAAAAATACTCAAAACAAAGCGCACCAAAAAGAAACGCTCTTGACAAAAGGTACCCGCAAAAAAAGATGCCATCCAACACAAAGCGCACCAAAAAGACAAGCCCTAAACAAGAATCTCTCCTTGGCCCTTCAGTAAGGGTACCCTCTTTCTTTTTCCGTCTATTTTAGCAGGGGAACCGAATCTCCCACCCAAAAAAAAGGTGAGAGAAAGAACGGGCGCGAAGCAATTGCTGGGGGACCGAAAGGGCAGCTTTCGATTCCGACGGGTCTAAGCGTCGGGGTCAAAGCCCCCGGCGTCCCGAACGGAACTACATCCAGAAAGGCCGCCCGAACTCTCCGCGGGGCCCAGCGAACTCGGCTGGAGAAGAAGAACCGCATGAACCCAAAAGATCTATGAAGATCCTGGACAGCCGCATGGCCAATTTTTGGTTTGATGAACATCTTAAAAAAAAAAAAAAAAAAAAACTGGAAAGCCGGATGGCCAAACAAAATTGTTTGGACGGAACCCCGCATTTGGATCGGTTTTTTCCCGGTATGGCCATTTGTTGGCTGGCCGGTGGCCGTATTTGGCCGGATGCAACCCGTATTTGTTTCAACAAATTGTTGACCAAAAGCCGTAAATAACCGTATGGTCTTTTTTTTGGTCCAAGCCGTATGGACAGCAAAAAACGTCACATGTGGGTTTTCAGGAATCCAAACAAATGTATAAACCAAAAATCAAGAATGGAATTGTTGAACAACTGTGGAATGGCTGGGAAGCACAGTTGCAGCAAGTCCGATTCTTTCTCAGTCCAAACGTCCTGGAAGGATCGACCTGAAGGTACGGCTAGACCGAGCCTGGGGTGCATGTCTTTGGGCTAGAATAACAGTACCCTTTCTATCTTAGTAGGGGAACCCTCCCCCAAAAAAGGGTAAGAGGGCACTACTCGGGGACCTTGTTGTTGCTGTAACTAACGACCACGGTGCAGCCAACCAAGCACCTCCGGCTGAGACCATTTGCCGTGGGGCCATTGGTTCACTGAGCGCCGTGCCACCGTGGTCTGAGCACGGCGTCGTGCCATCGGCTCCATGGGCGAGACGGGGCTCCTCACCAAAAAAAGTGTGCCCTCCGAAAAACTGGGCTGTCCTCAGACCCCCCGCTAAAAGTGAGTAGCTTTTAGTGGGTTCAATGGAAATTCAACCACCAAACACTAAAAGGCTAAAAAGCTAAGGGGATGGCTGGGAGCCACCAAGAAAAAACGTTCCCCCATGCGGCCCAGTCACTTCCATTTCCGAATATCGTCTCTGAAAAAAAGGAGCAAAGAGATTCCAGTAGTGATAGATTCCCCACCCGTCTGCGAATGTTTACTATAATGTGGCTGAGTTTTGGTGATGAGGAAACAAACATGGAAATTTGGGACATCTACTTTCACCCAGTACCCCAGACCCCCAATGGATGTTCCATGCGAAATATGAAGCTGGGGACTATGAAGTAGGTCTGGGCACCAGTCAGCTTGGGTCCGCTCGGGTGGGCCTCGTGGGAACTGCAAAAATCCGAGTGGCCATGGAACAAAGCACCCCGCTTGCTTGGACCCTACTGGGAGCTCACTATGATAGGGGACCATATCCCACTTTTTGGCAATCTAAACTCTTCCACGGCCACTAAATGAAAAACTATCCCTGGTAGAAAAAGGATGCCCTCTTGGATTGTTTCCATCTTGGATACAAGAAAACAAACCCCAAAAACAAAAGGCGACTATTGCGACCCTACAAAATTCCAAGAGCCATTCCTGGCTGTGATTTGCCAATGGGGCATCCGAGAAACTAACCCTTTTGAAAAGGTCTGCCTTTTCATTGTATCCAGTACTGCGTGTTTTCAATCAAAGGTTCCCAACTTTACACTTTATGCATCACCTACCATAAGGGAGCCGCTTTTAAGTTGAGCCCTTTGTGGTGATATCTCAGCCTGGGAGCCCTTAAGGACACAACCCATTTTAAGATCACCACAACATTTGAAAATCAGCCTCTGCAACTCATGTCTAATCTGTTTTTTGGATGGATATGTGGCTGTGGGTCCAAAAATGGGTATCCAAAATGCAACCCTGGCAAATGGACACATGGACAGCTGGTCGAACTTAAGCTCGATCATGTGCAAAAAAGGAAACACAGGCGGTGGTTTCAATGTCCCATTTGCCCTCAGGTTTCAGAGGTTCAACTCCGCAAGTTATTAATCAGTAGTCCAAACCACCAACGAATGCTCACCTGATGTTCTTCCATAGCTCTACCAAACGAATTGGTACCCTTCGCCTCAAAAAAGACCAGCCGCAAACCAGATTTTGAAAACGAGGCCGACTTGTTCACAGTTTCAACAGGAAAGGCCAAATCAACATGGTTTCCAAAAGGTTTGATCCTCTATTTGCTTCAGTCATGACAAAACGATTTTCAGAAGTGAAAACGATTCCCATTAAAACCAACCAGGGGAAAATAGGTGAAACCATCAGTGACTTGGAGACAAATAAGGGGGCGGCAGGAAAACATATTCATTTCAGCAAACGGAAGTGAGTCATAGTCAAAACCCGGTAGTAAAACGGTCTACCCTGAACCACATGAAGAATTAGAAAGGCGGATATCCGCAGCTATTTTGGTTGGGATTGTCCCTAACCTTCATCTACCCGGGTTTTTAACTGTGGCTCAAATGACCCGGCTCCAAAACCAAAGCCCCCCCGGGGATCTTTCGCCGCCTAGCGCCTAGCAACGCGCGCTGACGCGCCGCGCGCCTGGGGCTTCCCTCCGGCAGGTCCCGGAGCTTCCGCTGCTCCGCCAGGGCCTCCCGGAGCTCCTTCCTTCGACTTCCAAGACGTGGACGGCCCCAAGACGTGGACCGACGACGCCCATTTCTCGGCTGCGAAATCTGCGAAGCCCTGCTAAAAGCTTTTAACAGCGGTTTAGTACGGAAAACCCATGAGTTGGCGAAAAGTTAAAAGTCCTAACAGCCCTTGGCAAAATGCACCAAAGATTTGGTTACCATTGGCACCACCCAAGAAACCATGGTTGAAACCATGACCTCGGTTTTCAACCTCAGCGAAATCATCATTCCAGGGGTTTCCTGGTGGTTTAGGATTTCGTCCATCCACAGTAGCTTCCATTTGGTTAAGGCCCCAGGAAAGAAGAAACAACATGTCCAGTAGTGAAGAAGATTCCCTTTAAAACCAACAGTCTTTTTAAAAAACAACTTGTCTTTTCAGCAAATGGAAGTGGACAGCGCGCTGTAAAAAACGTGGCGAGCGAGGGAAACGGCGCTCGGGCTCCAACCCTCAAAATTAAAGCTCAAGTTCCCTGGAAACAACATATGTCCAATAATGAGGGGTTCTCTTTTTATCCAACTTGGGGAAACAACAAACTCACTCGCCCGAGCATCGGTTCCTCTCTTAGGCGAAAATCCAAAGCATCCATGGCTGTAGGCAAAACGACGGGAAACGGTTCCCCTAGCCCATGGATGAAGGATTGGACTTCCTGGGCTGGCCAAACGAAGGTAGACAAACGTGTTGTCTAAGCCACTAAAGAGGTCCAGAACCAAAACGTGACTCAAGTCCATGCACTCGGGGCATTGAAGGATTGGTTGCAGGCGAAAAGACAAAACCAGGTTCCCATTTGTTTGGGGGTTGGGCGGTTTAGTTGATGGACTTAGTTGTGTGGATTTGCACTCCCCCTGGACATTTGAAACCCAGTCCTTTTAAAACAAGAAACGAGGTACCCCCTCAACAACACCCACCCCGTACAACACGTCTCCGCTGTAGGGGACCCCTCAAAATTGTGGGTGTGTCCGGATCGTTTCCCTTGAAACCAACCTCGGCAAGCTTGTCCTTTGTTTTTGGGGACCTCCCCAAACAAGGATCCTTACATTATACACCTGAACAGTGCCTTGTAAATGGTGGTTTCCCTTTATTTTGGTGTTGAAACAGCCATGTTTCAAGTGGTTGCAACATGTATCTTTTAAGGAGCCCTGCCAAATGCTGAGTTTTGCTTTTGGCCCCCAAACACCCCCAAGAGCCACGTAGAGTACCGCGGGCACGCCCTTTCTTTGTATCTGAGTGGTTGGAAGCTTGACCAAACTGGGGGCATCCCTGCTCGAGTCCGCAGCCCGTACGACTGCAAGGGAAACCGCTAGGACATTACTTTGCCCAAGCCAGTTTTAGGGCGCGTGGGTTGAACCACTACCCCCGACAAGAACATGCTTGTGGAAACCACGGTCCTTGACACAAAAACACAACACAATAAAGACTGAGAAATATGGTATACCAAGAGAATACTAAAGAAATATCAGGGCTACTGGGAAATACTCAGGGAAGCAGCCAAATCTGCCACCCCTTGCTGCCACCCCTTTTGACCACCAAAACGGGCGGGCGTCCAAACCTGCCACCCCTTTCTGCAACCCGTTTTGACCACGAAATTTGCCCTCAGGATGGCTTGAAACATGCGATTTCCTAACCACAAGCATTACGGGAGCCAGTCAATATATTATTAATAGGAGGGGGTTCCCTCTCAAAGGTAATCTGGGTCGGCATTCCAGGTCTTGGCCTATGTGCGCTTTTCCGGCCCAATACATCACCCAGCAAGGGTTCCCTGAGCCTTGGGAAGCCTTGGGAACCCCCACTTGGAGCACTTGGAGCCACTCCCAACCAACCCAGGGTTACCTGAATGGACCCCCCCCCAAAAGAAAAACAAACTCAACCAGCTAAGGGTTACCTGAACGGACCCCCCCCAAAAAAAAACGAGGGGAAAAAAGCCACTCCCAACCAGCGAAGGGTTACCTGAACGAACCCAACAAACCCCGCGGCCGCGGCCCTCGGCTGAGACGAGGTGCTCTGCGCTCTCTCGTTGCTTCAGCGCCTTGCGCAGGTGCTTACAGTCCTGCTCCAGCCGGCTCTTGCTTTGCCTCAGCGGCTGACGCCCCCCCCCCCCCGCCGGAACGGTTGACCCCATAGCTTTCTCAACCCCAGTGTTTTCAAAGCGGGATGGGGGAATCCAATTTTTCCTTGGTTACCAAAAACAGTGAATTAATAGGGGGTGGGAGGGGGGGGAAGAAATCCCTCCTTCTGTGGTCTGATTCCCCACCTCACCCAGGGACACCCTCTCTCTTATTGAAAAAAAACTGGGGTTGATTCTTATGAGGTCAACATTGTCCACCAACGTGGAACCCACCAGATCCCTTCTTTAGGAACATGGTCTTCCAGCATCCCCTCTAAGGTGCATGTTTGTATGGACCCTGAGAGCACGGGGGGTTTGGCTGGTTTCAGTTGGCTTTCTGATTTCCATTCTGAGATGCTGCGGAATAGTTGCCTTTTGGGCTCCCTTAAAACCAAAAACAAGTACAAAAACAGTTGTGCCAATTCCCAAAAGAAGATCACCCAAAACCAGCAACCACAAAGCCGAGATGCAAGAGGCTGGCTTCCTCTCTTTTGAAGGTTGCAATACTTTGGCGCATTTGCGCTGCATCCTCCTGGCGCCAGCGCGAGCGACTGGACTCCCAGGCTTCGCCTAAGAAAAACGATTCCCCAATCCCAATAGGGGCTAATAGCGACTAATGAGGCCTGTTACGGGCCAATACTGTGCACCACCCAAGAAGCCCTGGAATGATGATTCCCCTGTAACTACCAACAAACAATGGTTTCTTAGGTGGTGCAGGATTTCGTCCATCCACAGTAGGGTTCTTTCTTGAGGAGCCCCTCTTTGGGGAGGGGAGGCCCGGACAAAAACTGAGAAAACAATAGCGCAAGACATGTAAGCGCGCATGTTGCGCGAGTGCGCGCGAGTATTGTGCATGTTGTCAATTTGTTGCACCTGGGCCATGCAGCCACGGACAAGTATGTCTTTTCCCCAATGGGAATGGAACTAGTTGTATTCAACTCCGTCCTGGCCCTTGGGTGAGATGAAGGGAGATCCTCACACGCCCTGCCTCAACTACAAACTACATGCAAGATTGCCGGACCCCAAATGCTTCTATTTGCAGGCCTGGACGGGAACACTGGAGGTAAGGATAGGGGGGTCTGAAAATCAAGGTTTTGTTCCTTAGTACAAGTCAACAGTCGCAAACAGAGAGCCACAAGCACTCACCTTTGCATTCACTTGAATGACAAGATACTGCCAGCGGTTGCAACTTGGCCCAGTATGAAGTCTGGTTTGGCGCTAGCGCACATCTCCTCTCGATCTGCCACACTTATGAAAGAAAGCGTGCCTTCCATTTGGTTAAGTCCCCTGAAAAAAAAAAACTCCAGTAGTGAAATTGATTCCCTTTAAAACCAGCAGGGGAAGAAAAAAAACGCAAATGGAAGGTGCTTGTTAAAGGCGCCGAAACTTGGGTGCTGATCCTCCAGCAAGTTCTCAAGTTTCTGCAGGTTGAAAGGACTTTACTTTGAATATGAGGGGTATTCAAAAAATGAAAGTCTAAAAACAGACTTTAAATCTAATCTTTACCTTTAAAACAAACACTTTTAGCCTTCACTTTGAATATGAGGGGTATCCCCCCAAGACAATAAAGGTTTCAAGATCCAACCCCATAGCGAGGAAAGACTTGACAACTGCAGAGGTTCAAGGCAATCGAAGGATATGATGGCTCCGAACCTGGAAAGTGATCTCTCCGCTTGCATCCTTCCGTCCCGGATGCAAGAAATGAAGGTGGAGAAGTAGAAAATCGCTGCAGGAACTTCCCCTGCCTTCATTTGCTAAAATATTATGTTTAATCAGTGTTTCAAAATTATGAATCTTGAGAGTTACCCTCCCACCGACTAACATGGAAGTGCCCTGACCCCTGTAGAAAGACTACTTTCTTCTTGGAAAGGGGCTTTGTGCACTTCCATGTTAGTTGGTTCGAGGGTACATTCTGGAAGGCCAAAAAAGGGCCCAAAAAGCAAAGAGGGGGTGCGGGCAAAAAACGCAAACCGCGGATCGGCAATAGCAAACGTTGGGAGCTTCTATTTAGAGGTGCCCCGCTCAGCGGCAGCTGAGCTTGACGTCTGACCTAGGTTTCTCGGCATGCCGTTGCAAAGGAACACAACTCCTTCAGGATCCTGCGCCTGGTCAATGGCATCCTTCCAGTTTTGAGCATGGACTTGCTCCACTTGCGATACGCAATGAGTTCCCATACGGGTATGTGCTTGAGGGTAGTCTTTGGCGGACATCATCAAGGATTTATGACTTTTGCCAAGCAGTTTGGAGTCTGCGTTCAATCCACTGGGTGAGCAAGCTATAACCATCATGTCACTTACCCACAGGACCTGGAAATACAAGGTTGACCTTTTGAGACCTCTGTCAAAACTGGACCAAAAAGGGAAAACCAGAAGATCAGAAGGCTGGCTCTGGGCAACTGAGGTGTTCCCACCAGACTTTCCTGACAAAGGGTGTAGCATAAAACCAGGAAAACATCCAATCTCCTTAAGCTTCCCGGAAAAAGGTCAAAACTTCAGGGCCCCAGCTTATCAATATTGGGGTGGGGGCCCCTCCAAAAGTGGTCCGAATCCCCACTTCAACCAGGGAGAATGGGCCCCCATATCAACAAGCAGGGGCGAACATTATTCTCCTTTCCCTGAAACCTGGCGCAGCGAATCTCAGCCCGCCTCTGCCCCAGACAGGGCCACTCTCAATAGCTTGCCTGGGTGAAAAACCCGTTGGCAAAGGGTGATCTGCTTTTTTTATTGTTTGAACAAAAACAAGGCAAGGAGAGCTTCTAAACTGCCCCTTTGCCACTAAGGTTTTCCACGCCCAAGCAAACCAAAGTCCAGGAACCTAGGGAGTCAGGTCAAGAGGTGCCCTTTCACCCTTCAATTTGTGCACCAGGGAGCTTTCTTCTCAGAAAGCTGTCGGCCAAATCAGTCCCTCATGTCCCTCATGAAACGAGGGTGCTTGATGGTATGGGAACAATGCCAATGTTCAAACAAGCTGGCCAAAAAGGACACTTATGTTGCCTTTTAAGCGAAGTACAGATTCCACAAAAAGTAGCTGAGGAGCAAGTTCCAAAATAAGCTACCTGGACACTATCCAGCTACCTACCCGCGTACCTTCACTACAGTGTAATAAGACTAGGTTTCTCTTCCCCTCCGGTGCCCGCTGACCTATAAACGCAGCTGACGGTTCTCCTGGAGCCTTCTCCATGACGAAGGCTGCATAAGCAACTCAATGCCGCAAACTCTGAACGCCCGATGTGCACTGCAAAAGCAAGTTGCATCCACGAGGTCTCCCCTTGTCATGCCCAAATAATAGGCCCCCAGAAGGCCTATGGGAAGGGGGGCTATCCCTTATTGCCTCAAGAAGGCCGCAAAAAGGGCTTCTCCTTGGCGGGGATAGCCCCCTAGTTTGCAAGGATTCCATGACAGGGGGGTGGGGGGGCCTATAATTCCATTTATCTAGCACTCCCCGTGAAAAAAAAGAGACAAAAACCATAAATGGAGATCTCCAGAGGGGTCGAAATCCCCATCCTCCAATCAGTCAGTTCTCAGGGCCCCAGGTGGCGCTGCCCAAAAACCCGAAGCTTCACGTCGAGGCCGAGCTGCAGTCGTGCTCCAGCGCCGCGCTGCGCCCGCGCTCCTCCTCGAAGTCCTTGAGCGTCAGCTTCAGGACGCGAGTCTCCTGCGACACCCCTGGGGTGTGCATTTGTATGTATGTATGTATGTATGTATGTATGTATGTATGTAGGTAGGTAGGTAGGTAGGTAGGTAGGTAGGTAGGTAGGTAGGTAGGTAGGTAGGTAGGTATTTATGTAGGTAGGTAGGTATGTATGCACGCATGTATGTATGTTACATATGTTTGAATGAATTTGGGAAGGTATGAACACCCCATGGTGGTCTACCATGGTCTACCATAAGCCAGCCCTGCGGAGTTTCGAGAGGCTTCCCATCTCACTTCCAACTGGCAGCCCAAAAAGGCAAATGGCGAGAAAGCCAAAGGCAAACCTCACTTCCTGCGTGGATTGGCAACAAAGCAAGCCACCTTTTTGTTTGCCAAGTCCAAATGGCAACCAAAACCAAATGGCTAAAGTCCGAAACGGAACTCGGAAAGTGAGAAGCACCGCGGTTTCAGGCGGGTTCCCTTTGCAAAACTCCCTGTGTTTTTTCCATAAAAGCATCACCCCCAGCAAGGGATACTCACCTTTCATGTGCCAAAAAGGTGATGCTTCAAACAACCAAAAAGATGGAACATGGAACCGCCCCCTGACTAGGTCCTCCAGTAGACAGGTTAGAATGAGGGTACCCTTTTTTTCTGTCGTCTATTTTGGGGGAACCCTCCCAACCAAAACAAGGGGTGCCAGGGCACCTAGTCAAAATCAAGTGTATTTAGTCTATTTTAGTTGGGATTGGGATGTTTACTGGGGGTACGATTTGGATTTGACCCATGGCCACGTGGAACCGCCCCCTGCTTCTCCCTAAGCCAAGCCCACGCCCACCTCCGCCAGGTGCTTCCGTTGAGCCTGGGCATCCCGAAGCTCCGCCTCACGGGTGGGCCAGGGGCGGTAGGAACGTCCCCTTAGAGGAAGCCATAAGGGCTTGGGTGCAGTAGATCCTCCAGCAAAGAAAGTTCAACTTTTTGCAGGCTGAAAGGAAATATGAGGGGTATCCAAAAAGTTAAAGATCAAAGTAGAGACGGCCTAAGGGATGGTTCACAGGGAGCCTTCCCTCTCTGAGCGAAGGGAAGGGAGAGGGTCCATTTTTCGGATTTTTGGGATTTGAGCCCCTGGCTCCGGGAAGCTTCAGGGAATGAACCTAGAGAAAGCCAATTGGGATGGTCAGGGAGCATTCCCTCACCGAGGGGGGGGATATGAAGCCATGAACCAGCCTTAGTTCTTTGGGCTCCCTCCCGCCCTAAACCCCGTCAATTTGCGAAACAAGTGGCCATACCGCAAGGGGTGCCTTTGAGCTGTGTCAAGTGTTGTCTAGTTCGGTTCAAGCGTACCCCACATTTAAAAATTCCGGCCCCAGCGGCAAGGGGGTTCCTTTGAACCTTCCGGGAGCTGGATCTTGGCGAAAGGGCAGTGATGTGCGTAGCATGCTGGAATCCACTTGCTAGACCCCAGGTGTTTGAGGCTGAGCGGTTTGCTTGGCCACCTGGAGATGTTTCATAAGTGATCTGGTACTCCCTTTTTTTGTGGCTTGTAACGGTGGTCTCCTCCTGTCGGTTCTTCTTTTAAAACCAACCCCAACTCAGTTGCCCCTTCAGGAACCCAGACATGAACAGCGATCACCAATTGTTTGGCCATGACCAACAAGATCGCCAAAACAAAAACAAACCACAAAACTGGGCAATTCAAACAAACCCGTCCTTTTCCAACCCCCCCCAAAAGAAAAACACAAAACGAGCCGCCCGTTTCACGAGCCGCCCACCGAAAAACTGTCCATCGCGGACCTCCAGGCGCTCGCGGTCCTTGAGCCCGCGCTGCGCGTTACGCCGGTCCTCTCCCGTCCGAACTTGCGGGGAATAGGTCCCCATTCTGAACCCAGGGATCTGGATCTTTCTGGAAAACCACGCAAAACCCTGGGGAAATGGCTGGTGGTTGAAAAGAACGATGGCTGAAAAGAATGGGGAATCAACTGGTGGTTTGGCCCCATTCCAGCTCGCCCATCCAAAGACTCAAAGTTAGAGGCTTCAGCTTCCCACTGTTTGGTGGTTTCGATTGGTGGTTTGGTGATTAAGGGAGGGGCTTACCTCCGTTTACCCTCTACAAGAAGCAGCCCGTTCAAATCCCAACCCGCCGATCCACCAATTCGGGGGTTCCTGAGTCGAAAAGGCAAGTTCAGAGGGCATCCCTTCATCCCTTTCTCCCGAGAGGCCAGCAAGTCTTTTGGTTCCAAAAAGATAACCACTAGGAGGCAGCCCCACTAAGGTGAGGCCAGCCCCACTAGCTTTTTGGTTCCAAAAAATAACCACTTTTTTGGGGTGAGGCTAGCAAGTCTGTTTTGTCAGGGCCCCACTCAAAAAAACAAAAAACAGGTCCCCCTCGACTTCGGCCAAGGGATTCGCCTTGGGAACCGCTTTGTCCGGAGGCTTGGATGGGGTTAAAAAAAAAGGGAGGCTAAGGAGCTTTCCCATTTTCCCACAACGCCAACACCCTGGCCCGGTCATCGCACCAGCAAGTTGTCTACTTCCATGATTGTTGAAACAATTGTTGAACATCGAGTAGTTACTTCAAGGGCAGGTGTGGGTTTTTGGAGGTATGGATGCTGTTTTGGAGGTATGGATGCCTAGTTTGCTACCAACCAACAATTTACAAAAGCGGAAGGACGCCCATCCGACATCCCCCTTGAGCGAGTCTTGCCAACTTCTACATGGGCTATATAACCTTCGCTGTTCTTGGCAAGTTTCTTGTTTTTGTTCTGTTCATTTTGAACAGGGGGCTGCAGAAAACAAAGTTGCTTGCTACCATACCAAGGGTTGTGAGGGAACCGAAAGCTTGGTTCCGGTTCAAAGCTGCGCAGGCAGCCGTCCCAAAACAGGTATCTAGTTCGCGTATTTTCCAAGGCTTTATTTTTACATGCAATGCATTGGTGTGGTATTCAATCAGGATACCCCTCTCCTGGTGGTTCCAACGGGAAGCCACAAGGAAAACGCCCATCATGTTTCCCAAGGGGGGGGGGGGCAAAAAAATGATAAGCCAAAAAATGGGTGTGTCTCAAGATAAACAGGGCTTTCCAGAAAAAGTGTGTTGTGTCCTTTTCCTTCAAGCCCGCAAAACGGCTCCCTGCGCCTCAAAAGGCACCCACTCCTGTATACAAAAAGAAAATTTGAAGTGTCTTCTTGGAGGATCCAAAAGGTTAAGCTTTTACCGTGGATGGACGAAATCCTGCACCACCTAAGAAATCCTGGAATGATGACCCTCCGGTAAATACTGACATGGTTTCAATCACGGTTTGGTAGGTGGTGCGAAATGGATTTCGTCCACGCACGGTATTGAGCGCTTTTAGTTCCAAACTGGTCTGGCTTTCTTGTCAATCTGTGTGGCTTGGTTGGGCCTGGTCTGCTGAATCAGACCTTGGCTGAAGTCCTGGGAGGCCTTGGCGTTTTAGGGATCAAAACTAGGTCCCCCAGCTAGGTGCCCTTTTTAACCCCCTTTTTTTTGGGGGGGGGGGGGTTCCCCTACCAAAATAGACTGCAGAAAAGTTGGTACCCTTATTTTATCTTCTCTACTGGAGGACCTAGTGAAACTCAACAGGTTGACCGGGCTTTCTCAAAGCAAAGTAGTGTTCGAAATGTCAGTCGACCGCACAGTCTGGCGCAACCACCAGGTTGAAGCGCTTGTTCAAGCCGTGCGTCAAAGGCTGCGCAATGCATTCTATGGCCTCAGTTTGGCCCGCCACCTTGTGAAGGAAGAGGTACAAGTGAAGTGCACCCGGCCGCGCCCTGTGGCTTGATCGTCAGGCTCGCTGAGCATATAGGTGTTCATCTTCGGCTTGCTCAAGTAATGAATGCCAGCTGACTTCTCCGACCAAGGCGTATCGTAGACGTTGGACGCCTCGTCTGCAACCACTGCAGCCCTGTTGTAGTTGAAAATGGCTGAGCGTTTGCGGCCAGCCTCCCTGAGGGGTGCCGTTGTTTCCCCTGCGCGGTCCAGTCGCTTTTTGGGGCACCACCTGTACCTATGTCAGCTTCCCTCTGATTGGTGGTTGCTTTGGAGGTGAATAATTGCGGAAATTACCCTCCCACCAATTAACATGGAACCTGACAGGGGGGGTCCTTGTACTTGTAGACCATGTCTTTTTGAAGGGACCCCTGTGTCAGGTTCCGGCTGTGACAAGGGTGCGAGGGAACTCAAAGTATGATCAGCCCCCGCTGGCAAGTTGCTTAGTTTCCTGTCCAAACAAATGGGGTAAAACTACTCAAATCCCAAGACCACCAATCCAAATCACCACCCTGACGGGTTACCTGACCAAAAGGGTCTCACTTCCTGAGCCAAAAAAGGCACAAACTGCGTGTTTGGCACTAAAATAGCAACCAACTCCCACAAGAAGACTTAAGTCAACATGAACTCGGGAAGTGAGGGGTCTTCCTCAACCAAAACCACCAATCCAAATCACCAACCAACCAAGGAAGGGTTCCCTGACCAACAGGGGTCACTCCACTCAACACCAGGAGGTTGTGGGACAAAAATGGGTAGCCAAAATGGGTTGCCTTGTGGAACCAAGGACTAACACCTGCGGTCCAATTCGTGGTCTCATTTTGACCCATACCCAACAACCAGAAAAGGACACCTATGACCATGAGGACTTGACTCGCAGGGAAAGCCCCTGGAGTTTTTTACTGGAAACCAAGAACCAAGTAAGGGTTACTCCACGACCAACAGGGGGTGAGTACGTCCACGTCGTCTCGTCTCCACGTCTCGGTTGCTTTCTGCACCCCTGCTAAAAGTTTAGCTTTTCGCGGTTTAGTGGAAAACCCATGAGTTGGCAAAAAGTTAAAAGTCCTAACAGCCAAGCAAAATGCACCAAAGGGATTTCTCCACGTCTCGTCTCCTCCTCCAAGTCCTCGAAGCGTTTCCTCAGCTGCTGCAGCTCCGACTGCAGCCTTTGCACCTCGCTCTGCTTCTGCGACACCTCCTGCCGCCGCCTGGCACGCACGCGGCACGCATGTGGTGCAAAACATGAGGGGAGCCCCCGACCCCCCGACCCCCTTCGGACCTCGTTGGGTGTGTGTTTTTGGAATCTCCCCCCAAATAAAAGAGTCTTCCTTTTTGGCTTCCCTCTACTAACGGTAGCTTTTTAAGGCTTCCGATCGAATAAATGGGCCAAAACAAGTGCCCAAACTTGTCGCTTGCCACTAGAATGGCTCACATCTAAAAAGTATCTAAAAAGTGCATCTCTACTCTTGGTATGGTAGCAAAGGACTTTGTTTTTTTTGCAGATCCCCAGTAAAAAAGAACAAAACCAAAAAACTAAAAAACAAACAACATGCCAAGAACAGTGAAGAGTGTACAGTCCAGGACTTCAGGAAGCGAGAACTGGGACCCCACCTCTTTGTGCCTTTCCCCAATTCAGTCGAACAAATGCTTTTGCAACCCCTACCCAAATTGAACTGAACCACACAGCCAAACGACAAAAACCGTGCCAACAGCATTGAAGTTGTTGCTATCCTTTTAACAGGCAGCACCTTCTGCAGTACCAAGGTCCAAAGAAGTGCTTGTTTCTCCTGTTTTGGTTCGTACTTCTGCCAAGTTGGTTTAACGATTTGCAGCCGCAGGCTTGGAGAAGCCTAAGGAAAGAACCTCTTTCCCAACTTGATTGCCCAAGGGACCGGCAAAAAAAACAAAAACGGTTCGGCTTGCCGGACCTTGACGATTCGCTTTGGGCAAGTGAGGGCAGTCAGGAAGCAAACAACCCCCCCCCTCCAAATCCTTCAAGCCCCTGGAAGAAAGTGGACATAGTTCCAGCGATTGGGGAAGAAAAAAATCACATATGCCCGGATCAGACCCATCTTCAGAGACCCTCCAGATGCGAAACCTTCCCGGAACCTGAGTCGGAAAATGCCCTCCGTCAGGGGTCTCCAACAAATGCGGGCGCCGGGGGGTTCGGGGGCCAATCAGCCCACTGGAAGCCAGGAACTGTTGGTTTGCCACCAAGACACTCGGCTGCGAACTCTGCGAAGCCCTGCTGAAAATGTTGAAAACTTTGAGTGGTGTCTAATACGGAAAACCCGTATTAGTTGGCCAAAAAAATAAAAAGTCCTAACGTCCAAGCGAAATGCACCAAATAAAATGGGGGGGAGTGCTCGCTCAGGAGATGTGTTCGTATAGAGAAAGCTGTCCCAAATAAACGAGTTTTTCCGGCCCGCTGGTTACCCTCCAATCATGGAAGTCGGTCGAAGGGTTCTGGACTTCTGGACTACTTTCCTTGAAAGACACCCTGTCCACGTCCGTGATCCTTTCTCAGTTCGCCAGAGAGAAACAAGCCAGGCGACTTAAAGATGCGGAGCAAAGGGGCCCTATACAGTGATTCGAGAATGAAACAAAAACGAACGGTTTGCCTCAAACAACCCCAACACTGGAAATCCCCATCCCCAGCCGAAGACACAATAGGACCCTTGCCACCTTCGTTGGCTGGCCCAAAACAACCAAGACATACCAACATATAAATTTATTCAACCAGGAAAGTACACCTGCACAAAACTCCTGTTTTCAACACTGGCCCAAGCCCCAAAGCAGTGATTGACTCAAGTGGAAAAAAATAAAACGGCTCTGACCTGGGAATGGGTGTGTTTTTGCCACCTTTTGCGAGAAAATTGGCGACCCCTCGAAAAGGAATCCTTCACTACGAGGGGGTCGATCATTGTTCCACAAAAGGCAAAAAAAAAACACCCGTGGAATATTGTTACTCTTCTTTTGTTGGTTTTATTGGTAATATGTTTATGTTCCAGGCGGCTTGAGCAAAACACCCCTGTTTATGTTCCACAAAAGGCAGCAACAAAACACCCCTGGTCATTCCACCGTCAATTTTTTCCGTGCCCTGCCCCGTGCATTCCTTTTCGCGGAGCCGAGGCGCTGCGTGTCGGACTCCTTGAGCTGCCGCTCTTGGAGCTCCTTGTTCCACAGCGCCTCCTTCCTTAGTCAGGGTTCCGGGGGGTCCGTGGGACCATCTTACTAGGTCCTTTCGTAGAGAGGTTAGAATAAGTTGGTACATCTTTTTTTCTGCAGTCTATTTTAGAGGGGAACCCTTCCAACCAAAAAAATGGTAAAAGGGCACTACTCCTCGAGCCCTTGGTTTCTCTTTGGCAAGGCTTCTAATCCCCCTCACTGGATGACGCGTTCAGTAGGAAAATCTGAGATTTCCAAAACTTTGCAATCCTTGGCATGTGACACGCCAAGAAACGCGATGTTACATTTCCGAAGCTGCAACAAAGCAGCAAACAGGCAATAACCACCTTCTACTAAACCTAAGATTTCTCAGGGTTCCCTAGTCATCTCCACTACCTCAAGGGGAAGGGGGGTAAGGGTCCCCCAATTCCAGTTTCTAGCCTTCTCCATGAAATCAGAAAATGGAACCATACATGGAAATCTCCAGTCACCCCCCCTCTCTCAGTTCCATTCTTAAGAGGGTGAATAAATTTAAAGTCGTTGGGAGCCTTCAACAACCACTCCCAGCCCCCAGCCTTGATGGAAACCCGATGCGGTACCAAACACAGCGAGTCCCTCTACATCCCGGAATCCCCGTTCAGCCCATTTACTTGGCTGGAGAGAGAAGGGGCCCAGCAAAATATATATATATATACATATATTTGCCTGGTGAGTGGAAAACAAGGGGAACCCCAAAAAAGCGAGAAAAAAAGCAAAAAGGGGAGTTAATTCTGGGGAAGTTTAAACATCTTCAATTAGGGTTGTTACTTTTGGCCGAAGTCGTGATGGTTGTGGGGGGGGGGGATAACTCGGGAGCCCTGTGAAAAAACGGCGAAACCTCGGTGGTTTCCCATTTGCCCACAAGAACCAGCCAAGGAGGCTTCAAAACAAAATCAAACTGGGCTCCAAACCACCAACTAACAGCTACCTCATGGTAACTAGGATTTTTTGTCCATGCATAGGGCGCTAACGCCAGTAACCCAAGTGATGCACCAGGGCAACAAAACCTACTTTTTGAGTTGCTTGGTTGCTTGAGGTTGACCCCCAAACGAATAAACCCCAGTTTATTAATATGGGGGTGGGGGCCCCTCCAAAGCTGTCCGAATCCCCACATTTCACCCAGGACACCCTAATACACCCTATTAATACACGGAGGTGTATTAACGGGGGCAGCATTACAAATTACAACACACACACACACACAAAAACAAAACTATAACTTTTGGAGGGGCAAACCCCACCCCCATATCAATAAACGGGGGTTCTGCTTCTGTTATTTTTTCCCGGTCAACCTTAAGCTGACTTGCCCAAACGACCTGGAAATACAAGGCCAACCTTTTGGGGCCATAACTAAAACTAGACCAAACAACTTGGGTGCTGTATCCCCCAGCAAAAAGTTCAACTTGTTGCTGGTTAAAAAGAAATATCGAAGGGAACCCAAAAAGTTAAAGTCCAAAGATCCAACCCAATATGACTTTAACTTCAATCCAATAGGTAGAGACCAGGAGAAGCTCATTCAAGTCTAAAGATCCAAGCGGATGGCGGTAGAGACCAGGAAACAATTAGAATACTTGACTCAGAGGACCTGGAACTAAAAGCTGAGCACCAAAAAATGGGACCTCTTCCTAAAAACTTACCCCAGCAACCTGGGGAAGTTCTCATCTTTTACAGACATATAGCCCAGGTTACCCCCAAAAGTTGAGAAAAGTTTTGTGTTTTTAAGAGGTAAGAAAATGGACCAGATCCGGGAAACCCAAAGGTCAGATCCGGTCGGCTTCGCTTCGGGCAATCCGACTCCGAGCTTCGCCTGGCGCAGTTCCTCCTGGCGCTCCATCTCCAGCCTCGCGGCTTCCGCGGCTCGATCCGCGACGCTTTCCAAAGAAACCCAAAGGAACGAGCGGATCTCCCCTGCTGGGTCCTCCAGATTGAGAGCTTAGAAGAAGAAACCCGATTTGTGTTTCTCTTTTGTCTATTTTAGTAGGGGAACCGAATCTCCTCTGCCAAAACCATGAGGTCCAAAACCATGAGGAACCCAGGAGGTTTACTGAGGACTAATTCTGCTTTTGTACTTGCAGTGCTATACTCCTCCAGATCTGAGAGCTTAGAATAAGTTGGTACCCGATTTTGTTTCTCTTTTGTCTATTTTAGTAGGGTTCGGAACCGAATCTCCCGACCAAAAAAGGGGAGAGCAAGGGCCACCTAGCTGGGGGACCTAGCCTGTAAATACGAACAAAACAGCATGGTTTCAACTGTGGTTTCATTTCGTGGTGCAAAGTGGATTGCGCAACCATCCACAGTACTGCCTGCAACCGACGAAAAGCGGCAATAATTCATTTGTTAACGGTTGTCGTGTCCCCATCGCAATTCTTGCTGGCTATTACGTCCTGGTTAAACAAAGTTCAAGAATTGCCTTGCAGGTTCGAGGGAAACGTCTTTTTCCCCAGCACTATGTGAGTCCAAAGGTCCGGTCTAAATAGAATGCACAAGATGTGTCTCGTTCGATCGATTTGCTTCGGGCAACTGAGAATCCCGTCTACTTCAGGGATTCCTTTTCCACCGCTGCAAATTAGTGGAGCCCCTTGAAACGATGGCCACTGTGGGAGGCTCCCAAGATGGGAATTGTGGAAACCCCTTTGCCAGGTTCCATGGCAACTTGGGCAGGAGGTTACTCCAGTAATACCTTCCATTTGCTTCAGCCCCCTGGAAACATATTTCCGGTGATGGATTCCCTTAAAAAAGACAAAAACACCAAGGGAAACAAGAACACAACTCCTTCATTTCAGCACGTGGACAGGTAACCAGTCCACTTCATAGGTGTCCTTTTAGGGGAAATAGATGGCTTTCCCTGGTAGATGATTAAACCACCAGGTAAACCAGCAATGGCCCTCGCTTTTTCGAGCAAAACAAAACCAAAAAGGACAGCTATGGTCCCCTTTGTTTTCAGCCGGGCCCCGATCTCCGCCGCCCCGATCGTCTCCGATCGGCTCCGAGTTCGCCTTCGTGAGTCGTCCGCCTCTTGCTCCAGCTGCGCCAGGGAGGACTTGAGCCGCAGAAGCTCCTCCTCCACCTCCCCGCGAGACCCCACTTAACAAGTTCCCCGAGTAAGATTTGAACCCCACAAGTGACCACACTTGTGGTTGGCCACCAAAATGGTCCAAACCCAAAAGTGACTAATGTCCGAAACGGGAGTCACGGAGTGAGATACAAACCACCAAAAAGGAGTTGCCTGACCATTTGCGGCTTTTCGTCCCTGGAAAACATGCTTTGCTTCATGCTGAAACACACGGAAAATGCAAAGTTCGGCTCTTGCCAAGTCAGCGACTTGCTGAGGACTAACGGGGTTTACGGCGAAGGTGGGGGAGCGGACTAAATATGACAAAATCCCGCACTATCTGGGACGGAACCAAAGCCACATACCAAGGGTGCATTTTGTGGATTTTGTCCATCGATCTGAGCTTTCTGGGTGCGAAAAGAGGCATGAGGGGGTGGCCTGAAAAAAAAGAGGCATGAACCATACCCAGCTCCTTTAGGCTCCCCTTCGGGCAAACCGCACAACTCATGATTCCTTTCGATCCCCACGGTTCTTCCAAAAACAACACACTGTGGATGGACGAAATCCTGCACCACTTTGAAACCAGAGGAAGCCATTGTTGGTTTGGTTTTTTCAGGGGAATCATGGTTCTCGGGTTTCTCCGGCGGTGCAGGATTTTGTCCATCCACAGTATGTCCAGTAGTGATCGATTCCCTTTAAAACCAACAAGGGAACCTATGTAATGTACATTCTCTGAAGGGCAAATGGAAGGTGTTTCGGCCAGCGCATCCCCCACCCTCCCGGCGTCACCCGCCTGCAGGCGCCTGTGCCGCTCCTTGCCTGCTCCCTCCAGCTGAGATCGCAGGCTCGCCACCTCCCGCGAACGAGAGACGGTGGCGCGAAATCAGACACCTAGAAGGCACCTGGAGCCTCAAACCCGCCCTTAAGAATTGAAGATCAGCCGTACTTTTGGGGCTATAAGAAAGTTTTCAAGTCGGAGTTTGGAGGGTTCAGGTGGGTTCTAGAGGGTTCAGTTGCACTGGAAGCAACTGATGGTGCCACATGGGTTAAGACTTGGATATATCAGCCCATACTTTTTCAGAAGGGGTGCTCCCTCTACTTTTTGGGGCTAGAATCAATCTTCACAAGGGTTCGGGTAGAAAAAGACTTGCCAGTTCTTTTGGGGATCGAAAGGTCGAATCTGGATATCTTGGGGGTGAATGCACAAAAAGCACTATCCCCCAAACTACTGCCCGAGGAAGACATTTGTGTATGCAACCACGTGACACTTCTGTCGACCCAGGGATTCCAGATCCCCATATAGCAGGCAACTAAGGGAACCTCCCTCGAAGAATCCAAAGGAACCTGGCGAAGGGTTACCCACCATCTGTGATGGTCTCCACTACGCTTCCCCCACAAATTCAATGGGACAGCCACTATACAGCCGCCAGAACCAAAGGCATTTCCCCATGTACACTGGGGGCAGCTTCAGTTCGGGTGCACTGCACATCATCTCAGATAGGGGCATGCCTGGGATCCGTTTTTTTTGGAAAAGCGTCCTGGATTTCTGGGAGATCAGGTACGACTGGAATACATGGGCGGTGTTTAATCGGACCACCCCCCAACCCAAAAAAACATCAACCTTCCTTGTGGTGTTCCTATGAAAGCCACAAACGCCGCGTCTCAAGAAAGATAGACACATTGGTTACTGTCAAGTGCCATCTAAATGGTTTGGTTGAAACATGTTTCCATTTCGATGCAGCAGGCTATCCCTAAGACTGGCGGATTGGATCTGGTTGGATTTGACCTGGACCCCGTGGTTCTTCAGGGTAAAGGGGGAACTGGACCCCGGGTCTGGGGGGGTCCATGTTGGTTGGGGCTCTAAATAGGGAATCCACAAACTCGGCGGTGTCTCTTTGATTTTCTTTCAATTGTTGAAACACCCGACACACACACACACCCCAGTGGCCATGTTGCGCTTGTTTGGTAGTCGTTTCTTGAGGAAGCGCCCTCAAAAACTCACTTCCTCAGTGGATTGGCCAAACAAAAATCTGAATTTTTCGTTTACCACACAAATTGTCTTTCCATGTTGGTTTACTGAATCCGGTCGTGCCTCCTTCTGCAGCACCTCCTCCTGGCGCGCCTTCTCCTGGAAAATCGGCCGTGGTGGTCAAAACCAATGACTCAGTTGCCCCTAAAGGGGACCCAGAAATAAAGGTTAACCTTTTGGGGCCATGACCAAAAATGATAATTGGAAAACCAAAAGGATAAAAGGTCGGCTTTGGGCAACTCAGATTACGGATCCCATTTTGGTTGGCGTACCAATTACGTACCAATTGATACCAAACCGATCTTCCCGAAAAGCGACTAAGGTCCAAAAACGACAAAATAGCTGTGGTTGTCAAAACCAATTCCGTACCATTTTGGTTGGTAGGTGAATTCACCACCCATCTTAGAACCTATTTTGGTGGGGATTGGGATGTTCACTGGGGGTACGATTTGGATTTTGACCCATGGCCACATCTGCGGGGAGATCGAACCCAACACCCCGTCCGAGCCCAAAAAAAATCGGAGCCGAAGATCACAGCAGAACTTTGGAAGGTGAACTTTGGAAAGATAACTTTGGAAGGAGAACTGTTCGGAATCAGCCAGCCGAACATCTGGCATCTAGGTGTCCTTCTTTTGCCCGGGATATCAAAATCAAGGTCTAGGAAAAACCGGGAGTTTGTCTCAACAGTGCCCTTCAAAGCATTCCACAGCGCGTCACCGCAAAAAGCCTCTGTTGTAACAGGCTCCGATCGCTCAGCCAGAAAGGCCCTGTCTCAACTCCATGGGTTTACGTTTCTTTTCTCCTTCTCAATGGGTGCCCCGACTCTAAGCCTCCAAGCCAAGTCCAGGTACATGAACGCGGCTTTGTAGGGACCCCTATAGTAAAACAAGCGAATGTCGACAAGCCCTATGGGCTTGCCACAAAACCTTGCTTTTGTTTTTGTTTTGCAGCCTCCTCGAAATGAACGGAACCCAAAACACACGCAACAACAAAAAAGAGACAGCTTGCCAAGAACACGGGAAGAGAAACTGTTTCCCTTTGGCTTCCCTTTGAAGCGATCGCCCCGCAAAGCCCCAAGCGCAGCATGACCGTGCCCCGCAAAAGCCTGCATAAGATCCCCTCGTTTGGGCAAAGTCAAAATCTTTTAGTTGCTATCGATCGCATGTGGCAACCACAGCTGGAACAGAAACACATTCTCTGACTCTCTTACCTAACGGCCGGATTTCGATAGTTTTTGGGTCCTGGTGTCTTTCCAGTTGGACATCCCGGGTTGGAGGGTCATGATCCTTAGGGTAAACATCTTCCAGCCCCCAAACGGTGATTTCCCGCTTGGTTTTCCAAAAAACCGCACTAGAAGAGGCACCGTAAAAAAAGAGAAGAAGAAACAACAAGAAAAACAACTACCCTCTCTGCACCTGACACGGCCTGACAGAAATTCCCGGTCCCTCCAAGAGAAAACTGATCTTCCAACTGCCTCCCCACAGGTGCCATGGCATGGGAGGAAATTAGGTCCTCCAGGAATCAGGGTACCTCTTTTTGTCTTTTTCATTTTTTCTTTTTCGGTAGTCTATTTTAGCAGGGGAACCCTCCCAACCAAAAACGGGGTGAGAAAGGGCACGACTGGCAAACCTAGTTCGGGTACCTGCGAGAATACCCGCGCCGCGCGATTGCTCGCGACCCGGTCCTCCAAACTCCTTCGGCACCCAGCGAGGTCCTGCTGCAGCCCGGCGCAGGCCCCACGGATCCTGGCGAAAATTTTCAGTTTTCGGGGGGGGCCCTGTGGGGCCCAAATCGGCTTGCCAGTGGCATGGTGGTTGAGATGCTTCGGACGGAATGGAATCGTTCCTTTGATGCCAACATAAAGAGAAAGGATAATCATGTTCGGTAATGGCAGTTCCTTCCGTTTCCGAGGCTGGTGCTTCAAAATGGAAACCAACAGGAGCACCGCCACTTTGCGGGGTCCCCTTAAGAAAAGACGCACATAGGGCAAGCAGGGGAACCACCGAAAGCACATGCAAGTTTCTTGAGGCCACATGCAAAGGGTGCGTGAGGGCGACCACCAGATTTCCCCCGAACAAGTTGATCCATTTGCCGATGGCTTCCGTTGAAAAACCAAACGACTTTTGGAGGTTCCCTTCAATGGGACATGGAGAAGACCCCAAGAAACAGCCCCCCGCCACTCCAACGAAAGCAATATGGTCATAACCCCTCCCCCCCCCGGAAACCGAAACCAAAGCAACCCTAAACCGCCCCACGAGAGCCAGGTACAACCCGCCAAAGGCACAACAGGTAAAATAGATAACACCCAGACAAAGCCGGGCAAAACCAGAGTAAAACCAAGCGCCAAACCCCCAGTTGAACCAAATCAAACCCCGGGTAAAACACTCCGAAGTCAGAACCAACCCCAGTTAATCCAAATCATACCCTCAAACCTCCCAACCCCCTCCCCCCCCCCCGCCCCAAACCTCCCCGTGCCCGCGAAAAAGGCGCAAGCGCTCACTCTCGGGGCCTTTCGAGCTCCAGCTGGGCGCCTCTCTTCGCCTCTTGCTCCAAGGCCTCACCCCGAAAAACTCCCCGGAGCCGAAGCGAAAGCTGGGTCCAGCTCCATTTGCGCATACGGATCCCTCTGGAAAAATGAGCGACCATATGTCCAGTGGTAGATTCCCTAGAAAAAAAAGGGGAACAGCTTCCCCGGTTGAGTTTTTAAAGCTTAAATCAACAGGGAAAGCTGCTCCCCCTTTTTTGGGGTTGATCAAAAGGTCCTTTGCATGAGACCAAGCAGGAGAGCTTAACTTCGGTTTGCTTTAGATTAGAATCAGTGGGTACTTGAACTGTTTTCAGGACGTCCATTTTAGGGGAACCCTCCCCACCAAAAAAAGGAAGTTGTTACCCCCTTTTTTCAGGACGTCCATTTCAGGGGAACCCTCCTAACCAAAAAAGAGGTTAGAATAAGTTGGTACCCACTTTTCTTCCGCAGTCTATTCTAAACATTAAGGGGTTAAGTTGGTACCAACTTTTTCTTCCCGTCGATTTTAGTAGGGGAACCCTGGCTACCAAAAAAGAAACGGGTGAGAAAGGGCACCAAGTGCTGGGGGGACCTAAGCGCTCGTCCGGCTTCGACGAGCCGAGCCTCGAAAGCCAAAAGCTCGGGAGAAGGTTCGGCGGAGTGGATCCCAAAGACGGAGCCACGGTGCCTTTTTTTCGTTTGGACGCTAACATCTAGGCCGGAAAAAAATACTTCGGACCCCGGCAAAAAAATGTAGACCGTTTTTTTGGCCTGGTGAGTGGAAAACAAAGGGGACCAATTCCAAGAAAAGCGGAAAAAAAAAGAAAGCGAAAGGGGAGCTAGTTCTGGGGAAGTAACATGGTCTTCCCAGAAAGTTGCTCAAGTCAAGGAACACTTCCACCAAAAAAACACAGAAAGGTACGGTCTTCTACAAAGGCTGCTTTTGCATCATTGGACATGATTGCCTTGTAGAAAACAACACTCAGGAAGTACCACCCTCCCCAAAAAAGCACAGGCTGACCAATTGAGTTGACTGGCCCCAAAAAGAGTGCCAATTTTTTGGCCTTGACTCAATGAGCTTCTCCTCTTGTCCCCCTACCATTCAGACCCAGCAGTGCTCCAGATCCTTAGGCTCCAGGGAGGGTGGGTGGTTGACTTAGGGAATCTCCTGTTTCTTGGACTACCCCATTCCTGTGGAGCCATTCCCTAAAAGGGGGTCTAACTCCCCCCTCCCACAATTCCATTGAGAGGGGGATTCAACGTGAGAACACGGCAAACCCACAAAAACGCCTCAGGGAGCCTTACGCCAACCCTTTCCCGGACCACCTGGGCCACCCCCCTGTTCAACAATATAGATTCCGGGGTTGCACAAGTAAAAATATGTCAACATTGCTTCAACAAACCCTGGATTCAGAAACCCTACCCGGGCTTCCCAATGTCAAATCTTCGCCTCCAGGCGCAAGCGCAGCTCCCCCGCCACCGGCGGCAGCGGGGGCTGCGGCAGCCTGGCAGACTCCGCGCGGCATGCTTCGCCTCCATTTGCTTCTGCGCCCCCTGCAATTGGAGGAGGTCACTACATATTGTTTTTTCAATGTAGCCCCCCGTATGCCTCCAATCTAGCCCCTCCATCTATGACTACTGGAATCGTCACTTCGCCCCCTGGGAAACATATTCACGTGTTTCCAGTAGTGAAATCATGTGAAATCCAGCAAAAACCGGCATTTGCTTAAGTCCCGTGGACAAACATGAAAAAGTGCTTCCAGTAGTGAAATCGATTCCCTTTAAAACCAACAGGGGAAAACATAGCTTCATTTCAGCAAATGGAAGTTTGGGAGTTTTGGCGCATTGTTCGCCTCACATCCACCAGGGGCTCACACGAAAAAAAAGAAAGCAATTTCTCACTGGTGGCTTCGCAAAAACAAAAAAAACAAATGATCTATATATATTTATATATAACATATATCTCAGAATGCCGGCGTGTCCTGTTGCTTTGTCCTTTCAACCCTCCCCAAAAAGGCCGTTTTTTTTGTTGCCCCTCGCCGTCCCCCGCCGTTTGCTTTGCGGCCGGGCGGCTCCACCCCCAGCAGCCGCCCCGAGCGGCCGAGCGCCAGACCGAGGCCGTTGGACCGGCGCAGCGGGGAGGGCGGGGGCTCGGAGCCGTAGCGGCGCCGGGAACCGGTGTCCGGGGAGGCTGGCAGGCTGAAGCCCGAACGGATCCTGGAGGCCATGTCCCTTGTTTTTGTGGGCTTTGTCAAAAAAATATGGTTCCATAAGCAAGCCTGGGCTGTTCTTGGGTTGAAGTCTTTGATTCGATCCTGGAGGCCATGTTTCCATTTGTATTGGGGGGGCTTTTTTGGGCACGTTTTGTGGGTTCAGTTTAGGTCATGTCAAAAATGCTGGCTCCATAGAATCCTGTTTTGTTTTTGTCTGCTTTTTTGGGCACGTTTCGTGGGTTCGGTTTGGGCCATGTCAAAAAAACAACATGGGTCCATAAGCAACCCTGGGCTGTTCTTGGGGTTGAAGCCTTTGATTCGATCCTGGAGGCCATGTGCTTCTTTTTGGGCTTAAGGTCAAGGAATTGGTCAAGAATTGAATTTTCATGGTGGGGAAAACTTATGCCGCATCCACGTGCTAGGCTTAGGGTCAACCCTGGTTCCATGGAATCCTGGGTTGTTCTTGAGTTTTGGAGGCGGATCCTGGCGACTTTCTCTTCGTTGACCTTGGAAGGGGAGCAAAATTTTGATTTCTTGGCAGTTCAGTGGTTGGATTTCAAACCACAAAACAAATCGGAAAATGTTTTTATAAGGGGGAGCAACAATCTAAAATTTAGCAGTTAAATGAGATTTTCCACTAACTACAATAAGCAAACATGTAAAATGTTCCCCAGCAACAACCATGCTCTACGCTTGGATCCTGGAGGCCATGTCTCTCTTCTTTTTGGCTTTGAGGTCAACGAATTGGTCAAACATGGAATTTTGAGGGTGGGAAAAAACATGGGTGTGTGAATTTGTGGGTGTAAGGTCAACCCGTGGTCGGCCACTTTCTAGGCTTAGGGTCAGCCCTTCCCTTGAATCGGCCGTTCTTGGGCTTGGGTCTTCGATTCCATGGAAGCCTGATGGTTAAGGTCAACCTATGGTCAAAAATTGGATTTTGATGGTGGGGAAAAACATGGCCGTCTGGTTTTGGAGCTGGTACATGGGCCACTTGTTGGGCTTAACTCTCCTCCTGAGTAGATGGCCCAACAAAAAAACAGAACGAACGGTCGTATTTTTGTTTACCACTACAGGGGTTCGGGTTTACCCTGTGTCAGGCGACTCCAGTTTTGGGTTTACCCTCCAGGCGATTCCATGGAAGCTCCCGGGACCTCTCCCTGGTTCCCTAGACCTAGGTGGAGAGAAACCAAGGACAAGTATGTGTGATTTTAAAGGTGGTACCCTTTTCCACTTCTTGCGGGGCTTAAGGTCAACTTTCGGAATTGGAGGTTTGGGTCAGCCCTTCCCTTGAATCGGCCGTTCTTGGGTTTGGGTCTTTGATTCCATGGAAGCCTGATGGCTAAGGTCAACCTATGGTCAACAATTGAATTTTGATGGTGGGGAAAAACCATGGGTGTGTGGTTTTGGAGCTGGTACATGGGCCACTTGTTGGGCTTAACTCTCCTCCTGAGTAGATGGCCCAACAAAAAAAAACAGAACGAACGGTCGTATTTTTGTTTACCACTACAGGGGTTCGGGTTTACCCTGTGTCAGGCGACTCCAGTTTTGGGTTTACCCTCCAGGCGATTCCATGGAAGCTCCCGGGACCTCTCCCTGGTTCCCTAGACCTAGGTGGAGAGAAACCAAGGACAAGTATGTGTGTGATTTTAAAGGTGGTACCCTTTTCCACTTCTTGCGGGGCGTAAGGTCAACCCCGGAATTGGAGGTTTGGATTGGTAGTTTGAGACCCCTGGCTTTTGTAGAGAGTAAATGGGAAACCCCATCTTGTCCACCCAAACCACAAATCTGGAGGCAAACTGAAAAATGGAACCCTGTGGTGCAGAAAGACGCAACACATGGGTGTGTGGTTTTTTGGAGTTGGCCCCCTTCCGCATTGCAAGGGGATTTCCGGAACTCAGCCAGCGTAAATTCCCATGAAACCTTCCATCGTATGATAAATTCAAGGCATAGACCCCGATGCCATGAACTTTTGCAGCTGACTTTTTTAAGGAGGCCCTGAGTTCATTCAGATCACAATGGATGGGGTCCAGCACAATTCTCGCTACTGGTTTCTGCATGCGTTTTTCTTTTAAAAAAACCCAAGGGGGGGCAGGGGCAAAGCGGGCTGGATGGCAGGGGGAATCTGAGAATTGCCAAGGGACATACTCCCCTGCAGATTCACATGAAACCCCCAACTACCAAACCACCGTCTTAAAACCTTCACATGAACACACGGGTGTGTTTTTTTTCTTGAGGGACCCGTTGGCAAAATGGATTCAGCTCCTTCAAAAGGGGGAACCTCACTTTCGCGGATTGGAAAAACAAGTCACCAAACCTTTGCGCTAAAAGTGAACAACTTTTAGTGGTTTAATACGAAACACCTGTATTAAGTTGGCAAAACAAGTTGTTCAGTCCTAACATGCCTTGGCAAAATGCCCCAAAGACAGGGAAGGGGAAACTGAAAGGTCAAAAGGTTGGCCTTGGATAACTGAGTTAAAGTCCTAACATGCCTTGGCAAAATGCGAACATTTGACTTTGCCACTCCAAAGTCTAAACCGAAGGCTGAAGTCCAGAAACTCCTCGGGGTTCCTGGCTCCACTTCCATTGGCTTATGTCACGGGCAAATGTGTCCAGTAGTGAAATCGATTCCCTTCAAAACCGACAGCGGACACGAAAGCGAAAAAAAAAATCAGCTCAGCAAGTGGAAGTGTGCCTTTCAGCCTTGCAACCAACCCAAAAAAGAGGTTCTTCCACCAACAACCACCGGACAACCTGAGCCTACCTTCCAAACACCTTTCAACCAATTTAAGGGTTTTGCCACCCCCCCAAAACAACGGAAACAACTGAGCCTACGCAGCAAGTGGAAGCGGAGTGAGCCTACTCTCCAAACAAAAACTTTTCAACCAACCTCAAAAAGGGGGTTTTGCCACCCAAAACAAACCGGAACAACTGAACCTACCCTCCCCCCCCCAAAAAAAAAGGGGGACAAGAGGAGCTCCCAACCATAAAAAAAGGAAAAACTTAGCCTACCCTCCACCAAAAATAAAGGGGACACACACTCCACCGGTCGCCCATCCCATGGATCTCCTCGCCGTGGTCTCCGCCGCCGCGGTCTCAAAGGCCAGCTGCGCCTGCGTCGGACGCTACCCCGCCCCGGCCCCGGTGCGGGGTACGCGCGTGGGCGGTATGCTCGAAGCGACGGGGTAACAAACGGTTTTCCTTCAAGGGGACCCTTGGGTTCCAGGTCCAGATTTGAGAGCTTAGATTAAGTTGGCACTCGATTTTGTTTTCTCTTTTGCCTAAATTGGGGGAACCGAATCTCCCAATTAAAAAAGGGGTGAGAAAGGGCACTGGAGGACCTGGTTCAAGGGGAACCTTGGGTTCATTTACTGAGCGCCAGCAAGGTAAAAGGACCCCTCTGCGAAAAAGTGTGTCTTCCTTTTTTCCCCACGTTTTTGTGGGTCCAATACGGAAAAACTCCGGGCTGTTTCCAGCAAAAAGTTAAAGTCCAACCAAAAAGCTCCCTGAACCCTCAAAACTCCAACTAAAAAATTGGTTATAGCCCCAAAATGATGGGGTGTTTAGGCTAGTTTGAGGGTCCAGGTTTCCATTTTGTGCGAGTCCAATACGGAAAGTCCGAGCAGTTTCAACCAAAAAAGCTAAAGTGCAAAGATCCGTCACCAAATAGCCATGAAGCAAAACGCTGCTAAAGCGGGGAATGCTGATTGATTCATGGGTGCCGGTCCCGCAATGCTCGGGAACATCTGCACCAGATCGCTGGAAACACAAGGCAAATGGCATGTCTGAAAATTGGGTGGTTGTCCTCAAATCCCTTGCTGAAAGTTTTTTGTTTTAATGGATGTTAAATACGGAAACCACCACTAAACGAACAAAAAACAATACTAACAACCTAAGTTGAACCGGACGATTCCCTGGGAACCGCCAGGAACAATTGGGGGGGGGGGGGGGACCGACCAAATGGCTGTGGCTCGACCAAAATGGCACCTTGGTACATGGAACCAAAGAGTAAAACCTGCGTAATTAACTCTAGCTCTGCAATTTGGAGCTACACACAACTCACCGGGTTCCTTACCACACTCAATCAGGGTTCCCCATACTTCCGGAAAAAAAAAAAAAAAAAAAAAAAAAAAAAACATCACCCCACCCAGGGGAAACGCACCTTAAATCGGCCAAAAAACGGGCTGATCTTGTAACTCCCCCCCCCCCCAAAAAAAAAAAAAACACAAAAAAACGGGCGCCCCCTGCCACCCCCGAAGCGCTCGAGTCGGTTCCGCGCTCCGTGCCTCCGAGGATGGGAGCTTCGGCTTGGTCACAGGCTCCCACTGCGGCGGCGGGGGCAGCCGCTGGTCGTGCATGGCGGCCGCTTGGGCGTTTTGGCGACGCGCGGGGCCCGGAAATTGCTGGGCGCCGCCGTGTGAAACGCTAGTTGTTACGGCGCCAAAAAACCAAAGGCCCTAGGACAAGGTCCAAGACTTTTGTCCCTGGGGACAAAAAGGAGACTTTGCTTTGCGAGTTGTCTCTGCTGAGCACCATCTTTTAAGCAGGCTCTGGGGAATGAACCACGCCGCTCCTTGGCTTCAGCGGTCCCCCTTCTTTGTTCTGTGCTGTCCCAGGCTTTTTTGGTGAGGTATCTGATGGGGACACCTCTCATGAGATGTGCAGGGCTTCCTTTTGCCATTGGCTATCGTTGACAGCTCAGCATCTGGATGCCTGGGTGTCATTTTCTTGAAAGTACCACTTCTTTGGTGGTTAAAGGAAACATACATTATGTTTCTTTGTTTGCTTGCTTGCTTGTTTGTTTGTTTTGGGGAGGCACAAAACACACTCATTTTGAAAGGGCTTCCTTTTCAATGCTTTCTTGGGTCTGCCTGTTGTCTTTCTGGACCCTCTGGACATGACTTTTCGGTGGGGATTGATGTCCACCAATTAAAACTCATGGCCTCTGAGCCCGCCTGGACGCAAAAGACCGAGCGAAAAGCTAACAGGTCAGCCATCCACCCTCCTCTTACCCCTTAAAACTCCAAGCCCTGGGGAAGTTAATCTTTTACAGACATATAGCTCATGTTACCCAAAAAGTTGAAAAGTTGTGTTTTTAAGAGGTAAGAACATACTGTGCATGGTTGCGAGATCCGCTTCTCGCGCCACTTCGAAACCATGGGAGGCCATTGCTGCCTGGATCGCCAGTGGCGATCGCTTTTTTCCATGAACTTTACCCCAAGAAGCAGCAACAGTGACTGAAAAAAACAACAACTTGGCTATCCAGGTGGTTGGTAATTGCACATCATGATTCCAGTGATTCTGGGTGGTGCGAAATATAACTCGTCCATCCACAGTACGGGGTGTCCGTTTTTGGGGGGATCCGACGAGTTCTATCGGGTGTTTTTGAGGGCCCAAAGGGAAACCACCCATAAAACAGGGTTTTTAGGGTCCCATCATTGCAAGGCAAGGGCCTCCAAATCGAGGGCCGGCCCCTTAAGTCTGCTTGTTTTGTTCTGCTTCATGACGCCCTAAGAGTTTTTGGAGGAATCTCCCTAATGGGGGACCCACCCTGTTGGGGTTCCATGCGGGATCCGATGCAGAAAGCGACCCAAATTCAATGATTGTGGAGCCCTAGACTCCAAGAGTTCACCACTTCTGGTCGAGTGGCACCTGAAAAAGTAACCAAACCTGCTATCTACCACTATGGTCCACATCCAAGTTGAAAGTCCAACTCAAGAAGTGAGGCAACCAAACATATGGCACAGAAAAAGGGGAAGACCTCAAACAAATGATGACTGATCAGACTGATCAGCTTGTGTTGCCAGAACCCGGCATCGCCAGGGAACCGAATCGCCACAACCGCAGAAGTTGCTTGCTTGACGTTGGAAGGGGAGCACAAACTTAAATTCTAGCAGTTAAGCGGTTGGATTCCAACCACTCAACCACAATCAGCAAAAATGGGAAAAATGTTTTCCCAACAGCAACCATGATATGGTTACCAAATCATTTGCAAACCAACTGATCGTTTCAGGGCGCTTTCTTTCATGGCAGTTGAGAGGCATAGGCGTTCCCTTTCTGGAGGTGGTTTCTCAAGGAAAGCAATTCTTGTTGCAGGGTTTGAAAGGAAAACCGATGAACGAACCTGGATGAAAATCACAAGCCAATGAAGCGCAAGGTGCAGGCGTTGTTTGGTGAGGAAATGCCTTTCAAAAAGGGGGAAAGGGATCTACCATAGCCAGTAATCCAATGGGCTCGAAGTACGGCTCCCGGCTTTCTAGGGGCGTTCCTACCACCTGGTTATTTGCGAGACGTTGGAAGTCCTTCTTCGGGCTTCTTAGGGTTTCATAAGCTTCCTTTGGGTTCCGAGGAACCCCCCTGCGGTGGCCCCTTTGGGGATTCCAAGGCTCTTCGGCTCCAAGCCCTTCGGTCAAACAACTCGAGCGATCCGAAGAAAAAAAGAAGAAACAACAACAACAACAACAACAACAACAACAACAACAACAACAACAACAACAACAACAACAACAACAACAACAACAACAACAACAACAACAACAACAACAACAACAACAACAACAACAACAACAACAACAACAACAACAACAACAACAACAACAACAACAACAACAACAACAACAACAACAACAACAACAAACAACAACAACAACAACAACAACAACAACAACAACAACAACAACAACAACAACAACAACAACAACAACAACAACAACAATCACCAACAACAACAACAACAACAACAACAACAACAACAACAACAACAACAACAACAACAACAACACAACACAACACAACAACAACAACAACAACAACAACAACAACAACAACAACAACAACAACAACAACAGCAACAGCAACAGCAACAGCAACAGCAACAGCAACAGCAACAGCAAGCAACAGCAACAGCAACAGCAACAGCAACAGCAACAGCAACAGCAACAGCAACAGCAACAGCAACAGCAACAGCAACAGCAACAGCAACAGCAACAGCAACAGCAACAGCAACAGCAACAGCAACAGCAACAGCAACAGCAACAGCAACAGCAACAGCAACAGCAACAGCAACAGCAACAGCAACAGCAACAGCAACAGCAACAGCAACAGCAACAGCAACAGCAACAACAACAACAACAACAACAACAACAACAACAACAACAACAGAAAAAAAAAGCAACTTTCGCCTGAAATGAAGCCAATGGGATCCAGGAAATGATCTGCTTCCGCAACAGCGTGGCTGGGATTGCTTCAAGCCCTGGTTCTTGAGGGCAAAAATGGGAAACCATGTCCCAGCGTCCAAACGTCCAAACCAAGCCCCACTTGAGAGGCACCTGAAATCAACCTCAAAACCGCACATGCCCACATCTACATGCCTGTACAGGACTCCCATCGGTAGCTCCGAAAGGCTCAGCTCCGAGTCCGGCTCCAGCCACCGGCTAGACGTTCATAGGCTCCAATCCCCCCTTGTTCCAAACATCATTTTTTTGGCTGTCCTCAGATCCCCCGCTAAAAGTTTATCCTTCAGTGGGTTAACTGGAAATCCAACCACTAAACACTAAAAAGCTAAGGACACGGATGGCTGGGAGCCAGCAAGTCTTTTCAACTCTCCGCCATCTCTCCGCAGCTCCCCAGCAGCCGACCTTGGCGCCGATCGGCGACGAAGAAATACATCGGTCGCGCCCCGGTTGCCCACAAAAAACAAACACCAGTGCAGGAAGACCTTGCCTCACGTCAGATCGTGGCTGGATTTCCCCTTCAAAAGTTGCTCAATTGACTGGTGGCTTCCATTGAAACGATCGCCACTTTTGGAGGTCCAGAAAAGGGAAATTGAAGAACTCGAGAAGGTCGTCTCAAAAATGGCTGAAGTCGGAAAAGGAGCTCGGGGAGCCTCGCTGGTCAGCAGCTCCAACTTCTGACCACAACGATGAAACAAACTAGAAACAGGACGTGGAACATGTTGCCAGTCATCGTGAAGTTAGCTGAGTGGTTAGGAGGCCCCTTCTGCCCTGCAAAGAACCCCCCCCCAAAAAAAAAAACACGCACATACGCGCGCGCACCCACATTCACACATAGCGCGATCGGCGCCCGACACCATCGACTGCGGTTCACAGGGCCCTCACTATCACACCTGTGGCAGTCCACTCGCAGCGCGAACTGGGCGGCACTGAGTGGAGCACTTCAAGGAACAGGCTACTATACTTTGCAACTGGATATAAACGTGAAGGTAGATGGGCTATGAGGGTTGCTATCCACTTGAACAGTTGGGTAGATGGCACAACCTCCTCATTTAGGTTTATCATCCTTTCGATTTACGGACTTGAAAGCTCACCCTGCTCGGCTGTCGCCCTTTTTAAGCGCTTGCCTTTCGAATCGGTGCACTGCTCCGGGCTGCCTCCCGGATGCATCCGGACTGCGGAGTGACACTTCTCATAGCAAACTCGCAGCTACAAAGCTCCGATTCGTGGAATGCCTTCCTTTCGATGCCAACGAGTGGGCCCCCGGCAAACATAATTTGAAATCTTGCAGGCGGAACGGAACAAGGAGGACAACAAAAGGCAAACACATCGGAAAATAAAAAAAGAAGAAAACAAACACTTCGCGACGCAAAAGGTAAACTGTTGACCCCTGGTTGAAAGCCTTGAACCCAACGCTAGGAACAAAAACGGTTGAATCGGGTTGAATCCACTGCTGCTACGTGAGTCCTGCAGTTTGGGGTGGAATCTGTTGTTTCTTCTTCTTCTTCTCTTTCTTTTTTTTTGGGGGGGGGGGGGTAAAAGGGAAACCAAACGGCCACAATTGCGGAGGGTGTCTTAAAAAAGACACAGCCAATTCAACTCTCCAAGCCACCAATCCAAACCAGCATGCTCAAGTCCCTGGACAAAATGAGACAACATTCACTTCAGCAAATAGAAGTAAACCCAGCCACTAAACCAACTAAACACGACTGAACTCCCGGTTGAACCGTTTTGGTTACAAACATACTCATTTCAGATGGCAGCTCGTCTACATTCAATTCAAGGGACGTCCACACCTGGACCTTGGAAGATTTCTTTGTGGCTTCCGCCGGAGTGAAGTCGGTGAGTCGGTGCTTCTACCCGCAAAACTCGAGTGTTTCGCGCCCGAAGTTGCCAGGGGGCTGCGAAGTCAAACTAAAAGGTTACCCTCCCACCAACTAACATGGAAGTGCACAGACCCCTTGTAGAAAGACGAGTTTCCTCTTGGAAAGGGGTTTCTCCCCCCTATTAATAAAAAAACTTCCCCCCAGGTTTGGTGGTTAAGGAGGTCCCATTTACCCTCTTCAAGAACCAAAAACCCCTTCAAATCCCAAACCGCCAAGCCAAACCACCAAGGCGGGAAGCTTGACGTTGGGTTTGGGAAGCGAACATTCTCAAATTTTAGCAGTTAGGTGGTTGGATTTCAACCACTCAACCACAAAAAAATGGTAAAATGTAAATCCCAACAACAAGCATGAAGGGTTACCTGAAAATATTTGGGTCAACATGATGTCAACGAATAAACGTGGAGGACCTTCAAGAGACCTTGTGGAAAACCGGCATGGACTTGTTGCTTGGCAGGGTTCCAGTGCAAAGTCTAGGAAACTGCTCCAAAGATGACATTTCTTGGTTGCTGCAACAACGATCCCTCTGCGAACAAGTTTGAACAAGTTGAACTTTTTTGTGGGTTCAATAGAAAACCCCTTGTTTTCCCGAAAAAGTTGATGTCGAAGATTCAACCCAACAGCAATGAGATTCTAGGTCCTCCAGTAGACAGGTCAGAATAAGTTGGTACCAACTTGCTTCAGCACGCCTATTTTAGTAGAGGAACCCTCCCAACCAAAAAAGGAGTGAGAAAGGGCACTACTGGGGGACCTAGGATTTGAAGGAAGAGCTACAGAAGTTTTTGCGCCCTGGTCGCCTCTTCTTCGCTCGAGGAATTGCCGGGGCATCCTCACGCCCCAGATCCTATAGCCTGAGTGCTCTGTTTGGCCTCCATGGATTGAGCGAAGAGATGATCGAAATACCTACAATCAGGACTCTGACAGCTCCCCTCCACCAGCTACCCCCCACACCCACGACCATTGTTTTAAGGGTATGATGCCGACCCTTTGCTAACAAGGAGGATTTGACCTTGAAAAACCGGGGTTTCCCAAGAATACCCTGACAAAAGCGGGGTTATTCGAGTAGGGTTTTACATATTCCAGTCTTCGCGAAGAGCGCGAGTTTCTTTTAGCCATCCTCTCAATCCAAGGCAGACGGCACACGGTCCCTCGTCGCGACTCAGGGAGCCTTCCCAAAGCATCCCAAAGCATCCCAAGGCATGACACGATGCTTGACACTTGGTCCAACCCCCCGAGAAAAAAAACAAAAACGGATCACTTCCTGGCGCTTCGGAGCTAAACTGATCAAAAAGAACAAAAAGCGAAAGGCTAAAAAGGTAAGCCAGGTCTGGCAGCAAATACCTGCCAAGGCCCAAATAGCGGGGGTAGGTGCAATTTAATCTTCTGGGTGGCCATCTGGAGGGACCGACTGCCATATGAAACAACTTGGCAGACAGCTTAACTAGGTCCTCCAGTAGAGAGCTTAGAATAAGCTGGTACCAACTTTTGTCAGGACGTCTTTTTTAGTAGGGGAACCCTCCCCCACAAAAGGGTAAAAGGGCACTACTGGGGCACCTAGTTAATGCTGGAGGGGCCAAAGAAAGTGACAACATATTTCTGTGTGAATTATAATATTTCACCAGCCTGAATTGAGGTGGTTTGGGGGCTATTCCCGCCACAAACCACCATTTGGCGTGAATTCGGTCGTGTGAGGTCGTTATAATTCACCCAGATATAGGTCACATGCTTTGGCTATGGAATGCACCCTTTGCCCGCATGAGTCTTGGACATAATGAGCGCACTCACCGAACAGCTCAGGCCTTGCCAGACACCTGGCGCGCGCCGCAGCGAAACCGCAAAGGGAAATCGAAACCGCAAAGGCTTGGTTGCGGCAACGACCCCCCTGCAAAAAGTTGACCACTTTTTGGGGGGTTTAGTGGAAAACACCTTTATTTCAACCAGAACCACCTTTTTAGTGGGTTCGCTATAGGAGCCCGCATTATCCGCGAACAAAATGTCCTCAGGGCTGAGTGTGTTCCCGTTCTCCTCACCGTGACCCCACATAGCCTTTATCATGCCTTCGGCTTTGTGAGGTCGCGATGACTTGCCCGGGTTCTTTAAGCAGCAAGCCGGTGGAAAAAAAATATTTGTTCAAAGAACTGGAAGGGTACACGACATATGTTCAAATGCATGCTAGGTAATAACCAACTGATAAGTCCCCTTAAATGGGGCTGCCCCTGTTATTTGTTAGTAACCCAAGCGGCAAAACTGGCCAAGTAAGTAACATTATCGCACATGAATCAAAAACGGCAGGGTGTTGAAAGGCGGGGCCCGCAGAAAGAACCGCGAAACACAATGGCGCGTCAGAGGGAGCTGCAGAAATTTCCAAGTGGAATCTATCCGTTTTTTTCAGGCTTGGAAAGTTGAAACGGTCGAGTAGTTTACTATAACTCAACTGCCCAAACGTCGACTTGGAAAATAATAAGGTGATCATCTTATAAGTGCCTTTTCTTAGGACTCACAAAAAAGGTGGTTTTCCTGGTGGGATCCCTTTAAAACCAACAAAAGGAGATACCAACTCAAAAAAGACACACCCCTCGGGGACCAAAAGACCAAGCATGGACCATGGGAAAACCCCTCTGGTCAGATCTGATCGATTCGTTTTGGACGAGGTGTGCTCTTTCCGAAAGGCTCAAAGTTCCGAAGTGAGTCTTCGGCTGGACACTGGGGGGCTAAGTTTCAACCGGATTTAAGGGGAACACGTCCACTCAGTGGATGGGCCAAAAGGAGTCAAACTGCTCATTTACCACTAACACGGTCTTACCAAAACGTTTAAAGTCCAGAAACTCAGGAAGTGTCCCTATAAATGAGGGTGTGTTTCCTTTTCCTCCAAAAGTGGTCTGAACCTCCTACCAAAAGGACTCGAACAGGGGACATCTTTTGGACCCCGATCAAAATCAAGCAGGCGTTTTGCTTAGTCCAGAACTACACTCCTACAATTTAACATGCAACCCAAAAAAGACCCCTTTTTATAGAGGCTCTTTTGGGGGACCTCCTTGTTTGGTTCCATGTTAAACTTGCAATTGGGTGAACAAATTCGTGGGCGTTGGCAGACGTGAAAGCGGAACGCACCTCGTTGACGTAAAGCTTGGCGTACTCCAAAACGCGGTCAGCCTCAGCCTGGCGGACCCATGAATCCACTCCCGAACCTCCGAGAGAAAACAGCGGTAATCTGGCGAAATGACAAATGGGACTTCGGTCTTCCTCTTGGTTTCCCTTTAAAAGCCGCAAAACATGGGGGGTGCCCTCAAAAACAAAACTCTTGAAACCGCTGTAGCTTCAGCAGGGTAGTGAAAACCTTCACGGAGCAAAGTGGGAGCCCTGTAAACTACGGAGGTTCCGCGAATGGGTTTCGCAACCACTCGCTTCTGATGGAGTGGATGGGTTCACTTTGTCTAAGCCACCATGGTCCAAACCCAAAAAGTGACTAAAGTCCGAAACGGTGAAGCTCAGGGAGTGAGGGTATCACAACCACTGGCTTTCATTTGCTTAAGTCCCCTGGAAAAAACATGTTTCCAATAGTCATTGGTTCCCTTTAAAAACCAACAGGATACTATACAAACCCATTCTTAAGCAAATGAAAGCTGGGAGGTTTCTAAAACTTCTTTTCCCCACGAACTGTCGGTTTGTCTTGTTGGAGTTTGCCTCAGGCAATTCAGGCCCGTCGGGTTGCCCAGGAGCAGACCCTGGGTTTGTTTCAACATGGCAAAGGGAAACCAACACCTAATCCTACTCTTCACCTTCGGCGTTGATCATCCTTTATTCGCGTGCGATCAATTTGACCAGGCGAAAGAAGACCAAACTTGTTGTTGACACCTCCATTTGCTTAATCGTCCCTTGGAAACAAGGCGCAACTATGTCCGGTAGTGTAATCGATTCCCTTTAAAACCAGAAAGAGGAATACATAATATGTTGTTTTCTGCAACTGGAAGGTTAACATGGAACCCTAACAGCCGAGCCATTTGGTTAGGGGTCAAAAGTAAACCACCCGCGGACCGCAGGTTGTCCCTGTTTACATTTACCAGGGTTCCATGTTGGATACCTATGCTTGACCCACAGCCATGTTTGAAAGACTCCCTTTTTGGGGGGACTCCCGTTTAGGTTCCATGTTCATTTGAGGGTAAGCAGCTTTCCAAGTCCACGCAACTCGCTGAAGGTGGGATGAAGTCCCTATGGTTCATTTGCTTGAGCAGCCTGGACGAAATGTACAAATATGTCCAGCCGTGAAATCATTGGGAACCAAAAGGGGAAAAACAAAAACCAAGTCGCATGTCAGCAAACGGAAGTGTCCCTTTCTTTCCACCAACCAAAAAAAAAAAGTGAGGCCCCGCGGCCACCCAAAAAAAACCATCTTACCTGGAAGAAACTGGTCCATTCCGAGTGGCTTTCTGCCCAGGAAGGGTGTGGCTCAAGAATGTAAACGGCAGGGGCAAACCGCAGGTCTTGGTCCATGTCTCCACGTACCAGGGCAAGCCGTTTTGGAATTCCGGGTTTTTGAGCCACAGCCATGTGAGTCTTTTAGGAATCCTGCAGCCCGAAAACACCTGGCCTTGCCCTTTTCCTTCGCCCCATCTTTTCAGCTTGAGAAGAAAGTTTTAGACACCCAAAACGTGGAACTCTTTGCTGGTTTGGCGTTTGGCAGACGTCAAAAAAGGAGACCTCTCCAAAACAAGGAAAGCTGGCTGAAACCAGTGGCAGCTTCAAGGCGCCCCTGAAAACAGCCACCAAAGAACTGGCATCATTTTACCAAAGTCACCCCCGTTGAGTGGTGGGTTCAAGGGAAACGACCAACCATTTGTTTTGATAACTCCCAGAAACCGAACCAACATAATGACCCCACAAAACATCCACAGCTCTGGGGCTGGGGATGAACCAATAAGAAAACCCGAGTGTCTACTTTCATCTGCTTCTTCGTTTTTCTGGAAAAAGTAAAAAAAATATGTCCCGTAGTCATAGGTTCCCTTTAAAACCAACAGGGGACAATACAACACATATTCATTTCAGCAAACGGAAGTCTAGAGAAGCGTCTGACTGGCCATCCGCATGCATCCGGCCTTCAGAACCGTCTGCTGCCCGCCGGTCTGCGGCAAATCCGTCCTCAGCACCTGCGAAATGCATCGACTTTCCATCGAGATGAAGTACTTCCTCAGCATAACTCTATCTAGAAACCCGTTTCGCATAGGCCCGCCCTTTCAAACCACTGGCTTCTTTGGCCAGTACTGGGAACTTTGGACATGGAAAGAAGCACCCTCAAAAGGGCAGTTGAAAGGGAAACCACCCACGGTGGCCAAACCCACGGGACTTTCAGCAATGGCTTGGCCGACTATGTCTCTAGGGAACACTCGAAAACCAACTCTCCAGTTGCTCTGGATTTGCCGCGTGGTGTTGTTTCCTTTGCTTGGTGTGCACAAGAAAACCGGGAGGAATCGGCATCCACCGTTTGTGTTCCAGGCGTTAGTGGATTTCCACTTCAAAAGCTGCAATTGACAGGTGGTTTCGGTTTCCGCTGAAACTGCCACTTGTGGCGGTTCCAAAAAGGGAATGCCCTATCTTCCAAACTCTGAAAGTCCGGTTGTTTGGATACGTGAGTGGCACCCTTTCTGCTTCACGCAGGGTTGGAATCTCGTGAGGAAACCTACCAAGACCACGCCTCAATTTGCACGCTCAACCGACAGCTTCCTTCCGCCTTCCGCCGAAAGGCCATCAAGGAGATGGAGGTGACACACGCAAGTGGGGCAGCATTCCGGTGAACAGCAATGCTAAGGGAATGACGGGAAACGCACATGAGAGGGGATTCCCTTGACGCAAATTGTCACCCTGACCCTGGCACCCTCTTTTCGCGGTTCCCCGCATACTTTTCAACGTTACCTCAAAAGGACAAATCGCTCAGAAGAAGACACGGGTGATATGCGATTTTAACGGAATTCAAACATATAGAGAACTCTGACTTTCAGCAACCTGATAAATTCAGATCCAAAATCAAACTATTCCTTAGCAACTCTCAGGTACTCTCTTCCATTTTCTTCGCCTGGACAAATACTTCCAGCGAAATCGATTCGATTTCAAACCAACAAGGCGACATCGAATATATCCCTAAGCAAATCCGGAAGCCTTAGCTTGTGGATTTGGATTTGAACCCTGGGTCTTCAGGGAAAAGGGCAAACGCCACCAAACGAATTACCAATCCAAACCACCAAGTGGATAAGATCCCAATGACAAGCTGCGGTTAGGTTCCCATGCGTCCAACTCTCAGACTCATCCAGCCTCCTCCAGCTCCTGCAAAAAACAAGCGCGGCTCGGCGGTTTGGGGGCGGAGACTTCCGGGGAGACGTGTCTCCCTGACAAAGCGAAGGTTCTGGTTTAGGGTAATGTTGACCCAGGGTCTAAGTAGAACCCATCCCATGACAAAGGGGGGTGAAACCCCTCCAGAAGTGGTCTGAATCCCACGGAATTGGACACCCAATATTCATCAACCAGGGGTATGGTGGATTATATAATAGGGGGGTGTCCAATTCCTTTTAGTGGTTGGATTCAGACCACTTTTGGGGGGGGGACACCCCCCTAATAATGGGACGGGTTTATTAATCCTGGGTCAACATTACCCCTTTTTTCGAGCAGCCAATCTCATAAATGGGAAACTGCAGTTAACAATGGAACTACAGGGGTCACCCCCCTCCCCCAATTCCAGGTAGGTTGTTGGAGCACCGCCGTACTTAGGAAGTGGCGAGTATCACGAGTTCCCTTGTTAGTATAAGCGCCTGAAGTGGGGAGGAACCCTACATATTGTGCGCGAGGACTGATTAGCCCAAATGCTTTACGAAGTGGGGCGGGCTTCCAATTTGGGACCCTTGAAGCCGACATCATACAGCGGATGGTTGCGAAATCCTGCACCACTTTGAAACCATGGGACGCCATAGCGTTTTTTGGTGCTTACAACGGAATCATCATTCCTGGTTTGTTAGGGTAGTGCAGGATTTCGTGCATTCACAGTAGGATCTAACGCCTCTCCCCCTGGGCCCTGGCCTCAAAACTCCAACAAAAAGCCTCCCAACGGTGCAGTTCGATGCAGGGGATACTCCGGAGACCCCTACAAGTGTGAATTCGGGTCAATCGGTGTGTCGTTTTTTGAGGGTGCCCCTGTTGGTTGGCTTTAAGGGGAGGACAAAAGGAAAACCAAAGCCATTTTAGGGGGTCCAAAGACCCTAAAAAAGACGAGCCACCCAAATGGAAACTCAAGTTTCTACCCAAAGGTCGCAACCCAGTTGCAACCAGTAAGCTTATCCGGGTCATGACCCTTCCAGTGCAGCTGGAAAAATTAGCAAAGTTGTCCAGTAGTGAAATCGTTTCCCTTTGGAACCAATGGGATAAATTCTCAAACACCTATTCTTAATCAAGAAAATGCAAGGTTAACAGCCCAAACAACCGAGCTACCTGGACATGGGTCCAAATTACATCACCAAAGGGACCGGGTTGTCCATGATTACACTGACCAGGGTTCCATGTTGGATACCTTGTTCGACCCACTGCCTTTTTTTTCCGAGGAATCTCATTTTTGGGCGGACCCCCTTTTAGGTTTCAGGTCATTTTGCAGGTGGGCAGTGTTCCAAGTCCGTATTGAAGGTGGGTGGATGAAGTCCTTGGCATTGCTTGGTTGCTGTTGACCCCCCCTGCAAAACGTTTAACTTTTGGGGAGTTTAGTGGAAAACACCTTTATTTCAACCAAAAAGTTAAAGTCTAAAGATCCAACCCCATAGCAGTCAAGGAAACACCAGCAACCTTTTGCCGGCGCAAAGGCCCTCAAGGGAAAGGTCGCCACTGAAGCTCAGGTAGCTCGGCCAAGAAATACATGGCCGTGGGTCGACACCAATGGGATCCCATTTTGGGGCAGGTGCACCACTCATTTTAGACATCTTAGCGCCCACTGAACCACGAGACACTACCAGCTACCCTCCCTCCAATCATGGAAGGCGATGATCGGAGGGGTTTGGAAGACTATGTTCCTTTTGTGGAACCCCCTTGTCCACTTCCACGCTTGTTGGAAAAAGGGTACTTCACTTCGAGTTATTCCCACCAATTCACTTTGCCAACACTGATGAAAAAGCACGAGTCTTTAAAATGAAACAATCGGACAACTCTCCGCCCCCGCCAATGACCACTCTACGACTTCGGCCGGGTCCTTTTTCAGACTCTCGAAGGTGTCTGGGTTGGCGTTGGACAGCCTTAAGAGCACTCCCAGGGGGGATACCCTCCCACGTAGGCGTTACCTGACCAGGTCCTCCGGTAGAGAGTAGTCTATTTCAGTAGGGCGTTCCCCTCCCCCTCAAAGAAAAACAAAAGAAATCCCGAAAGACATGGGATGTTGATCGTCTTCTTTAGGTGACCCAAACATATTGGCGCAATGGTTTTCCCTTTGGTTTTCCTTGACAAAGCACCCCCAAAATACGGGTACCCCGGAAAAAAAAGGACTAGCCCGTATCCCACCTGGAGCCTGCCGAATTTGTAACTTCTGGAAAGCTGAACGCCGTGATCCATGGACTCTGCGGCGATTCGTATAGAACCCCTCATACCTCAAATGGTGCAGGGATACTTACATTATGCACCTGAACATTGCCTTGTAAATAGTGGTGTCCTTTTATTTTGGTGGAAAAAACATGTTTCAAATGGGCAAAATGCATCTTTTAGGGAGTCCTGTGGTGGTTTTCATGTTGCTGTCCCTTTAAAACCACAAAAATAAAAGTAGTACCCCGAAGAAAAGACACCCCACACAAATGTCCCTTTACACCAAGGTGCAAAGGGCTAGATTGGGTCTGTCTATTCTTGAGGCTGGGTCAATTTGTTTGTGGTTTCAACCAGGCACCAAAGAAAACACATCTTTGTTTGGGGGGTGTTCACTAAAGAAAAGCGCACCCAATTGGCATTGGCAAAAAGCTTCAAGTCCGGAATGCCGGGAAGAGAGTAGACTTCGGCGTGGTTTTTCCTTTTTGACGGAAGGAAACAGCATAATTCTGTTCTCATTGGCTTCAAAGACAACGCAGGTCGCCCAAAAAACAGGTTTGGCAACTTGATGAAACTCGCGCGAGGCATGTGATTGCGGGAGAGGGTACAACAGAAAATTATGGCAGCCATGGCGAAGGTGCCATGGACAAGTTTATCACCCTGACTTGGGTGCTGCAACGACCCCTCCGCGGAAAAAAAAACAAAAACAAACTATTTGTGGGTTAAATGAAAAACCACAACTTGATTTCAACCAACTGGTTAAAGTCTAAAGGTCCGTTGCCCAGTAGCAGTAGAGCTGAATGGTCCCAAGGACCAAACTAAGAGTCACTACTGCAACGACTCGCCTTGCAGGGGTCACTGGAATTCCCCGAATCAAACTCTGATCAATTTACTGGTGTCCATTGAAACTGCGACTTTTGAAGTTCCAAGAAGGGAAATGGCTCGGAAACCCTGAACAAAGTCATTTGCGACAACATCCCCTCGGGTTGGAAAAAACAAACAGTGATAGATTCACAGTAAAACCAGCAGGGGAGATACACAAATATGGCTGTGGCTCAAATAGATGTACCAAAATGGCCCCCTTGGTACATGGAACCACGGACTAAAACCTGCGTAACCCTAGCTCTTGAATTTTGAGCCACACCCGAGCAGGGCCATAGCAAGGGCCCTAGATCAACCAGCCCACAGCCCAGCAGCCGTTGAAGAACCCGGAGCACGTTCAGCATCGCCTCGACCGATTAAAGGGCACCCCGGGCCATGGGCAGGCGCTAGCAAAATGAACACCGGCGTTGGACTGCCCCTGAGGCAGAAAGTTACGGCCCAAGCAAAACCACCAAATAGGCTCCTGTAACTTTTTGCTTGCCACTAAAATGGTCCTCACAAAAAGTATATGGTCCACGAACGCAGGAGGTGAGTTGGGTTCCATGTTAATCTGCAGGGGAGCAAGGGCACTTGGATCCTTTTTGTTGACATCGCTCCTGAAACGCACACGTTTCAGTGGCAAGCCACGGGTGATGAGTGTGTTCTGCGACGCGCCCGAAACCTGACCGAGCTGACACATTTGGACACAGCGTAACGTAGGGAACCCCCTTGTGAAATCTGGCTGTGGGTCAAAAATAGGTACCCAAAATTGCACCCTGGTAAATGAAAACAATGACTAAAACCTGTGGTCCCCTGGTGGTTTAATTTTGACCCACACCCATCTCAACGTGTGGCGAACTGAGCGGCAGTGCAACGCATCTTTTCAGGGACCTTCGCACCTAAGATCCATCTGCCAACTTGCTGGGTTGTCCTCAGTTCCCCAGTTTAACTTCATGTGGGTCAGATGGACCCCCCAACAAAAAGAAAAAAACAACTAGAAACCTAAACACCTAAGAAGATGGCTATATCCCATGAATCCCCGGAACAGGACCACCATTCCGCCAGCTAACATGGAAGTGCACAGACCCCTGTAGAAAGACTACTTTCCTCTTGGAAAGTGCCTTTTTGCACTTCCATGTTAGTTGGTGGGAGGGTCACCTTTTGGGACCTTTACTAAAAATAGACCAACATGGGAAAACCGAGAGGTTAACCGTTTTGCTTTGGGCAACTGAGTAGTCTTCACAACCCGTGGTATGGTAGCCAAAAAAAGTCGCTGTTTGCAGCCCCCTACTAAAAATAAACAAAACCTAAGAAAAACAAAAGAACTTGCCAAGAACAGCGAAGTCGTAGTTTCCCTGCTACACATGCAGCCCCAAACCTAGAAATGAACAAAACCAAAACCAAAAAACGTGCTCCTTTTGTCAGACTAGGTCCTCCAGTAGAGGTTAGAATAAGTTGGAACCAACTTTTCTCTTTTTTGTCGATTCTAGACCCGGGGTTCCCCTCCCAACCAAAACAGAAACGGTAAAAGGGGGCACCTAGCTGGGGGACCTAGCAGAGAAGCGGGAACCTGAAGCCACGCGCCTGCTGCTCCCGAAGCGTCTGCGCTTCTTCCTCCAGTCGCTTACGCGTGTCCTCCTCCTTCCTCAGAAAAAAAGCGCGCGAGGCTCCCGAGATGCCGGTACTCCCATAGGTGTCCTTTTAGGGGAAATAGATGGGTTTCCCTGGTAGATGAGAAAAACAAAAAACAAGTAAACCACGAATCGCCATCCTACTTTTCTATCGAACCAACCAAAAAGGACACCTATAGGAACTCCCTTCTTGGTTGAGCCTCCTTTTGCTTAAGCCCCCTGTAAACAAAATCAAATTCAAACCAGTTGTAATAACTTCCTGTTAAAAACCAAAAAGGAAAAATAACACATATTATTCTTAAGCAAATGGAAGTTGATGAAACGACTCTGCAAAAACTTTCAACTTTGTGTGGGTGTATTTTTGGAAAATCTACTGTTATGCTCCCTTCTCGGTTGATGCTGCAACAAATACTGGTTGTTTCTAAATTTGGTGATCCTCACAACTACAGTGGACACGGAAGGCCAGAGTTGGCCCCCCGTTTGTAGGTTGATTTCATCTTGGTTGATGTAACGACCCCCCTGCGCCAAGTTTCAGCTTTTTGTGGGTCCAGCGCCGTTTCCCCAAAAGTGCTAGTCCCAAGATCCAACCAAATAGCCATAAATAGAGCCTGCACACAGCACCCTGCCGTAGAAGAAGCTCACTTTAAGCTGTAGGCAAGCAAGAAAGCTCAATCCAATCGAGTCGAAGTGGCAGTGTGCCCGTGCTCCCTGAGAACATGGAAGCCCATGTTGAGAACATGGAAGCCCATGTTCTTTGGGAAGCCCCCTTTTTGGGTTCATCTGCAAACTCCTCCGAGTCTGAGAGGTGTACCGGACAACGGACAAACAAATCATGTGGGGGGGGGGAGTCCCTACTTAGGAAACCAACTTACATGCCCCCCGCCAAAAAGAAAAAACAACAACACATCCCTCTAAGGGACAACTCACCGAACCAGCTTCCCTCTAGTTTTCTGGTTTGGATTGGTGACCCTCCATGAACTAGGGGTTCAAGTCCAAATCCAAACCACCAATCCTAACCACCAACTAAGGGCTACCTGACCTAAAGTGGCAAACGAAAAAACACGCTGAACTGCCACTGTGGTAAAGGGGCGGGATGATTTGATGCTGCCTGAGTTCCAATTCTCGGGTTGGGCTCTCCCGACTTGAGGGGAATATAGGGCAACCCACACATGAACACATCCGGGGGGGAGGGGTCAGATTCCTTCCCCTACTTCCTTCTCCAGTGGGATTTCTCGTGTTTGCATCTTCCGTCCGTTTCCCTTCGATTTGGATCGTGGAGAAAGGGCCTAAATTCCAAACCTCCAGTGGCCAGGGGGAACAATGTGCACCCAGTGTTCTTCCATTTGCGTTTTCGCCCCCTGCCAACAAATGACAATGAGTAGTGACAGATCTATTGAAAATAAACCCAGGAAAACAACAGCAATAAGCCGCTGCAAAAAAACAAAACAAAACAGTAGTGCCAAACTTCTTTGAACACCAAAAGGGGAATATCACAAAAATCTGAAACGCAAACGAAAGCTTTGGGCTGGCTGATGATGCGATCCATGTGATCCGTTGAATCCTTGCCGGCCGAGCGGCTTATCATCTGACTTTCCGTCCTGGGGCAAAAGGAGCCCTTTGCGTCCAAAACGACCAGGGTGGGTGGGGGCAATTGGACTATTTTCCCTGCAGAGTAACAGTAGGAATTCCTGAGGAAGGGTTCCATTTTTCAGAAGAAGATTCCTCCCTGCGTGGGCTCAATTCTGATCTGCAATGTGCAGGTTCAAAAATGGCAATAGGGACTTTGAACATCCAATAAGGTTCGGACCAACAGCCCAAAAGCGGGGACGAACGACACACCCATACAGCGGGCACCCAAACAGGGATCCTTACATTATACATCTAAACATTGCCTTGTACATGGCCGTGTCCTTCTATTTTGGTGGAAAAAGCCATGTTTCAAATGGTTGAAAAGTGTATCGTTTCAGGAGCCCTGCCAAATTTGTGGGGTTCCCAATGCTTTGAAAGACCAACCCCTGCGCTAAGCTCCGCCCGCCCAAGCCCCTGATTCTCAGCGGGAAAAACTGGGAATTGCCCCTATTGGCTTGCTCGGGAATCCCCTGGTTCATTCCCAGCACCCTGGGTCATTCCCTATCGCAGGTAAACTTGGGCTCTCAGTCAAAGTGCATCGATTTATCTACATGCTTGTGTCCGAGCTCCGAGAATCATCTTTGTGGGGCCCCTTCGAAGAGTTCCAAGATCCATTCAGCATCGGGGGAGTTTCTACCACAAAGGCACGATGGGCTTTCCGACCCCCTTCCCGGGATCAGAAGTTGTCGTCGGGGCGCAGTTCAGGGCGAGGCCTGTGGATTTCAATCATGTTTTGAAAAACCTCCATTTGCTTAAGTCCCCTGGAAAACGTATTATTATTATTATTATTTTGTTTAAAGTCCAGTAGTGATGGATTCCCTTCAAAACCAACAGGGGAAGATTTAAAAAGAATCCTAACCAAATGGAAGAAAGGGCTCCACTGGTGGTCCGGAAGAGGTACGATTGCAAGGCCCAGATGAACCAAGCTCACTTCCGCGGACTGCCGGTCGCAAACGCCGTTCAACAAGTCGTTTGCGATCTCCCAAAACTTGGCTGGAAAAAAGGGACCCTAGCAAAAAATATATTATTTGCCTGGTGAGTGGAAAACAAAGGGGACCCCAAAAAAGCAAAAAAGGAAAAGGGGGAGCTAATTCTGGGGAAGCCACAAGATCGGCAAATCTGCTGCATGGCAACGAAGTGTGCTACCAAACCAGACCACCGGATGTCAACTGGCCCTCGTTGAGTGGACAACGAGTTGCACACCATCGCCCCTGCGGGGAGGAGTTTCCCAATATGGCAATGGAGCTTCACATCCGAAACTCCAAGTTCATTTGCCTGAACAAATCCGCTGGACCCGACCTCGCGTACTCCCCCCCCCCAATACGGCAATTTGTGCCTCAACCTCGCTAGGGGGGCAAAAAATGTGTATACATATATATATATGTATATATATATATATATACAGTACTGCGGATGGACGCAATCCTGCACCACTTTGACGCCATGGGAAGCCATTGTCCGTTGATATTCACAGGAGAATCATCATTCCATATTTTTCAGGTGGTGCAGGATTTTGTCCATCCACAGTATGTATGTACATATGTATTATATGAACGAACCCCCAACTTTCTGAGGGATGACTCTCAACGCGTTGCGGACGACTCGAGTCGATTCGGAACGCGACGGAGTCCTGCGAATCCTTGCGCTCAGGACGACTCCTGACACAAGTTGGAAGGTCAATAAACCAGCTAAACATGGGATATCACCCCCAAACTTTGGGGCTATAACCCATATTTCAAGTTGGAGTTAGGGTTCAGGTGGGTTCCAAAGGGTCCCTCCCCATTCTTCTCAAGCATCCCCCCTTCAAAGGGTGTTCCATGGTGCCCCTCCAACAGACTCAGCTGGCCAGCTTGGAGCTGGCAATGCAAGGTTTTGCCCCCGGTCTGGGCTGTTCCCTGATCCTCGGCCAAAAGACGGAAGTTTCTCGTGGCTTCAGCGGTAGTTTCTACCACTCAACGTAGTTTCCTTCACTCCAATCGGAAAAATCATCGCTGCCCAGCCGGAGGTGTGGGAAAGAAAAAGCGCGTCATTGGCGACCCGGTGAGCTGGCAGCCGTGGCCAACTAATTGAAAGAACGTGGTACTTAGCTGGTCAGTTTACAACCATGGCTATAATTCAGCCTTTAAGTCCCCTAGACGTCGCCATGATTGCTCACGCCCCTGTGAGTGAGCATGGTAATATAAGCGCCTACATAGATACAATGGGGTTGCTAAAGCAAAACAAGCGAGTCTCACATTCGGAGCGGACTGGCCAAACTACACAATCAAACTTGTTGTCTGGCACTGCAATGGACTCAACAAGTTTAAAGTCCATAAACTCGAGGTGTGATAGCTTCTATTTGCTTAAGCCCCCTGGAGGAAATAAAATATGTCCGGTCGTGATAGATTCCCTTTAAAACCAACAAGGGAAATTAAATAAATAATAAAACAAGGCAAATTGGAAGATAGTCATGATCAGAAGTTACTGTGGGTGGACGGAATCCTGCACCACTTTGAAGCCATAGGAAATCATAGTTGCTTGGTAATTATTTACAAGGGAATCATTTTTCCAGGGTTGCTCAAATGGTGCTCTTACAAACATCGCCGAACAGATCCATGCGACTTCCGCTCGCTCGCCTGTCGCCGCCCGACTTGCCCTTCTCCTGCGCTTGAAATGGCGAGAATGCGCGAGCACCAGTTGACCAACGACACCCATCCCTTACTCCAAATACCAACCTTAGTAGTCACGTCAAATACTCAAAAGCCACAAAGATCCAAAGATCCAACCAAATAGCCACAGAGCCTTGACTAGGTCCTCCAGTTTGCGAGGTTAGAATAAGTTGGTACCCACCTTTTTCTCTTTTGTCTATTTTAGTAGGGGAACCCTCCCAACCAAAAAGGGGAGAGAAGGGCACTAGTGGGGACCTAGCCTTAATCCAAATACCAGCTTTTTCCAGTAGTCATGTCAACACTGTACATAGAATCAATGCACTTATCATCAAACATGTTTTCCCTAGCTATCGCGGAGGAGATGCCTATGAGATGGTTGGTGGGGTTCATGTCAGTCAAGGGAGCATCCGGTGCTTCAAACTGTGACTCTGTTGGCCAATGGCCCTGGCGAAAACAAGGACTGCAACGAAGTTCTGAGCTCAGCCATTCGACGCTTGAAACATCATCTCACTTCTGATCGAGATTGGCGCAACAAGTTGACCAAACTGGTCTTCTCCCCTTTGAGCATCCGATCAAGCATCGGGGAGTGGCTATTCACTGCTACGGCGACACCCCAAAAGTGCCGCAAAATGTCCGAAACGGAGCTCAGGGAACGAGACCATGAGTTCAAGAACCTCACTTTCGCGCATCCCCGAAGGAACAAATGTGCACTTTCTTTGGGGAAAGCCAAAACAAAACATGGGTAGGGGTCAGAATTATACCAGAAAACCGCAGGTTTTAGTCCTTGTTTCCTTTTCCAGGGTTCCGTTTTGGGGTTACCCTTTTTTTAACCCACACCCACATGGTTTCCTGTTGGTTTCCCGTTGAAACCAACCGACCTAGATAGCCAAGTTGCTGTTTTTTTCAGTCACTGTTGCTGGTTTTTTGGGGTAAAGTGCATGGAAAAAAGCGATCGCCACTGGCGATCCAGGGAGAGCCCAAAACTGTTGAGCAAACGGCTGTGGCTCAAATAAATGTACCAAAACGGCACCTTGGCAAATGGAACCAAAGACTAAACCCGCAGTTTGCCCTAGCTCTGCAACTTGGAGCCACACCCAAACAGGCGCAACAAAAAAGAAAACAAACACATCAGCTTAAATGGGCCAAAACGGGTGATGTTCTAACTCCCCTCACTGCTCTCTCTAATTTTGAGCCCCCAAATCTGGTTCGCGCCTCCTCCTCTTTTCGCCGCTTCTCCTCGCGCCGCCTCTGCAGTTCCTCCTCCCGGCGCCTCGTCTCTCGGTCTCTCGGTCTCTCGGTCTCTCGGTTCGGTTTGCCCGTTGTTGGAGCCGCGTGGTTTGGAGATCCCCCCGACCTTAAGGGGGGGGTGGGGATCCGGGGATCCAGGTCCCCAATTCCATTTATCTAGTCCCCATGACTAGGCTGGAATTAGGACCCCAGCAAAAATATATTTTTTGCCTGGTTAGTGGAAACTAAGGGAACCCCAAAAAAGCAACAAAGCAAAACGGCGAGCTGGCTAATTCTGCGGAAGATAAAAGGGACAATGGGTTGCCACAAATGGAGATCTCCAGGGCTCGAAATCCCCCCTCCCCCAATTCCATTTTTGAGGGGGCGGGGATGTTTGGAGGTGTTCCGGGGCGGTGTCCCATTTACTCAGTTGCCCCTAAAGGGGACGCAGAAATTCAGGTCAACCGTTTGGGACTTTTACCCAAAAATAAACCAACCAGGATCAAACAGGGAAAACAACAGGATAAACGGTCGATTCACTTCGGCAACTACTGAGAACCACCAATTCTCCAAGAGCTATCTGATCAGTTTCCGCAAACAAACAAAAAAAACACAACACAAGCCCAAGGCGGAAATACAAAAGAAAAGTGATTGCGGGAAACAAACCACTAAAATACGGACATGTCCAACGTGGGCCATGACAATGTTCACTTTGAAGGAAATTTGATTGGTATCACAGAAAGCGCCATGAAAATCCCAATCGTCATCAAATAAATCCATCCAAGCAGCCAAATAAGGAACCAAAGTACCGCAAACGAGCGAGCAATCAAACTAACGAAGCAACTAGCAACCAAAACAAACAACAAATGACAAAGAAGTGCCGCACCAACACAACAAAGTATGGTTGAGGAGGGGTTGCCCATTTCTTCCTCTACAAGAACCAGGGCCCGGCAAATCCAAATCCAAACCACAAATCCAAACCGCCAACCTGACGGGCTACCTGAAACAACACAAACCTCAAGTTGCAAAACTGCCACCATTCTTGGGAACAAAAACGCAAAAGAGGGGCGGCTCGTAACCACTTCGACTCGTAACCCCGCTCCGCCCCCTTTGTTTGGTTAACCAAACTTGGTTGACGTTGGAAGGGGAGCAAACATTCTCAAATCTTAGCAGTTAAGTGGGGATTTCCCACTAAACCACAATAAGCAAAAATGGGAAACATGTTTCCCAACAACAACCATGCTTTGTTTGGTTCACCAAAACCCCGCCGGCGATCCGCAGCGATCCGCTTCGCCTCATCTCCTCCTCCTTCCGCCGCTTCTCCTCTTCGGGGCTCAGCTTCTCTCTCTTCTCCGGAGGCCTTGGACCCAACCAGATCCATAACCACTCATATGGCTGCGGCTCAAAAACATGTACCAAAATGGCACCTTGGCAAATGGAACCAAAGACCAAAACCTGCGCAACCCTAGCTCGTTTATTTGGAGCCATATCCATATGTGTGCATGAATTTTTGAGGGACCACTTTTTTGGTGGTTGTAAAAAGAGAGAGCAACGGAGTTTTTGTGCCCGGTCGCCGAAGGTTTGCTCCTTTCAAGTCAACTCCGCTAGGAAATGGGAGGAGCAATGTTGACCCAATAATAACAAACCCGTCCCATTCTTAGGGGGGGTGTTCCCTCCAGAAGTGGTCTGAATCCCCACTAAAAGGGGACACCCCCCTACTAATCAACCAGGGGTTCACTAACAATTTCTTCCCTGAGCCCTGTTCCCCTGTCTTCTGTAGCAAGGCAAATAAAGTGGCGAGGTGGCATCCTGTAACGTCCGGAACTCTGTTTGGGGTTGGGCATTTTTCGACGCCAAACAAACTGACCCCATTGTCTCTCCGCTACCCTCAAAGTCACGACCAAAGTGGTGGGTTAAAGGAACACCATCAACCAGCTTCAGACTTTGATAAAACCTAACAGGCAACACTGGGCAGTTCCCAAGTCCCCTGCTAAAAGTCGCCACTTTTAATTGGGTTGAATGCAAACTAGCACTACGCCAACAACAAACAGTAAAAAAACAGAGAAGAACAACTAAGTTGCACCAGATGGCCGGGAGCCACTGGCCTCATTATTTTACCATGGTCAAAGTCACTGACTGAGTGGCGACAACCCCGTGACCCCAGAACCACCAAGTGGGTATGGTTCAAAATTTTATGACCAGGGGACCACAAATTTTAGTCCTTGGTTCCATTTACCAGGCAACCCATTTTGATTACCCATGTTTGACCCACAGTAACGATCCCAGAACCCAAGAGGCCGTCCCCCGCCCCACGGAGTCGCAGCCATGGCACTCCTCTTCTCCCTGGGAAAGCCACAGGATTGAGAAGGGCGCCCGCCCGGAGGCGCCCCACCGCACGCCCCACACACCGAAAGAACAAAAACAACACCCCGCAAGCCCGAAGTAGGCCCCCCCCCGGCCCCGGAAAAAAAGAACAAAAAAACAAAAAAAAAAACAAAACGCAAGCCCGAAGTGGGGTTCGTATTCTGCTCAACCTCTCGATCTCCGGTGCAGAGGAAGACTCCGCGCGACCCTAGCAGTCACAATGTACAGCGACCTCTGTGTTTAAGAAAGCCTAGTGTTTCCCGTGTGCGTGTTGATGGCTTCAGGAAAAAAGGGTCCCTGGACACGATGGGAAGCCTCTAGAATCATGCGCAATCCTGGACCACCTAATTAAGAAACCTTGGAATGATTCCCCACAAAAACAATATGTTTTGCCTGGGTTCAAAGTGGGGCGAAATGGATTTTGCCCATCCAAAGTGTGGCTTGACAATTGGGAAAGTCAACCCGGTTCCGCTGAACCAACTAACTACTTCCATTGTTTTCGGCGCATGTGTTTCCCTCTGGAAGTATGGAAGCTTCCATGTTCCGACGAGATGGTGTGGGACCCAGGAATAACTGGCTTTTGGAAGCTTGAGTGAAGATGGTTGTCAAATCACGGAAACCAAAACTTGATAACGCTTTGTATGGTAGCAATAAACTTAGCATTTTGCAGCATCCTACTTAAAATAAACAGAACCAAACAAGCACACACACACACAGCACGCTTGTCAAGAACTGTGAAGGAAAGGGTCATTCCAGGTGGTTTTGCTTTGGGCCAGTGAGTCTATGTTTGTGAATTGCGAATGGTCAGGAACATAGTCACTCCAATGGTTAATTCCCGATTCTTCTCACCCATCGTTCTCTTTAGACACCACCCATTTTCGTAGGGGTTGCTCCATATCATAGTATTGAGAAGGAGCCCTGAAGATAATGCGCAAGGCACGGCAAGAGTCACTGCCCGACTAGAAAGACAAAGGATCGGGGAGCACGGGCTGTGTGAAAAGCAAACCTTTCGGTTCTTCGCAAGTACAGAAGCCCATAGTTTGTGGCAGCGCTTGAAGAATCAACTGGCACCTCGTGTTCCTCGCATCATGAGCTTAGACTCTCTCTTCACTTCTCGTCCTTTCCTCCCTTCTTTTGGGACCCCCAAAAGGTGAGTACGCCCAACAGGGAATTTCACAAAATGGTGGACACCCCCCTCCCCGGCAGGCGGCATACGGGAAACCAAAAGGAAACCACCCACGGTTGGGGACCACACCTAATTGCTGGTTGAGCAGCGCCCAAAACCCGTTGACTTTTGGTTCTACCAACGTGGACACAAAGGCTTTTACACACGCATTGCGATAATCCCCAATATTCCCCAATAAACAACACCGATAAGGTCTTGGGCGCTGCTCATTTGAGGAAGCACCCACAAGCATCCGGCGTGAGACATTGCCCGCCTCTTCTCTTCGACGCTTCTCTCGGCTCTCCTCTTGCCTTCGCAAAGTGGCATCGGTCAAAGGGTGGGACCCACATCGTTGTTGGGTGACCGTGTTTAAACACGGGGCGCCCCTCAAATCGCGCCTTCCCCTTTCTCCTCCAATTACAACCAACCCAACAAGGATTCCCCCTATGACATGTGAAATCCGTTCAATGAGCATAGGCTCCTTGCGCGGTTCACTACCCGCTGACCAAGAAACACAGAACATACATGTTGCAACAACCTCGAAAATTACAATATGTGGACGCGTTTGTGCATTGGGACCGTGGGGGGATATTCAAAATGGAAATGCAAGACGCCCTGTGAAACGCCGATCTGCATGTAACAAAGGCATCCCGCATGGTTCTGTATTTGATTTGTTTCCTAACAAATGAATTGGGCATTTACCCCCAAACTGGGCGAAGACCCTGATCACTATAGATATAGATGGGTCAATCATCATGGGGGGAGGGTGCCTGACGAGTCTTGAGGGACACCAACCGAAATTCCTCAGCTTTGCCTCCACAGTGAGCCCAAAAAGGGTACCAGCCGGCAGAAGCAGTGGAAGCAGTGGAAGCATTGGAGTCGAAGCGCCTCGACTCCTCATCCTTCCGTCTCTTCTCCTCTTCCAGGGTTTGCTTTTCTTTCTCCGCACGCCTGAGATGGAGATGTGCAATCAACAGGCAGGTCAGCGCAACTCGTCTAAGAAGCCCCTATGGAATTGACAAGCCCCCCCTTTCTTGCAGACTTCCCTGAGAAATTTCGAGTCCCTGGACTTCCCCTGCACCAATTGATCACTTTACTGGTTTCCATTGAAACGATCGCCACTTCTGGAGATATCCACAAAGGAAAATGGCCCGGAACCCCTGTCCAGGGGTTCAATGTCCGAAACCCATTCTCACCGGTCTACATGGCGCGTTCTTCGATTTATTTTACCCCAAACATAATACTCAGTCCTCCAAAAGTGAATCTCCACATGCTCCTGGCTAACATGGGGCAAGGTCGCAAGGTCCAAGCCCCCTCCCAGCCTCCAAGTTGGTTTCGTGGGGCAAAAATAAATCGGAGAAAAACGGGAATAATTGCTGTGAGCTGCGCCCAAACAAATCAGAAATGAAAGGTAATCCTCCTTTGGGGCAACTAAAACTGAACCAAGTCGAGATAATGAACCTGGTCCAAAGCTCGATTCGCTTTGGGCAAGTGAGTGTTGCAGGGCAACAAAGACAAGCTGCAATTATTGCGCCAATTTCGATCCAACAAGTTTAAGACCAGGAGCAACCCTTTGCTAGAGATGGTCTCCCGAATTTGATTTTTTAATGTTCCACGCCGCAACGGTCGCTCAAGCGCAATACCTGCAAAAACGTCGGCCCAAAACGAAAACGCGAAAACCACTTGGCTGGAATTAGGACCCAGCAAACATATATGTATATATATTAATATGTATTGCCTGGTTAGTGGAAAACAAAGGGGACCCCAAAAAAGCAAAAAAGGGGGAGCTAATTCTGGGGAAGAAAACAACCTGCCAAGATGATGTTTTGAACCACCCCGAAAAAAAAAAAGGGGACATGCAGGGCGCATGTGGAAAGGGCGCGGCGCAAGCGCTGCTGTGTCAAGTGCGGAACCCTGCAGCCACGCCGCTCTGCGTCCTTGCCGAAAGTGGCGAATCGTGGCAAATCGCAGCTGCTAACCAGCTTCTCCCCAGTGGTTTGGAGCACGATGGTTTGAAGGTGAGGGGCAGTGTACAAGAAGTAGGGGTTCAACTCCAACTCCAAACTACCAAGCCAAACCAACTAAGGGTCACATGAAATAAAGGCAATCAACCAGAAATGGTGTCGGTCTTCCTTTTGGTTCTTTCCCGGCGTCCCACAAAGAAACAACCTAAGTCCCCCTGAAATAGACAAATAACCTAAGGAACCAAGCCAAAGCTTTCCTGAAGCTCCCATCTACCCACCCCAGGGGTGAAAAAACCCATCGGGCTGGATTTCAGAATCCAACGGAAAGTCTCTTCAGCTTGCGAACCAAGGTTGCTCTTGGGAAAGCAAGAAAAAACAAGGTAAACCAGGAATCGCCCTCTGTTTTTTGAGCAAAACTAGCAAACAGGACACCTATGGTCGGAACCCATATCTCTTCCAAAGAAGAAGGCGCTTCCTCAGCTTGGGTGGCATTGGCTTTCCCTGTACGAAACCAGGAACCTCCATCCCTTGCATTTTTATATGCTCTTCAAATCGCGGCTTTGGTCAACCATAGCTGGAAGCACCGGGTATTTTCTTGGAGGGAGGCACCCGCCCAGACACAAAGGCAGTGTGCCACAAGGGCATTTTCAGGGATGGGATTAAGTTAGATACCGCTTCTATACCTCCATTTGCTTAAGTTCCCTGGGGAAACAAATAATATTTCCAGTAGTGATAGATTCCCTTTACAATCAACAGGGGAAATAAACAATCTTCTTAACCAAATGGAAGTATAAGACGTCCATACTGCCGTGCAAGCCTGTCTGTGGTTTCCTCTGCGTCCATAACCCATACCTGGAAATGCCCCGCAACACAAGAGGGAGCTCACAACTCAGTTCAGCAGTGCCTAAAGCCCACCGACTTTGGGTTAGGGAATAAAAGGCGATCACCTTTTGCGGCCTTGTTAAAAATAAACCCAATCATGGAAACAAATGGACCAAAGGTTATAGTAAACCAAACAAAAACGCGCGAAGCCAGGTACTAGCATCCGGAGGCATCTACTAAAATGGCCAATGGGACACCGTTTTGGGCGCCGTTTGCGCTGCTCGTCCACTAGGTCAGTTGAAATTGAATCATGCATGGATGAAACCCTACGACTGGAACGAAATGTTCCTACCGACTGGTGCAGGATGTTGTCAATCCACAGCACATGCCACATATGACGCTTCTTCTCCTGACACCCTGCTTCTTCAACAACGTAGATGCTCGCCACCCAAAAGACGCATTGAACCACCGCCGAAAAACGGCCTGTTCAACTCAGTTGCCCCTTAGGGACCCAGAAATAAAGGGTGATCACCTGTTGGGCCTTTGCATGCCTTTACTAATCATATACCAAAATGGGAAGGTCGATTTGCTCTGGGCAACTGTAGCTGCCAAGAAGAAGGCTTCTCATGGCGAGCCCTCCGGAAATGCAACATCGACATTTCCTTCATTCATGTTGTTCGTGTTAGTTAGGCTTAAATCAAATGGGTCCCGTTGTTCACTTCAAGGCTTGGGATTCATAGCATAGAACCGCAGGAACATCCAACACATGTTAAATGACTAAGGGTGGGAGGTATCCGCCTGTCGTGCACGCATCAAACATTCTCAGATTTCCACTTGAAGGGGGCGGTGCTTACTAGCTGCTTGGCAACCATTTTTATAAGTTCTCGCTAAGCCACTCGTGGGCCATCATGGTTACTCTCCAAGTACTCCAAGTACGATTCCGTAGGGTCTCCCACAAACGGCTTGATACTGGAAAAATACGCTTACAAGCTATTTGGTGTGGGTCATGACGGCTCCCCCCACCCCAAAAAAAAAACTCTAAATATGCCCTCAACCCTTACGAAAAAAAAAAATAATAAGAAAAAAAATAATAAAGTTTCCAGGCTCCCAACCTCCCCCCTTTACCGCCATCCCTTAACGGTTCCAACGGACGGACTCGCGCCTCGGACTTCTCGCGGCGGGGAGAGGAGCGCTCCCTTCGGGGGCTTGGCTTCTCTTTGCGGTCCTGGCGCTAAGGATGCACTGGGTCAGGGACCCGGGTCCTGGAAATTTCCATGGGGAAAACGGGTGTTTGGCTTCCAAGACCAATGGATTTCAATGGGATTTCAAAACCAATGGCTTTCAAAACCAATGGGAAAAACATATTTTCAATGGATTTCCATGGGAGGTCAAGAAAAAAACACTTCCACCCACCTCTTTGCGGTCCTGGCTACGATATGGCAATGGGTCGAACGAGCCCCGGGTGATTTCCATGGAGAAAACGGCTTTGTTGTCGGTTCAAAGGGAAACCGGTCCCCAGGGTGATATGAGAGCGCCGGGGGAAGAGATTCCATCTGGAGACGTTGTAGGGGATGGATCCCACCCAGCCGCTCACTTCCCAAAGCGACTCGACGTTTTGAGCTTTCGGTGACGCAGTTTTGATCCGTTTCTTGGTAAAGGTTGAAGTTGGTGCCTTTGTTTTCTGACTGCCAGAGGGGTTCCCTTTGAACTACCCAAAAAGAAGCAGCGCCGATTCTTTCTCCGACGCTTTTTGTTGGAAGGGGGTTTCTCTTTCAACTACCGCTGAATCTTTTTTAGTTCCGTGTTGGCTTCCCTTTGGATACCAATGAAAAGGCTGGCCTCTTTGGAAGGCCTTGCGTTTGTACAAACATTCACTGGACGACAAAGAAGGGGATCCGAATGCCGCATTTTTCCGTGTGGTTTAGACAAGGCTCAGCAAATGGGGGAAACACACACACACACATCTCCAACTGGGGATGCAAAAAGAGATGTGATGTTATTCGAGGAATATTGAAAAACTCCTAGCAGGCTTTGCCCATGCTTGGCCTAACCCAGCGCGGCGCACGTCTTTATGTTTATCCAATCAACATCACCCCACCAAAAGGAAACTTGATCCTACAATTCTCAAGGTTGCTCCCAAAGTGATCGGGAAAACGGCAACCCCGATAGCAAACAATCAAAATAGTGACCCCACGAGGTGATGCGTGAAAGCCACTCAAGGGCAAATATGGGAATTTGCTTGAGGTTAAAGGGACACCAAAGCAAACCGACCTATTTCGGGGGGAACCCTATGTTGGAACAAACCCACTATTACTGCAAATGTTACCTTTATTCAAAAGCCGCAAAAATATTGGGCCCCCCAAGTAAAGGGCCTTTATCACGGCTGTCGCTCGCTATACCCCCGGAGCAGTGAGCTTGCCATCAAATAGCCAGCTAATACCGTGGATGGACGAAATCCTGCACCACCTACGAATCCCTAGAATGATGATTCCCCTATAAATACCAACAATAGTTTATTTGTTTAAGTGGTGCGACATGGATTTCGTCCATCCACAGTATGTTGGAACAACAGACCTCCGTATATTTCCCCTTAAAACATCATTTCCATGAAGGGACACCCACAACCATCATGGTTGTAAAAACAAAGTGATGCTCAAAACCACCAAAATTTCTAGGGACACTTCCCCATTCTTTCCAGCGATCCTTCTTTCCAGAAAAAAAAAAACACATCAGAACCCCAGGAGAGACAGCTGGTTTTTGAAGAGAACGATGGTTGAAAAGAATGGACAAGGAACCAACCCCTAGAAAAAAGTGAAATTCAGCGACCCCTGAACAAACCCCATATGGAACCCCCACCTTACTCCCGTTTCGAGCACTCCAGCTCCCGAACTAATCCGCTCCTCGGACTTGTCCCGGCGCGGGCTGGAGCGCTCCCGCTTGGGGCTCTCGCGCTTCTCCTTCTTCTCCTGGTGGCAACGGCCGGCGAACACACCGCGACCTCCCAAAATGGCGGTACTGTGGATGGACCAAATCCATTTCGCACCACTTTCAAACCACAGGAAATCATTGTTGGTTGGTATTTGCAGGGGAATCATCATTCTAGGCTGTCTGAGGTGGCGCCGGATTTCGTCCATCCACAGTTTTCCCACTGGTTTTCCTCTCTCAAACAACCAAAGAAACGGGTACCCTCAAAACAAGACAGGCCCAACATGGTGGTATTTCCGCAGGTGTTCCCTTCCTCAAGCAACCAAGAAAACGGGTACCCTCAAAAAAAAGAAACCCAACAAAATCTGTCCATTGGCGGATGGTTGCGAATTTCGCGACACTTAAGAAACCATGACTATGAAACCATTGTTTCTATGGGACACTATAATGGTTGTTGGTATGCAAGTTGGGGGAATCGAATCAGAAAACATGGATTTTAAGTCGTGCAACATGAATTTTGCAACCATCCACAGCATGGTGGAAGACACCCACGGAACAATTGACATGCTCACTTCCGATCGAGTAGATTGGCCTAAAAGTGACCAACCGGTGCATTTACCACTGAAATGGTCCAAACAGGTCCAGACCGTTTAAAGTTCGGGAACTCGGGGAGTGAGTATACCCTCGGAGGCCCTCTTTCTAGTGTGTGTTATCTCTATGTATATATACACATGCAAATGCAGAAATTATATATAGTATATAGGTACAACAGTGGTCGTAGACCCCCCCTTTTTCCTTGGGCTGGTGACACAGTTCAGCATCCCTTTCAACCTCCTGTTGGCTTGCCTACTGGAGAATGATTTGTACACCCATGTCCGCGTTGCCATGGAACCAGGAAGCAGAAGGTCCCCTTTAAAGTCGTCCTCCAGGACCCCAAAACGTCAGGTCCGTGTTGGTGGGCGGAAGGGTACATGGGATTTGTGGCTGCCGAAGGACTTTCAAGGAGGCTGCCTCAATGTCATAGAACATCGCACCAGGCAACGATCCTCTTTGTTATGAAAGCGCAATGATGGATTCAGAAAAAGTGAGTGGCACCCTTTTGGTTGCCCTCTGTTGCCCAGACTCGGAAATCAGAAATACAGGGTGGACCTTTTGGGCCCACGACAAAATCCCCCAAAAGTGAGAACCCAAAGGGTCATGTCAGGTAGATTCGAATTGAGCAAGTGAGTGCCTTACAGAGGACTACCCTTCAAACAGACACACCCTCTACCCGCGGAACAAATTAGAAAGCCTGAAACCTTCGGACCCGCAAAAGCTTCGAGCCTTCTTCTCCAACACCTACCTAATGGACAATCAAACCAACCTCAGTTGCAGAAAAGCTGCAGATTTCCCTTGTTGCAAATAAAACATCAAATCCGCCGGACCATTTGCATGCAACACCGCAACCCCAAAAAAAAGCCCCCGAGGAAAAAAAAACCGAGGAAGCCGCACACCGCAACCCCAAAAACCGCCCGAGACAAATAACAAAAACAAAACAAAAACAAAGAAGACACAAAAAAACAACAACGAGGAAGCGCCGGTCCTCGGATCGGTCCCGGCGCCGGCTCTTTCGGTCCCTGCGCTCCTCCCGGTCCTGCGAGAAAATCTCTGGGGAAAAAGAACCGCGAACTCCGAGAAGAACTAGGGACACGGTGGATGGACGCGAAATCCATTTCGCGCACCACCTAAGAAACCCGGGAATGATGATTCCCCTGTAAATACCAACAAAATGGGAAACCCTGGAATGATTATTTTGTTTTGAAAATATTACATATAGTTTTTTTAATGGTTTCCAAGTGGTGCGAAATGGATTTTGTCCATCCACAGTAGGAAATGGCAAATCACTGAAATGGCAACACCTCCGTCAGGCAGTGAGGCCTGACGGGAAGACCCTAGCCGCAGATCCAGGTTCCTACTGTGGATGGTGGTTGAAGCCCATGGTTTCTTGGGTAGTTACAGGGAATCGAATCATTCCAGAATCTCTGAACGGCGGTTGGTGTATGAGTGTCTTTTTTCGGCTCCACGTAAGAAACCATGGTTGAAACCATAGCGTTTGCTGGCATTTACAGGGAAAACATAATTCCAGAATTCTTAGGTGGTGCAGGATGTCGTTTTTTAGGATTCGGCCCCCAAAATGGCTTCGGTTTTCCTTCTGGCTTTCCCTTAAGGAAAGCCCAATCAAAACCCTGTGCCCAGGCGAAACCCAGCAGAAACTGAACCGTCTGTCTTTGCCCGGCTGCAAAGCTGCAAAGGCAGTCGGCGATGTTTGCAATGCCGCTCGACGATGCGGGCAAATGACTCAATGAGCCGGTGAGCTTTCCAGCGGCGTTGGGTCCCTGTTCGTGCAGACGGCTTCCGTTTTTCTCTTGGCGGTCTCGCAGCATGTTTGAACACGGGATCAGAACCCTGCGTAATCGTTGCGAGAAGTACCCATGCGCTGTATTTCAAGGGGACGGAAATTGGCTTGAGGTGGCTAAAATATGTGGCTGGTCAGACTTAATTACCAGTTCGGCAGGCTTGAAACGTGTCCTTTGGTTGTCCTGTCTGACTGCCAAGTTCAAACTTTTCTGGCAGCCAACGCAGCTCAGGAGATAGGCAAACTTACCTCTTGCAGGGAAATCATGTTTCATTTACCCGTTGATCTCGCGATAACTCGTGCAGTCCATCCTCACTCCAATCAAAACCAGACAAATACCGAAGCCCTGTTGCTCCTTGTGGACGAAATCAAAATCCACTTCGGAGCAGGTTCTGTGTCCGCTTCCGTCCAAGTCACTGGCTTTGAGCACGCCCCTTGCCTTCGTTTGACTATGTCTTGTAAAGCATCCAAAGAGGCAAGTGCGGCTTGGCACATTGACCACAAATGGGTGTCGGCCCCTTATTCAAAAAAACAAGGGAACAAAAACGAAAGAAAGAAGAACCAAAAGAGCCCAGCAGGAAAACCGGAGCCAAAGTCCGTACCTTTAGGCACATCCCCTGGAAGTCTTCCCCCAGCCTTCTTTGCACTGGCGCTCGCCTTGCGCCGTCAAAAAACACCCAAAGCCTTCAAGGACCTAACAAAAATATGTCTGCGTGTTTCCATAACTAGGTCCTCCAGATTTGCGAGGTCCGAATAAGTTGGTACCAACTTTCCTCAGTTTTGTCAATTTTAGTAGGGGAACCCTCCCACAAAAAAGGGTAAAAGGGCACTACTAGGGGACCTAGATAATCTTCCATTTGCGTTTTCGCCCCCCCCTGCAAACAAATACAAATATTTCCAGTAGTGATGGATTCCCTTCAAAACCAACAAGGGAAATGAGAACATTCTTAAGCAAATGGAAGTAATTCAGAACCCCCCTACGAAATCGAAGTCCCTTCAGGGAAACATCCATTCTTAGAAGTGCATATGTGACGGGGCTTTGGCTGTTGGGCCCTAAATTGATCCGGAGCCTTCTTGGGTAATCTAGAATCGGAACTCTCAAAAATATGGGGCGAATCCAAGCCTGTTGACAACCCGATGGCCAACGAATCTTTCCGGGCTGAGGTAACACCTTGCTTGCCTAGGGAGCCACTGGAAAAAGTGTGCGTGTTGCTCACTTGAATATACAGGGAACCTGCCTCAAATCTGCCTCAAAGCAAAAAGCACAAATCCTCTGAGCAACTCGGCTATGCTCACAAAGGCTTGCAAGAAATGGGCATCGTTTTGTTGACGAACTTGCCTTTCGGGTAGCGTCCAGGGAAAAACTGAAAACAGGACACCAACCATTCTGGGGAAAAAAGGCTGGCTAAAAAAATGAATGCATCGCGCCCTTGCCATCTGTGCAAGGGAACCTGTCAGAATTGCAACCACCAAGATTGTGGTGGTTTTCCTTTTGGTTCCTTCTGAGACCAACCTCAAAAAGGGATACCCTCACAAAAGCACAGCCCCCTAGTCCCATGCATCCCAACCGTTGAAATCCCAAATTACCTACGTGAGCTTGAAAGAAAGCCGCCATGACAAACACTACGAGCTACATGCTCTCAACAGGGTTGTGGGGTGTAAGACTAATGTTAATCATGTGGGGATAAAACATGTCCCTTTCTGGGGGGGGGGGGTACGGTTTCATGCCCGTGTCTCCGCGAAGCCCCCCCCTGGCCTTATCCTTCGCCTGGCGAAAAAGACCACAGTGCTAGGCGGGAGGTTTGCATCAAACTGCCCCTACCCTACCCCAAATGCGCCCCTGGTTTTGGCCCGTGTTTTTGTTTTTGTGTTTTGTTCTTTGTGTGTGTGTGTGTTTGTCGGCGTGACTGCGTGCCAGTGTGGCTGTGTGTCTGTGTGTCTGTGTGCCTCTGTGTGTGTGTGTCTCTGTGTGTGCGCCCCAGTGTCAGTGCCTGTGCTTCAGTGTGCGGGTGTCTTTGCTGTGTGCTATCCTCAATCTTTGCCTGTGCTGTGTGTGCGCTGTGTTTGTGTAAGTGTCTTTGCGGCTGTGTGTACGTGTGTTTCTCAGAGGCTCCCTGGAAAATCGGCGGCCTTTTGAGCTTGGGGTTTTGGAGGTATGACGCTGCTTTACCACTTAGTATCTCAACCCCTTGGGTGTGGGGCCCTATTTGGGGCCAGCGAGCTCCCCTTGTTTTGACTCTGAATCTATCTTGGCAGTGTTTGCCTTCTGCGGATGCTGGCATGTTCTTCATTTCAAAGTCTGTGTCCCTAAGCCCTCCCTTTCTGTTTGCCTATTGCTTGCCTCACGGCCCCTTTCAGCAAACGCTGTATGTTTTCCGCATGTTTACAACGGCACTGATCTGGGCTCACCCGGAAAAAGGGCACCTTTTGAAGGTAGCTTGGTTTAACGGGAAACCTGCCAAGAATCAGCTTGCTTCCGATTGGTGGCTTGGATTGGTGGATTGGTGGTTAGGGGTGTGGGTTTAACTCCCCAAGCCCCAATCCAAACCACCAAAGCGCTTCCAGACCTTTTGCGAACCAAAGCATGTAAACAACCAAGGCTCACTTGGTTCAAGGACCCAGGCAAAAGTTTAACCCAATTGGGAAGTTGCTTGAGAGAAACAACAAATCCGCCCAAGTAACATCTCCAACCCCACCCTTCCAGCTTCAACCTGGCCCCGAACTGCCCTCCCTGAGCCCATCTCAAAGAAACCGAAGCTTTCAGCGGGAAAGATCATTCTTCTTGGGTTTCCTTAAATGCTACTTTTGATGTCCAGACCAACAAGCTTGCTGGTGTTCAGTAACGAATGACCTGGGTGCTGGGAATGAACCGGAAGGGGATTCCCGAACAAAGGAAGCCAGATCGGATTGGCTTGTCTCGGGGTCATTCCACTTCTCATCCCCTGCCTATCGAACCAGCAACTTAAGGATTGTAGTTCTATGTCCCCTGTTGTTGTTTGTTTTTGGAAAAGGGAATCGAGTTCATCATTCTCCAGGGGGCCAAAAAAAGCCAATGGAAGTATTTGCTTCCAACAGTTGGCTTGGTTTGGGTTTTCTTAGGTGTCGCGTTTGGCTGAGATGGGGTCTGTGCCCCTTTTTTGGCGCCTTTTCGTTGGGACGAAAAAACCCACGCGCGTCACGTAGGGTGTCACCCTTCGCCCCCGCTCGACTCCATGCGAACTCCGCCGCGAACGCCTCGCGCCCGTCGCGGCCGTCCCGGCGCCGGGAGCCGCCGCGCTTCTCCCCTCTACGGTCGTCCCGGTCCTGGCGGGACGATTTTTTTATTTTCGGGGGGATGCTAACGAGCCAACCTCCGCTCTCCTCCGGACATTTTCCCCGTCACCCCTAGAATCCTAAAAGAAACTCACAACTGACAACCGCTTAACCTGCTTGCCCAAAGGACCCGAACATGGAAGGTAAACCTTTTGGGCCAATGACTAAACATTGACCAACATGGGGAAACTGGACAAGGTCGAACGGTCGATTCGCTTCGGGCAAGTGAGTAATCAGCTTCCTCTTAGTTCGTGGTTTGGATTGGAGTTTGGTTTAAAAAGTTTAGAAGGGGTGTCCCATTTCCCTCTACAAAAGCCAGGAGTTTAAATCCGCAAACCACCAATTAGCTTGGTTGCTGCAATGACCCCTCTGCAAAAGTTGAACACTTTTTGTGGGTTTAGTGGAAGACTCAAGACTTGATTTCAAGCAAAAAGTTAAAGTCTAAAGATCCGTTGCCCAATAGGAATCAAGAGGAATCCGTCAAAACATGGGTACCCGTGGAACAAGAAAAGAACCGTCTCAGGAAACAAAGAAAAGAACAAAAAAACAATGTTTTTCTATAAAACACCGTACCAATTACCGCTTTTGATATTCCAGGGATACTTAAAGGTGAACCTTTTGGAACCTTCACTCATTGACTAGTGGACTCATCATATTTGTTGCGGTGTGGATTGGAGGATTTCGGTGTTCACCTTTGGGGGCCATGACTAAACACGGGCCAAAACTGGAAAACGCAAAGTTTCTTTTGGGCAAGCGAGAGGGTACTAAGTGGGTTTACTCACTCGCGCAAAGGACTCGGAAATAATAAGTTAGCCTTTTGGAACCTTGACTCATTGGCTAGTGGACTAACACAGACCATGGGAAAGTCAAAAGGGGGAAAGGTCGATTCGTGTTGGACAACTGCGGGACGAACCAACCAACCAAAACAAAAAGCAAACCAACAAACAAACAAACAAACAAACAACGCAAGCAAACAAACAAACAACGCAAGCAAACAAGCAAGCAAACACACAAGCACACAAACACGCAAGCAAACACGCAAATACACAAACAGACACAAAGGGGAACGGCTGAAATCAACAGGAACGGCTGAAATCAACAGGTGGACTCCGCTGCTAGACGATTAGCCCGGTGTTCAGATGCTAGTTTGCATGGCTCACACTTCAGGCTTTCAAAACCAGGCTTGGCAGATTTCGGTGTGTCTTGCGTGGACGCTTGATCTGATGACCCTCCCATCCATGGATGCGGAAAAAGACTCCAACCCTTCTGTGATACCCCTCCCTGTGACTCCTGCTTGCTACTCTACCACTTCCTTCAAATGGGATTCTGTAGGTATGCAAAAACACAAGTTTCGTCAACAAATACGGGAACCCCGGATTAATAAACTCGTGGTGGCTGTGTCTTTTCAGGGGACACCTCAAAATGGTGTCTTTTTTTTTGATCCCTTAATAAAAAAAAGAGGGGCACCCTTGGACAATAAACAATGTTGCAGTGGATGGGCGAAATCCTGCACCACGTTTGAAACCACGGGAAGTTGCTCGGCATTTCCAGAGCAGTTTGCAGGGTTGTTAGGTAGTGCGACATGGATTTCGTAACAACAGTAAAATTGGTTGATTGGCGAGTTTGGACCTCGCCCTTGTGAGGCCAAATGTTAACGTGAAGCCGAGCAAAACCTGTTGACCTGCCGGAGTGGCTCTGGCCTGTGCTTGTGTTGGGGGTACTCTTGGATGTTTTTTTTCTTGAACCCCAAGCAAGCCCATCCCCGAGTTGGTTTCCTCCTTTATTCGAGAAGGTCCAAAACCGGGTCATGCCCAAAACCAGCGCCACTTGGGCCCATCCCAGGATACCTTCAAAGGAAGCCCCATGTCTGAAGAAATCAAAGACACTCTTCTAAGGGTACCTTCCAACCATTCTTTCCAGGGATCCTGGGAAGTCAACTGGTTTTAAACTCCGAAGGGTTCCGGCCGGCGAGGTCAAAAGTCGCCAACCAACCAATCTTACTGTTGATGTTTGTGAATTTCGTGTCGCACTACCTAAGAAACCCTGGTATCTCCCAAATTCCAAGCAACAATGGTTGCAACCCATGGTTTCAAAAGTGGTGCAGGATTTCGTCCATCAACAGCATCAGTGTTTTTTGTCCCAGGCTACCCCATTCTTTCCAGGGATCCTTCTTTATAGATAACCTCCGGAAACAACGGAGAAAACGGCTGGTGATTGAAAAGAACGATGGTTGAAAAGAATGGGGAATCAGCCCCTAGAACCGTATCAAGAAATCGCCTATGACCAAAAAGAAAGGCTATAAAGTGACCCTCTTGTCAGTTCTCTAGAAAAATCACAAAATATGCTCAGTAGTGAGGGATCCTCTTTTACACCAACCATGGCGAAACAGCATTGAATCTTACGGGGAGTAAAGTGACCGCCCCCACCCCCTCCCCTCAGTTCTCTAAATCAAGCACTGCGACCCACCGGCACCTCCGAGCGGTCCCTGCGCCGGCTGCCGCGTCTTTCCTTGCGGTCGTCCCGTTCCTCACGGCCGTTTTCAACTGGTCCCCCCACCACCTCCCCCCGACGGGAAGCTAGGCTCATACTGTGGATGGAAGAAATCCTGCACCACGTTGAAACCATGGAAAACCTATGTTTGTTGGTATTTACAGGGGAATCAACTCATTCAGGGGTTCTTGGGTGGCGCGAAATGGATTTCGCAACCATCCACAGTATGCACCGGGGTGACAGCAGATGCCAGGAATGCTCTTGTAGTCTGAGGTGATGCTTGGGCCATCGGCTTTTGGCCATCTGATTAAGGGCTCGTCTTGGTGTGGCTCTGAAGCAGCATTGGGCAAAACTACCAAGGGTGTTAGTGTTGCGTTTTTTTCTTGCAAGACCATGCCCCCAAAAACATAGTCTGTAAATCATATAAGCCCAGCTTACTCCATATAAAATTGACACAGGCCAAACAAAAGCACCCAAAAGAAGTGTCCTCTACGAATGAGTGGTTTTGGGCTTGACAATTTGTGACGGGGGTGACCTTATTTCTGCAAATTTCAGAAGTCGAATGACTGAGTTGCCCAAAAAAGCCAGAAATTAGATGTTAACTCTTGGGACCCTTACTAAACATGGACCAAACAAGGGAAACCCAAAGGCAGTGGGCAAGTGAGACGAAGGGATCACGTACAGGACCTTCATTCTTGTGAGCCCGCCTTACCCCCGAATCGGTGAGCTCACCATAAGTTATGCAGACCTTATCAGGGCTCCAGTCTTGGACAACCCCAATTTTGGACTCAAAATCAGGGGGTTGGTTTTTACCCAAAATGGGGACCGCCGGATTTTAAGTCTACATTGGGGTTGTCCAAAAAACCCGAACCCTAGCAGGTTCGGAAACTCCTTCGAAGTCTCTTCCATTTGTTTCAGTCCCCTGGAAAAAGCAGACAAATACTTTCAGTCGTGAAATCGATTCCCTTTCAAGCCAACAGGGGAAACCAACAGTGGCAAGACATCCACCTACCTGGCCATTTTTTTAGGTCAGCTAGTAGAGAGGTTGGAATAAGGGTACCAACTTTTTCTGTAGTCTATTTTAGTAGGGGAACCGAATCTCCCCCAAAAAAGAAACAGTAAAAGGGCACTGGACCTAGTCCAAATCTCCAACAAGTGACTCAAGTCCATGAACTCAGCAACATCAAACAAGTCACCAGTACCCTGCTGAAAACCCAACAGTCAGCACCAAAAAGGGTTTCCATCAGCTTGGGTGCTGTAGATCCCCCAGCAAAAAGTGTAACTTTTTGCTGGTTAGGAAATATGAAGGGAATCCAAAAGGGTCAAGTCTAAAGATCCAACCCAATATGTTTTTAACTTCAATCTAACAGACCCAATAGGTAGAGACACGGAGAAACTCATTAAAGTCTAAAGATCCAACCTAATAGCTCACCGGCTGAGTGGATGGTCCAAAAAAAGTCCAAACTTTATATTTGCTACTAAAATGGTCTTCCCAGCAAGTTTAAAGTTCATGAACTCAGAAAGTGAGATAGCGGTAGAGTCAGTGCACTCCATCTGCCGCTCCTCTCGGTCCCGGCGCCCGCGGCTGCGCTTGCGCTCGTCCCGGTCTCGGTCTCCATCCCTGCGGTCTCGGTCCCCTCGCTCGCGGTCCCGGTCCTGGACTGATCCGATCAGCTTCCATAAAACGCGGGCCCAGAGGTTCCAGGTTCTTTACTTACCCCTTAAAACTCCAAGTCTTGGGGGAAGTTCGCATCTTTTACAGACATATAGCCCATGTTACCCCCAAAAAGTTGAGAAATGTTGTGTTTTTAAGAGGTAAGTTTAGTAGAATGGCCTCCCATTTCTGAGATGCGACACGGGATTTCGTGCATCCACAGTCTGGGTGTCTATGATGTCTAGGTTTTCGAGTGGAGAGGTTAGAACAAGTTGGTACCCGATGTTTGTCTTGTTTGTCTATTTTAGTAGGGGAACCGAATCTCCCCCAAAAAAGAAACGGTAAAAGCGCACTACTGGGGGATGCCCTTCCCCAACAAAAATCAGCTGGGAAACCAGGAGGAATAGGATGGAAATATGGATATAACAAACCATTCCTTAGGGAAACCGGCTTGATTTAAGGAAACCACAAGAGCCAATCTTCACAACCAAACTTAAAATGGGGGATGCCCTAAACATTATAGGGTGAATCTAGTCTTACAGTCACGCAACCGGGTAATTGCCAGAAATCCATTTGGCACCACTTTGAAGCCTTGAGAAACCATTGGTGGTTGGCAATAGCAGGGGAATCATCATTCCAGGGTTTCTTTGGTGGTGCAGGATTTCGTCCATCCACAAGTATGGTGGCAACACCCATTTTTTTGCAGCCCCCTTCGAAAACTCCAGAGAACCAAAGAGACAACCAAACAAAACAAACACTTGCCCAGAACTGTGAACCCGTGGTTCTCGTGGGTAGATGGGAAACCCCCTCCCCCAACCTCACCAATCCAAAGCACCCTGTTTCAGAGCACCCTGTTTGAGGGAAGCTGATTGTATGCGTAGTTGAGGCTGAGAAAGAAGCAAGGAAACATCATGCTTCTTGGGTGAGACAAACACCTTTGGTACAAAGAAACATGCCCATGGACCACCAGAACCTTATAACATACCTCTTAACGGATCAGCCAAACGTTTCTTTTCTTACTCAGCTTCCTTCCAACTGCTTCAAATCCCAAAACCATGGATGCGCAACTAGGCTTTTCCGCTTTCCTAAACACAAAGTGGACAGGGTGGTTCCTCGAAAGGACTGCAGTCTTCCAAACCCCTTGGTCCGCTTCCATGATGGTTAGAGGAGTGCTCCTGTGCAAATCAACATCCACATTACCCCCCCCCCCCCCGTCCGGATATTTTCCCCGTCTCCTAAAAGAACTCACAACTGACAACCGCTTAACCTGCTTGCCCAAAGGACCCGAAAATGGAAGGTAAACCTTTTGGGCCAATGGGGAAACTGGACAAGGTCGAACGGTCGATTCGCTTCGGGCAAGTGAGTAATCAGCTTCCTCTTCGTTCATGGTTTGGATTGCAATTTGGTTTAGAAAGGGTGTCCCATTTCCCTCTACAAAAGCCAGGAGCTCAAATCCGCAAACCACAAATTAGCTTGGGTGCTGTTGATCCCCTGCAAAAAGTTTAACTTTTTTGGGGGGGTTTAGTCGAAAATCCCTTGATTTTCCCCAAAAGCTAAAGTCTAAAGATCCGTTGCCCAAAAGCAGTCAAGCAATTAGGGGTTTTCTGGATTAAGACCTTCGAAGAAAACCAAAAAAAAACCTGCAGGGCTCCAGTGCCTAGCTCTCGGACTTACCTGGTGCCTTCCGTTGCCTTTTGAAGGGACCCGGTCCCTGTGCAGGTTCCGCGCTTGTTGTAGGGAATCAAAACTTTTGGCCGCTAGAAGTGCTCCAAGCCGCAAACCCGAAAAGTGACATGAGTCTCCATGAACTCAGGGAAGTCCTTTTCTCAAAATCCTTCAGGAACCAGTCGCTGATTACCCGTGACAAAAACGAAGACCATACTGTGGATGGACGAAATCCGCTTATCGCACCTCTTTGACACCCTGGCAAGCATTGTTACAGTTGGTTGGGGTTTACAGGGGAATCATATTCCAGGGATTCTTAGGTGGTGCGAAATGGATTTTGCAACCATCCACAGTATACTGTAGGAAGAAACCAAAAGGAGCGCTTTGTCCGGCCCGGCGTTCGGCGGGGTCTGGTCTCCCGGTATCTTGGACAACTTTTCGTCCAAACCCAGATTTGAGAGGTCCTCCATGCAGATTTGAGAGGTCAGAATAAGTTGGTGCCCGATTTTTTTCTGCAGTCTATTTTAGTAGGGTTCGGAACCCTACTAAGACAGCTCCTCTCACTTGAGTGGATTGGTCAAAATGGAAGACAGCCATGGAAGACCCTTGCCCCTTGAAACTACAACCAATTGGTTGCCCCTTGAAAAGTGACTCAAGTCCAAGACTCACTTGCCCTGAGGGACCTAGAAATAGAAAGTGATCACCTTTTGGGGCCATGACTAAAACTGGAAACTGGGAAAACCAAAAGGTCAAAACGTTGGCTTTGGACGACTGAGAACAACTTCGAACTGCCGTGGCCCTTGCCGCTCCTCGCCGCGGCGGCGATCCTTGCTACCGCCCCGATCCTTGCGATCGGAGCGGTGCCGATCTCTGTCCTCGCGGCGCGCGCTTCGCGTGCGGAAGCTCCAGCGAAACGAGCGGCGGAGACGCTCGGCTTAAGGCCAAGGGTCGTTGTTTCAGGCTTTTGACCTTTTTCGGGCCAAAAAAGGTCCCTCTACTCCAAATACCCGCATTTTGTTCAGGACATTTTCGGCAAAGCCCGGTTTCCCCAGGTAAGGGGTCAACAGAGCGGGTATTGGATAAGATTGATAAGATGGTTTCCACTCCCCTCAGGGTAAATTAGGACTTTGTTACCCTTTATATAGTGGCCCTACATCCCATGCAACCCTTGGAAGTAGTGGAAACCATCTGAGAGCCCTAAGGGTCCGATCGAAACGCATCCCCACTGAAAGGGGACACCTTGGCGCCCATTGAGGGTTTCCTCAACATTATGTTTCAACCGAACAAATAATAGCAACAATTACATCCCCACCTCGGAAAAAAAAAACAACGCACAGCATTCCAAAAATAAAAACCTTTTTCAGCGCGCCACGACTAAAACACAAACACACGAGAACGAGATACAAAGTCTCACATTGACAAAACCAAACATGTTGAAGTAACATGATCATTAACCCACAAACGAATGCGCTCTCCTTAACGACTGTGAAACTCTCGAAACAACGACCTTGGCAAGGGCGACTCTACAGCCGTTCGAGTTCAAGCTTAATCAGAGTGCTGTCACCACCATAGGCAGAAAGACCCCACGTCACCACAGAGCCGCTGTCCAGGAAGGCAGCAAAGGCACCCATGTTTGCTTGGATCTGCTGGACGTGCACCAACTCCTCCTGTACCTGGCTGCTGTCACCGCCGAAGTCGGGGTTGCCCCAAGTCACCACGGAGCCGTCCTGCAGGATGGCAGCAAAAGCACGATGAGTTGCTTGGATCTGCTGGACGTGCACCAACTGCTCTCGCACCCGGCTGCTGTCACCGCCCCAGTCAGAATTGCCCCAAGTCACAACTGAGCCGTCGTGCAGGAGGGCAGCAAAAGCAGATTGAGATGCTTGGATCCGCTGGACGTGCACCAACTGCTCTCGCACGCGGCTGCTGTCACCACCAAAGTCAGGATTGCCCCAAGTCACCACAGAGCTGTCCTGAAGGATGGCAGCAAAAGCACGCTGAGTTGCTTGGATCTGCTGGACGTGCAGCAACTGATCTCGCACCTGGCTGCTGTCACCACCAAAGCCAGGATGGCCCCAAGTCACCACAGAGCCGTCGTGCAGGATGGCAGCAAAAGCAAGATAGGTTGATTGGATCTGCTGGACGTGCGCCAACTCCTCTCGCACGTAGCTGCTGTCACCACCACAGACAAGGTCGCCCCAAGTCACCACAGAGCCGTCCTGAAGAATGGCAGCAAAAGCATGCCGAGTTGCTTGGATCTCCTGGACCTGCACCAACTGATCTTGCACGTGGCTGCTGTCACCACCAAAGCCAGGACTGCCCCAAGTCACCACAGAGCCGTCGTGCAGGATGGCAGCAAAAGCATGTTGAGATGCTTGGATCTGCCGGACCTGCAACAACTGGTCTCGCAAGTGACTGCTGTCACCACCCCAGCCAGGATTGCCCCAGGTCACCACAGACCCGTCCTGCCGAATGGCAGCAAAAGCACCCAGATTTGCTTGGATCTGCCGGACGCGCACCAACTGCTCCCGCACCCGTCCGCTGTCATGACCCCAGCCAGGAGTGCCCCAAGTCACCACGGAGCCGTCGTGCAGGATGGCAGCAACAGCAAGATGGGTTGCTTGGATCTGCTGGACTCGCACCAGCTGGTCTCGCACCAGGCTGCTGCGTTGGCCCACTCCCCAAGTCACCACGGAGTCTTCGGTATACAGGACAAACCCCTTTGGTACGGAAACCAACTTGACGCTCTGCGCAATCGCGTCAACAGTGTCCCCATCTCGCAGCCCCGCCTCACTTAAGGTGCGCGACAGATCCAGCAGGCGACCGCCGAACACCAACCTCACTTGCCCCTTAGGGATCTGGAAATAGAAGGTGATCGCCTTTGGGGGCCATAACTTAAAGTGGACCAAAATAGTGGTTGGAGGACCCTTTGGTGCACACCATTTGGGCGGGGATCTATGTCCACCAGCCACTGTTGAGGTGGACCCTTCTTAAAATTCATCGCCAAATGGGAAAACCAAAACTAGGTCCTCCAGTAGAGAGGTTTGAATAAGGGTACCTTTTTTTTCTGTATTCTAATAGGCGGACCCTCCCAAACCAAAAAAAAGGGGTCAAAGGTTGCACTGCTGGGGACTTAGTCCAAATCCCCAAAAAGTGACTCAAGTCCATGAACTCAGGAAGTGAGTCCTTTTCTCAACATCAAAAAAGTCACCAGTGCCCTGCCGAAAACCAAAAAGTCAGCACTGCCAAAAAGGGATTCCAAGGTTGATTCGCTGAGCGACCTCACCACACCGCGGCGCAGGCGCCGCTGCGCCTCCAACTTCAGCCAGCGCAGAGGCGTCTCTGGCGATATCGTCACGGCGCAGCTGCTGCCGCTCAGGCTCGCCAGGCAAATCTCCACGCGGGCGCTGGCGCTCATGGCGTGGGGCGAAGAAAAGAAAAGCAGCCCACCCGCCGAAGCTTTTGTTGGTAAGGTACCTACCCCAACATTGATACAACATCCTATGTCCAAAGATGCATTGCACAGAGGTACATGGCTAGCCGATGGATCGATCCCTCCAACTTCCGCCCCACATAAATAGCCTCCTCTCCAACACTCATGGAAGTGGACCCAAAAGCAAGCTAGTCCAAAACTCCCCTGTCAGCTTCCATGATTGGAGGGAGGGTAGATCTCCAAAAGGGTCAAAGGAAACGGATTTCTTTGCTTTGTCTGTTTGATTTCAGGATTTGAGGAGAAGCCCCGCAACGACTTGAAGAAAAAAAACAAAAACAAATGCTGGAGCTCGACAAACTACGGCTGTGGTAGGGGCTCGCCCGGGGCAGGGAGCCCAAATGAGCCCAAATGTGAAGCCCTTGAGGCTTCCCGGTCCCCCCTCCTGCCAGCCAAGCGAATCCCAGAGTTTACCAGGCGCGGACCTGTTGAGACGCCGCACCCACACCCAAAAACGATACAATTAAATGGAATCCAATTGCAGGGAACCACAACCCAAGATAACTTGTTTTAAGCGATCGCAACCGCTGGGATGCCCGGGGCGACTTTGAGAAAACGGGCGTTGGGCCTATATGTTTCCAACAGTGTGGATCCAACCGGGTGTCACAAGAGGGGCCTGGAAGACTCAGTTGCCCAATGAGTCAGAAATGAAAGGTTAACCTTTTGGGACCTTTACCAAAAATGGTCCAAATGAGGAAACCAAGAGGTCAAAAGGCTGGCTTTGGGCACCTGAGAAAGTGTCACGTAGGTCTGGACAAAAAGCATGCTCGTTCACTTTGGGTTCCCTTGTGGCGCAATTGAAAACTGTGAGCAGTTTATCACCCCGGCAAGAACACACGTTGTGCGCAGCCCAATTTCAACACAGATGCTTGTGCTGTGGATGGACAAAATCCTGCACCACCTAAGAAACCCTTGAATGATGATTCCCCTGTAAATACGTGGTTTCTACGTGGTGCGAAATGGATTTCGCAACCATCCACAGTATTAACCCGGAGGACCCGACTAGTCCAATGAACCAACAAAAACGATCCGGCCCGCTCTTTCAGCTTCCCTCTTGGTGCTTTGGATTGTGGCTTGGCTAGCGGGTGCCTTTCCCCTTTGGGTTCAAAAGGTACTGGGGTTCGAATCTCAAGCCATCAATCCAAACCCTCTCATGTCGACCCCAGAGGAAGAAAGCAAAACGTCCTGTTGCTACGGGGGGAAGTTCCCTCCACAAGTGACGCATCCCCACTAAAAGGGGGCACCTTGGGGGATGCCCATTGAGGGTTACTTGAACTTTTTTTTCTCACCCGAACAAATAAAAGCAACAATTACGTCCCCGCATCGGAAAGGAAATGGCAACAACGCACGGAAATGCCGTGCATTCCAACAAACACAATTTTTCAGCATGCCACGACTAAAACACAAACACACGAGAACGAGATACAAAGTCTCAAAATGACAAAACCAAGCATGTTGAAGTAACATGATCATTAATCCACAAACGAATGCGCTCTGCTTAACCATCCTGAACCTAAAAAAAAGGAATCGCACCCAACACAAGCCCTCAGCATTAGGCGGCAAAAGCGCCTGTGAAACGCTCGAAACCACCACTTTGGCAAGGGCGACTCTACAGCCGTTCGAGTTCAAGCCTAATCAGAGTGCTGTCACCGCCATAGTCAAAACGACCCCACGTCACCACAGAGCCGCTGTCCAGGAAGGCAGCAAAGGCACCTATGTTTGCTTGGATCTGCTGAACGTGCACCAACTCCTCCTGCACCTGGCTGCTGTCACCGCCCCAGTCAGGGTTGCCCCAAGTCACCACAGAGCCGTCCTGAAGGATGGCAGCAAAAGCACCCATGTTTGCTTGGATCTCCTGGACCTGCACCAACTGCTCTTGCGCGTGGCTGCTGTCACCACCATAGCCAGGATTGCCCCAAGTCACCACAGAGCCGTCGTGCAGGATGGCAGCAAAAGCGTGTCCAGATGCTTGGATCTGCCGGACCTGCACCAGCTGATCTCGCACCCGTCCGTTGTCACCACCCCAGTCAGAACGGCCCCAAGTCACCACAGAGCCGTCGTGCAGGAGGGCAGCAAAAGCAAGATCAGTTGCTTGGATCCGCTGGACGTGCACCAACTGCTCTCGCACGTAGCTGCTGTCACCACCACAGTCACGATTGCCCCAAGTCACCACGGAGCCGTCCTGCAGAATGGCAGCAAAGGCACGCCGAGTTGCTTGGATCTGCCGAACGCGCACCAACTGCTCCCGCACCTGTCTGCTGTAAGCACCCCAGTCAGGATCGCCCCAAGTCACCACAGAGCCGTCGTGCAGGAGGGCAGCAAAAGCACGATGAGTTGCTTGGATCTGCTGGACGTGCACCAGCTCCTCTCGCACGTGGCTGCTGTCACCACCCCCGTCAGGATCGCCCCAAGTCACCACGGAGCCGTCCTGAAGGATGGCAGCAAAAGCACCCAGATTTGCTTGGATCTGCCGGACGCGCACCAACTGCTCCCGCACCCGTCCGCTGTCACCACCCCAGCCAGGAGTGCCCCAAGTCACCACAGAGCCGTCGTGCAGGATGGCAGCAAAAGCGTGTCCAGATGCTTGGATCTGCTGGACTCGCACCAGCTGGTCTCGCACCTGGCCGCTGCGACCAGTTCACCCCAAGTCACCACGGAGTCTTCGGTATACAGGACAAACCCCTTTGGTATGGAAGCCAGGTTGAAGCGCTGCACAATCGCGTCAACAGTGTCCCCATCTCGCAGCCCCGCCTCACTCAAGGTGCACGACAGATCCAGCAGGCGACCGCCGAACACCAGCCTCACTTGCCCCTTAGGGATCTGGAAATAGAAGGTGATCGCCTTTGGGGGCCATGACTTAAAGTGGACCAAAATAGTGGTTGGAGGAGCCTTTGGTGCACACCATTTGGGCGGGGATCTATGTCCACCAGCCACTGTTGAGGTGGACACTTCTTAAAATTCATCGCCAAATGGGAAACCAAAACTAGGTCCTCCAGTAGAGAGGTTTGAATAAGGGTACCCTTTTTAACAGTAGTCTATCTTAATAGGGGAACCCTCCCAACCAAAAAAAAGGGGTCAAAGGGCACGTAACTTGGGGGTCTAGTCCAAATCCCCAAAAAGTGACTCAAGTCCATGAACTCAGGAAGTGAGCCCTTTTCTCAAAATCAACAAAGTAGCCAGTACCTTGCTGAAAACTAAAAAGTCAGCACTACCAAAAAAGGGATTCCAAGGTTGATTCGCTGAGCGACCTCACCACACCGCGGCGCAGGCGCCGCTGCGCCTCCAACTTCAGCAGGTGCAGAGGCGTCTCTGGCGATATCGTCACGGCGCAGCTGCTGCCGCTCAGGCTCGCCAGGTAAATCTCCACGAGGGCGCTGGCGCTCATGGAAATCGTGGGGCTTTAAAAACCAAAAGCCAAAAGCCGACCCGCCGAAGCTTTTGGTAAGGTACCTACCGAAGCTCGGGTACCCCCCAACTTTGAGGCAACTTCACAAGCGGATCGGCCGAAGCAGATCGATCCCAACTTCCGCCGCCAAATAGCCTCCTCTCCAAGAATCATGGAAGTGGACACGGGCGTTCCAAAGCAAGCTAGTCCAAAACCCTGTCAGCTTCCATGATTGGAGGGAAACACCCAAGGGATGGAAGAAAAGGAACACCAGTGACTGTTGGCAGCCAATCTTGCAGGATAACAGGGATCCTTACGTTATACACCTGAACATTGCCTTGTAAATGATGGTTTCCCCTTATTGTGGTGGAAAAGCCATGTTTCAAATGGGCAAAATGTATCTTTTAAGGAGCCCTGGATAAGACCTGGGCAAACTTTACAATTCCAACACCTGAAATGAGACTTGGGTCCTTCTGTAAAGGACCTTCATCAAGGGTGTTCGCTCGTTTTACCCTCTTAGATAAATGATTAGTAACCCTAGGCAACTGCAAGACTGGAATCCCGCCAAACAGCCCCAACAAGTGAGAAGCACTGAAATAAACATCTCTACTCTTGGTATGGTAGCGAAAAACTTTGTTTTTTGCAGACCCCCAGTAAAAATGAACAGAACCCCCCCCAAAAAAAAAAACATGCCAAGAACGGTGAAGTAAAGCTGGGACTCCGGGGACTGACGAACCTGGACCCCTCCGAGCACACCCGAGGAGCAGCCGAGCGCGAGAGATCTCGTCTCCTCCGAGCGGTCCCTGCGCCGGCTGCCGCGCCGTTCCTTGTCCTTGCGGTCCCGGTCCTTGTCCTGCTGATCCATTGTTTTAGTTGTTTTCCCCCCCCCTTTTTTCCCGGACCCAATAAAGGGGTACATTCAAACAGTTACAAAGACGACTTAAGCCCAACCGCCCCGGTACCTCCTGGAACCTCCCTGAAAGCTGCCCATCACCTCAACTTGGGAGACCCCATAGCTGAAAATAGGGTACATAAAACCCTCTACTAGCAAACCACTTTCGCGGAACCTTTCGCCATGCTTTCGCGGAACCTTTCGCGGCCACACGTGCCACTTTCGCGGGCATGCGTTTTGTAATGATCACTTTCGCGGAGCTTTCGTGGGCAACACAGAAACTGCAAGTATGCACGTTCGCCACGCTTTCGCGGCGGGCTCTTCTTCAACCACTTTCGCCGCAAGCTTTTGCGGGCTTTCGCGCCCTGCGCTTTAGCTTTTGCGAGGCTTCGTTAGGAGACCTCAATCTTGGTTGCTGTTGACCCCCTGCAAAAAGTTTAACTTTTTCAAGGTTTAGTGAAAAACACAATTATTTTCCTAAAAAGTTAAAGTCTAAAGATCCAACCCAGTAGCAATCAAGTAATCAACTCCCCTTATTCTACTAAGGACCTTGCAAATGTCAGAAAGAAATGGGCGAAGGAATGTGCATACGTTTAACTATATGTACACATCATAAGCATAAGCCTACTAAACGATCTGAAGACCGCACCACACGGTAGATATAGATACAGATATTCTCGCCGATGTAGAGATCTAGAAAACGGTATGGATACGCTTTTTGTGGATGTTTTTGCTGTGCTTCCCCCGGTCGGGTGCTTTTCAGCGGAGCAACGCCAAAAACCCTTATGAAGGCTACCCTTTTTTTCTGTAGTCTATTTTAGTAGGCGAACCCTCCCCCAAAAAAAGGTAAAAGGGCCCTAGGGGACCTAGTTTGTGTATGTTTAATTGATTATTCAAACATGAAACTACATGCAAAACTTGCTGAACCTTGGAGAGCGACCCTGGACCCTTCATCCTCTTGCTTCACTTTGCACCGGTCTCCAGCAAATTCATGGGATCAACTACCGGCGTGTCAAGGGATCGAATGGGAGGCCCCACAAAGGTCGCCGAAAAAACGACACAGCCATGTTCCTTTTTGAGGCGAGCCCAACACGGAAACATGTTTTGCAGGATTCGGGCCCCTTTTTGAGATTCACCCTTCCTCCTATTTTGGCGTAGATCAATTGCCTGGAGGAAATTCGTTCCAAGGAATTGGAAAACCTCACTTCCTGCGTGGGCCAGCAAAAGTAGCTATATCAACTTTTTGTGTGCCACTAAAACGGTCAGCTAGGTCCTCCAGCACAGAGGTTAGAACAAGGGTACCAACTTGTTTCCTGTAGTTCCCCAGATAGCTGAAAGCTATAGGGGTTCTAACTTCTAATAAAGAAGGGAAAGTGATTTGCAAGATTGAGGGCCGGGAGCTGGGCGGCATGCAGTTTCGGGTGCTGGTGGAGGTGCCGCTTTGCGAGATTGACAGCCGGGTGCTAGGGGGCATGCAGTTTGGAGTGTTGGTGGAGGTGCTGTGTTGCGAGATTGACGGCCAAGTGCTAGGGGTCATGTAGTTTGGGGTGCTGGTAGAGGTGCTGTTTTGCGAAACTGACGGACGGGTGCTAGGGGGCATGTAGTTTCGGGTGCTGGTGGAGGTGCCGCTTTGCGAGATTGACGGCCGGGCGCGAGGGGGCATGTAGTTTGGGGTGCTGGTGGAGGTGCTGTTTTGCAAAATTGACGGCGGGGTGCTAGGGAGCATGCAGTTTCGGGCGCTGGTGGGAGGTGCCGCTTTGCGAGATTGACGGGGTGCTAGGGGGCATGCAGTTCAGGGTGCTGGTGGAGGGGGCATGTAGCTTGGAGTGTTGGTGAAGGTGCTGTTTTGCGAGGTTTCGGGTGTTGGTGAAGGTGCCGCTTTGCGAGATAGGGGGCATGTAGTTTGGAGTGCAGACGGGGGTGCTGTTTTGCCAGATTGACGGCCGGGTACTAGGGGCATGCAGTTTCGGGTGCTGGTGGAGGTGCCGCTTTGCGAGATAGGGGGCATGTAGTTGGTGCAGGTGCATTCTTGCAAGGCCGCATGCAGTTTGGGAGCTGATTTGGGGTACTGCTTGGGGTGTTGTTTGAGTTGTGGGCGCAATTTTCGGAGATTGCCGGCGGGTGCGGGTGGTGCTGCAGGTGCTGTTTTGTGTTGCTGTTGCTGCTGACCGCGTGGGCTTATTTCCCAGACAACTGGAAACCATAGGGTTTCTAACTTCTCATGAAAAAAGGAAATTGTTAGCAAGTCGACGGCTGGGAGCTAGGGGGCATGCACTTTGGGGTACTGGCGCAGGTGCGGTTTCGGGTGCTGTTCGGTTCAGGTGCTGGTGACAGTGCGTGACGGCAGGGTGCTCGGGGACGTGTCCGGTGCTGGCGCGGGTGCTGCGTTGGGGTGCTATTGGGGCTGCTGTTGTCGGGTGTTGGCGATGGTGCGGGCGCATATGGATGGCAGGGTGCTAGGGTTTGGGGTATCGTGGTTGTCGCATCATCATGATGCTGGCCGCAGCATCATGATGCTGTCCGGACAGCATCATTATGCTGTTGAACCGGTTCGGACGTTGTTGCTGCTCTAACTGTCGCGCGTAATACCACGTCATGATGCTACTGCAATCGCTGCGATGCCGCGTTATGGTTCGTGGGTGTGGTGGTGGGCATAAATGCTGTCAACATCAGGATGATGCTGAATTTCATTACACTGTCGCAAAATGATTCCTGGCTGTGGTATCATCAGGATGCTGCCTTTGCCACCACCATGATGCTGTGAGCATCATCATGATGCTGTCGAACTCATCAGGACGTCATGCTAGCTATGTAGCGCGGAATCGTTCGTGACTGGTGTCTCAGCATCATCCTGTCAACATCATTGTTTTGCTGATGAACTCACTGGGACGTTGTCTGCGCGTCTATGTATCGCACTATGCTGAGTAGCAGTGATGTTTTCATCGATTTTCATGATGCTGTCAACATCATCAAGATGCTGTCAACATCATCATCATCATGCCGCGGGAATTATTATGATGCTGCGTCATGGTTCGTAGCCGTGGCGTGCTATCTGGGGTCTATGCTAGTGTAATTTATTTTAGTAGGGGAACCCTCCCAACCAAACAAGGGCAAAAGTTGGCACTGGGGGACCAAGATAAACTCTTTGTGTGCGACTAAAATGGCCACGAAAAATCCCCAAACAGTGATTCAAGTCCCATGAGCCCGGGAAGTGAGGAGACTCAAAATCGAACAAGTAACGCGCTGCCTGAGTTCATGGCTCAAAAAAGTCTCAACTGTTGGTCTACCACTAAAATGGGTCTTCCCAAAAAGTGACTCAAGTCCATGAACTCAGGAAGTGAGGGAACCAGTGACCTTGGCCGGAAAAAAGGACCCCAGCAAAAAGATATCTCTTTTTTGCCTGGTGAGTGGAAAACAAAGGGAACCCCAAAAAAGCGGAAAAAAAAGAAGCAAACAGGGGAGCTAATTCTGGGGAAGTAACCGACTGAAAGCCCGTCAACATTTCACCCAAAAGGCCCCGAAGACCTTGCCCAGTCCGTCCTCGGACCGCCGGCCTCTCCTCTCCCGGTCCCGGTCCTCACAGCTGAAGTGTTTGCCTAATCCTCTGTGGGCTTGTCGGGAGCCCGCAAAATGGCTTGGGTTTTCCTCTTTGGTCTAAAACAGGTTTTCCTTCTTTCATAAAACAGGGTTTCCCTTTTTTGGTGCTCCTTTAAAACTGGATTTCTTGTTGTTGGCTTTCCTTGCATGGCTCTCTTTGGCTTTCAAAATGGGATACCAACTAAAAGAAGAAATTCACCCCCCCTGCCCTGATTCAATCTGTGGCGAAAACTGGGCTGTCCGTTTTCAGATCCCTTGGCAAAAAGCGCGGCTGGAAAATAAAAAAAATCCCGTGGGAAAACTGGACACCCCACTCAGACCAACTGGAAGGCAACGAACCCCAGGAACCGGATGACCAAGGTAAACGGGATGGGCTTGAGAGAGGTCAAAGGGAGCTTCAGCTTCCAACTGTAGCGAAAAACCGGCGGTTTCCTTCCTAACCCGGGAAATCTTGCTGCGAGAGCGATGCAGAGAATGAGAAATGGAATGACCCCACGATAAACCATCCAACTGGTGGTTTCTTTTGAGGGGACCCTGCGTTCATTCCCACATTCCCTACTGAGCACCAGCAAGTCCAACAACTCAGCACAAAAAACGTGCCAAGAACAGCAGAGACTGCAAAGCAAAACCTCGAAAATGATCAAAAGCCAAAAAAAGGCCTGTCTGCTTTGGCAAAGCCTCATCTTCAGCATAGACAATGTTGCTTGCGGCAAGCTGTTGCTTGCGGGGGCAGTTCGGCCATTCCCGCGCCAAAACAGAAGCACGGAACACCCTTCTGCTGCTCCGTGTCGTTGACTTCCATTTGCTTTTTAGACCCCTGGAACAAATGAGCAAGTATTTCCGGTAGGAATCGATTCCCTTCAAAACCAACCAGGGAAAGAAGCAACATATTCCTTTCATCAAATGGACATGGAGGCCTTGGAGACTCCTGCCAAACGGGCCTGGCATCTGCGTCCTTGCGTCCTTGCGGCCTTGGAACTGTAGGGCCTCGGTCCAGATGGCCTTCCGCCAGCCAGCAGCTGGTCTCCTTGGAAAAGCATCTCCTTCTTGTAGCCGAGCTCTGAGCAACCAAAGGCCCAAGCTCCAGCGGAGCTAGCTTTCAACAGGCCCAGCAATTCAGCCTGATGGCCTTGCGTGGCAGCCTTGATTCTGCCGACCGCTGACCAGTTCAGAATGACCGAATAGACCTTAAAAGTGATACCCAACCGAGGCAAACCAACAAAAACAAATACCTCACAACTCGTGGTATGGCAGCAAACAACCTTGTTTGTCGCAGTCCCCAACCAAACAAAATGAACAGAACCACAAAACACAACTACAACTCGTGATAAAACAGCTTTGTTTGTTGCAGTCCCCAACCAAAAAAAAAGAACAGAACCACACAAGACAACTACAACTTGTGGTAAAGCAACAGGTCCCGTTGAAAAACAACAGGGGAACATACACACATGGGCATTGATCAAAAGGTCCTTTACATGGGATCACCATTGGGGAAAAGCACAAGAAAGATACGACATGCCCCACAAAGGAAACGTTACCCAGGGTCACAGCTGCGGGCCAAAGAGAATGTTGATCAACCCCCCACATATTCATTTTGGACAAATCCTGGACCGAATAAACCCTGGAATGGTTCGATGTCCCTGCAAATGCCAACAATGGTTCCCATCGTGCAGGATTTGGTCCATCCACTGAATTCGTCAGCAAATGAGTCACAATCAAAACCCGGTACAAAAATGGTCCACCCAGAACCATGCTTCAGGAATTTAGAAGGCGGAATTCCGCAGCTATTTGTGGCAAGGGGATCGTCCTCTAAGCTTCATCTGCCCGAATCGGTTTTGAGCACGTGGCTCACATGGAAGAAAACACGGCAAAAGCCAGGAATACGGAAAACATGCGCCACTGCTCCTTCTTTGGGCTGGCGCTCTCTTTGCGCTCCTCAGAAGCCAAGAGTATGGAAAAGTTGTGGTGCTTGGCCCTGAATGGCCCATGGGCACAAAAACGCCACGCGGTTTGCATGTGGCTGCAAAAGGGTGTGTGTCAAGCTGCGACCAGAAGACTGAGAAAATGTGAATTCCTTTTAGCTTGCCCTTTAAACAACCTAGTACTCAGTTGCCCGGTTACCCAAACATATTTCAGGTGATCACCTTTTGGTTCACCCTGTATGCTAAACATACTCTGGGTGGACAAAATCCTGCACCACCTGCACCACCTAAGAAACCCTGAAATGATGAAGTCTCTGCAAATTCTACCCAACAATGCTTTCCCCTGGTTTTGAGGTGGTGCAAAATGGATTTCGTCCATCTGCAGTAGGAACGCAAAAGGGGAAAAGCTCAAGTTGCAATTTTGATCGATCGATTCATTTTGGAGTGAGTGGCTAATGGCCGTGATATACTCCATTCGAGCGTCTTGGTGGCTTGGGGATTTCACTGTTGGTGGGTTCAAAGGAAACCCCATATGAATCAACCCCGGCTTAGTAATTGGGGGGGGTGTCCCTGGGTGAAATTTGGGGGGGACAAATCACTTTTAGAGGGGAACACCCCCCTTATTCATAAACTCGGGTTGATTGATATGGGGTCAACATTAAATGGAACCCCCCAATAAACCACAAAAAACACAAGCGGGATTGGCATACTAGGTCCTCCAGTAGAGAGGTTAGAATAAGTTGGTGCTAACTGTTTTTTCTCTTTTGTCTGTTTTAGTAGGGGAACCCTCCCAACCAAAAAAGAAACGGTAAAAGGGCACTACTGGGGGACCTTTCTAGCATTCCCCATAAAATTCAAATGGGTTGTCCTCCGATCCCCCGCTAGTGACTAGCTTTTAGGGGGTCATCAAAAAAAACCACTAAACACAGAAACGCTAAACACCTAAAGGGAATGGCTCGCCAAAATTCAAATGGGCTACTATAAATGAAGATCTCCAGGGGTCGAAATCCCCCCCCGCAATCATTCTAGGGAATATTCATGTTCCATGCTTTGCAACCTTTTCAAACCCAGGCCACTGCACTAGGCTGGAATTAGGACCCCAGCAAAAAAAAATGTTGTTTGCCTGGTGAGTGGAACACAAAGAGGACCCCGGAAAAGCAAAAATTGAAAAAGGGGAGATAATTCTGGGGAAGTGAAATGCTGTTGTCTGGATCCCTACTCTAGGAAGCCTTCTTTTCAAAAACCGATCGCTGTTTCTCCTGGGTTTTGGTGGTTTCCTGAAAAAAACAAAAAGGAATCCTGGAAAGAATGGGGGAAGCTTCCCTAGAATCATGCAATTTCCCAAGGTGGTCGCAAGCAATCCAGCACCAAAGCGACTCACAGCATAAAAACGTACGCCGAGTCGCCTTTTCCTTTGCCTGGACCACGAAGCACGGACATTGCAAGTTAGTTACCCCTACAAATCAACATGGAATCTACGAGGGGGTCCTCAAAAGGAGTTTCCTCTACAAAGTGCTTTTGTCGGTTCCATGAGAATCTGTAGGGGAGTAAGTTGGGGGCTCCATTTTGAATCTTGTCTCTACACCATGTCCCTCGTCAGAACTCCCCGCTCCGAGTCCGGCTGCCGATTGAAGAAGCAACTTGGGATACCCTCAGCCCCCTTCCGGAGCCATGCCGGGCACGGCTGCATGAAGAATACAGGACACATACTGCGGATGGACGAATTCCACTTCGCACCACTTTGAAACAATGGAAACCGTAATGTTTGTTGCTACTCACAGGGGAATCGAATCATTCCAGGCTTTCTTAGCTGGTGCAGGATTTCGTCCATCTACAGTACTTCTATTTGCTTTCTTGCCGCCTGGAAAAAGGGAGAACATCTGTCCAGCAGTGAAATCGGTTCCCTAAAGCAAGCAACAAGATACAAACACATATTCATTTCAGCAACATTGATTCACTTTAAAACCAAAAAGGGAACATACAAAATATTCTGAGATGCAAATGGAAGCACGTCAAACCGTGACCGAGCGACCCAAACAAGAAGGCCTAGGCAAGTGCCAGAGAATCCCCTCGGTGAGTCATCCTGCCCCGATGTTTGGGTTTTGATCTGTTTGCCTTTCCGAGTAAAAGAAAAAAACGAACCGCTTAACAGCTTATTCGCCACCTTCTTCCCAGTAATGCGGGCGGGGGGTGGGGGAGGAGCGGGTGGGAACCGCAACGCAACTATCCCCCTACTGCAAATTCACAGTATTTAAGAGTATCTTTTGGAAACCCAGCTGCTCCAAACAAACTATATTCTTAGACAGGGGTTGACATGCTACCCCCAAAGAAACAAAGAGAATGTGTAAACTCCAACTTACTCCTGAGTAGAGTGGCAAAAAAGAGTCCACACTTTTTGCCTGACCCACTAACATGGTCTGAACCAAATACTATATAAGGCCAGGATCTCAGCAAGTGGCTGCGGGTCAAAACCAGTGGTTCCATTTTGGAGTAGGTGAATTCACCACCCATTTTGGTCTATTTTAGTGGGGATGTTCACTGGGGGTACGATTTGGCTTGTGACCCATGGCGAAGTGAGCAAATGCCGAAGCAAACTGAAATCCATAGATGCCAGCTGGGCTTCTCCTTTTGCGCCGAACAAAAAACACATGCGACCCTCCGCCCGGATCACATCCCGGCCTTGGATTCCGGCTTCTCCTGGGGCAAAAAAAACCAAACCGCCCGCAGTCCTCCCCTCCCCCTTTCTTGGTTGACGTTGGAAGGGGAATGTAAAATGTGTCCCAACAACAACCATGCTTTCTGGAGAAACACTCGTGGTATGCTGCAAAGTCAAAGCGCCTAGGCTCACTTTTCTGAGTCTACCGGCCGAAACAGGCCAACAGTCCGAACTTTCTGAGCGACTCAAACGGTACCCCCAAAAAGCGACGAGAGAGCGCAACGGAACTCAGGGAGTGAGGGGATAAGCCGTGGTCCTGCCACGTGAATCGGTGAGGGATTCTCGTGGGTGCCCGGTTCGAAGGCCGCGGGTTCTGCCCCCAGAACCCCGGAAGAGGCAAGGTGGGGGATCCGGTCCTGTGACCCCCCTCCCCTCCCAGCTTGTTTTCAGGGGGCGCAAAAATGTTCGGAACCTTCTTCTTGGAGTGAGGTTCACATCGCGGTTGAAGCTCGAGCTTTGTGCTTTGGTTCCAGCCAAACAAAGGCAACAAATAAAGGCTCGATATTCAATTCAGGACTTGTCTTGTTTATGTGACTCTTGTTTGTGTTTCGTTCTGAGCAGTATAATGCAGCTATATCACGCGTTTTACACCAGCACGATCAACATCCCCGGCATCGTTGCTTTTTGACTTTTTCAACACCCCCTGGCATATTGTCAGAGTGTCGTAACATAGATCTGCTTTCCATGAGACCGTTGCTCTGCCTTTGCTGCAAACGCTTGCCAAAGTGAGATAGGCATCTCTCCGACAGTAGGCATGGCCACCCCCTTTTTGGTTGGTGAGAGAGCACTTTGGCAAGCGGCAGGGACCCACCGAAAGAAACTCGCAAACAAAGCAAGCAGGGGCAAAGAATCACGAGAGTGGCACGCCAGGAACCCAGCAAAAACACAAATGTGAATTTCAAGAGTCGCACCCCTCAGAAGTGGAAATTCATCGCAACAACCAGAAATTTTCGCAGTGCTGCTGAAAACATTCATCCGCATCTCAGATTGCTTCGAAAGAAACTCGGCTGGTTTACTTGATTTGCAACACGACCACAACACATTTGTGTTTGGCATGCGCAAAAGGCAAAGCAAAGTAACATACCAATTTTGAGTGGTTGCCCATTTGGACACAAACCATGCCTAGACATATTGAAACAGGTGGCATCGATCGACACGGCCCTGCTAGCTTCTGCATGCTGATCAGTCACTATCGGATTGCCGAGACACGGTGGAAATGGAAATCGTAAATCGCAAGTCCCGGATCACAACCAAACATGCCCGTGAAGTCTGATTCCGGATGAAATCATTGGGTGTGTGGATCTTGTTTTAGGTGACCGCCAAAAGAGTGGTTTTCCTGGTGGTGTCCCGTTAAAACCATGGAAAACAAGGGCACCCTCGAAAAAAGGCACGCCCATTATGCCAGGTTTGGGGGAAGTTTGGGGGATTGATTTGCAAAGTGGCGCGCTCAGCGGGGAAGTGGAGCTCTATGGGAAGAACAAAGTGGCACTGAGTTTGACTGTCAAGTGGATTTTGTGGAAGTGGTATCCCATAAAAACTTGTGATTTTGATAGTTGGTACTTAAGTGGACACTGGAAAAAAAGAGAAAGCTACCTTGGGCAATTCTTCGTGTTGCTTAGCTTTGCACCCCGGAAACGGTGAGCGTCCCCGTTCCCTCCAAGCCCCGAAACAACCTTCTCACGACTGGATCGATCGGTTTCTTCATCGAGGCGAGGATCGTCTTTTGGCACCGACTTCTCGGGCTTCTTCAGCTGCTCCTAAGGCTTTTCGGCTTTTCGAGAATGCTTCGGCGGCCGGCGCAGGTTTCCTATCCCCTTGGCTTTCTACCCACCAAAGGCTTCCTATGGTTTCAAAGCGGTGCAGGGAATGCGTCCTTTAGGGCAAATAGATGGGTTTCCCTGGTAGATGAGGAAAAACCACCAGGTAAACCAGGAATCGCCAGCTATTTTTCCACAACGGCCAAAAAGGACGTGGTCCAAACACGGAGACACAAATATCTGGGTGAATTATAATACTTCACCAGCCTGAATAAGGTGAGGGATATTCCCCACATGAATTCGGTGGTGTGAGGTCGTTACAATTCACCCAGACCCTATGTACAAAACAGGAGCTGCTCTTTCCCCATATTTTCTCGGTAGTCTATTTTAGTAGGGGACCTCCAACAAAGGGGTGAGAAAGGGCACTACTGGGGCACCTAGAATCTGCAAACCTGGAACCTGCATCACAACCTTTTACAGATCGTGGCTTCCCAAACCCACTTCCTGTGAATAGACCTTCAATTGATGGAAAATCCGGGTTTGGTTGAAGCCACCATTTGTAAATGGACATCTTTCAGGTTCCGCTGTCATGGTTCAGGTCCCTCAACGGAACTCCCCCCCAATTCCAGTAAGAACTAAACACCGACCCTAGCTGCAGTCTCCACGACCCTTTAAACAATGGGGTCAGTACCCAACAGTAAGGGGTTATGACCCCTTTTTCTAGGGGTGGAGACTCTAGGTCGCCGTTTGCTGGGGCCCTTGGCAGCTTCCTTGTTAGAGCCACTAGGGGCTGTTTTTTTTTTGGGGGGGGGGTGGCCCCTTGGCATGGGACGAGCGATATGAATCTGCAGACCTTCCTTCTTCAAAGCTCCCCTTTGGCCAGGGTGAAAAACGGAATTGCCTTGGGTTAATCAACCAGTTGATCAATACATGGATGGATCGGAACCCTGCATGGATGGACGGAACCCTGCAACTAAGAAATCAGGGCAACCATTGTTTCGTTGGTAGTTACAGGGAAATCGACACATGTGCAGGACTTCGTCCATCCACTCTCTCTCTCTCTCTCAAGCGCTATCCCGCAGGTCTCAAATGAGGAGCACACTTTGAAGATCCCCCTTTTTAGTGGAATCCGTCACTTTTCCCACCATCCCTTGCTTTCCCGACTCGATCGTCCTCCTTTTTCTTCAAGTCCTGAGCCGCACAAGCACAAGGCGATCCGCGCCAATTGGATGCAGGCTGACTTTTTACAACCTTCGTCGTGGGCCCCGGTTTTCGTGACACGATGTTTACACGGTGCCTACATTTCACCTCGCATTAGTCCAAAGGAAAGCTTACTTGAACTGCCGCCCCAGAATGATCTTCAAATCAAAAGAGGGGAAACATGGTCACCGATCTAGAAAACCAAGAGTAGCTGAAAACCTATTTGTTGGTGCGAATCGCAAGATAGGAAACAGCAGAAGCATCATCCTCATCATCCTGGGTCAAGCTTCCATCCCTCGTGTCTTGTCCTCTTCTGTGACAAACTCCGTTCAAGCTGGGCAAAAGTACGGGTGCCAAATCCAATTCTTAATTCAGCTTTTGGAATTACAGTACAATTTGCAGCTGGATGGGTTTGTTTCCATGTTTCCAGGAAAGTGAGAAGCTCAGTTTCCTCTCCGGAAGGGGGTTGTCCCAATTTATTGTTGCACCTCAAAACCTTTTAAGCACAACAGGTGTGTTTCGTTTGTTTGTTTGTTTGTTTGTTTGTTTGTTTGTTTGTTTGTTTGTTTGTTTGTTTGATTCATTGATTGATTGATTGATTGTTTGTTTTTTTGGGGGCAGTATTTTTGTTCTGTTTCTGGGGTTATCAAAGTCAGACACTGGAATTGGTGGATTGCCTGTAACCTGCGGGTTCGGGGAGTGCAGGGGCTCCTTTTTAACAATGTTAATGTTTAGTATTGGGTTTGGGTGTTCAGATCTGATAGGCTTCTTTTCTTTTGTGCCCACGCGATTTTATCAGCTTGCCCGATGCGCGGATTCATATCTTTCTTGTGTAAACTTGAGTGCTTCCCTGTCTTGCGCAAGAAAGCCAACCACAGAGCACGGACTTGTAGCAGGGGTTCCTCGTTTCCGGCTTCAAGACCCATATGCAATCTCGTTTACATGGTTTGGTCGCGGTGCACAAGCTGTTAAACATTTCTACTTTGATGTTCTGCTTCCCGGGTGACGATGCAAATCAGAGGGGCGCCAAAACTTACCCCTTAAAACTCCAAGCCCTGGGGAAGTTAATCTTTCACAGACATATAGCCCATGTTACCCCCAAAAAGTTGAGAAAAGTTGTGTTTTTAAGAGGTAAGTAAAATTACAACCAGCCCCTCTCAAAGCAACGAGTCCTTGTTACAGGCCGCATGCCGAATACCGAATCTGAACTTATTGCCTGGCTTTCGCTCCTTGTACCCGATCCGGTTGGCTTGAGCTCCCGGATTGCTCATTTGCGGATTGTTCGGAGACAGAAAAATAAAAAGGTGAAGCACACCTGGTGGGAGCTTTGCTAAGATTGGAATCTAAACAGGGGCGTTCCAAAACGTCAAAAGGCTGATTCGCTTTGGGCAAGTGAGTAGTCTTCACAACCCTTGGTACGGAAGGAGCACAATGCTGCCGGCTACTGCAAATGGACAGAACCAAAACCAAAAAAACTTCCCAGACACGCACCGGGCACTTTAACAAACATGAGCCCAACAGGGAAAACCTAAAGGCCAAAAGGTTGATCGCTTCGGGGTTTGGTGAGAATAACTAGGTCCTCCAGTAGAGAGGATAGAATAAGGGTACCCTTTTTCTGCAGTCTACTGAACCCTCCCACCCAAAAAAGGGGTGAGAAAGGGGGACCTAGCTGGGGGACCTGGTTCGCTTTGGGCCGTGGCGAGACTGAAAGTACTGAGCCCCCTCTCCCTCGACCATCCCGGCTCCTAGGGTTGTTAAAGGCCGGACCCCCTGGAAATGACGCAAGTCCCCAAATCCCCAAAAAGTGACTCAAGTCCCATGAACTCAGGAAGCGAGTCTCTCAAGCCCCAAAAGCAACCACTTCGCTTTGGGCCTCGGTGAGACTCAAAGGTGGCGGAACTCCATCCAGTTGAATAGTCACTATGGTTTCCTTTTAGGAATCCCCCAAAACCGGTGCATTCCCAACACCGGAATGTCCTTCCGAGGCCAGAAATCGCTAAAAAATAACAAAATGGCTAGTTCATCAAGCCCGGAAGGGCCACCATGGCCACCCCCTAGAGATGAGCCGCATAGCTGGGAGCCACCCAGAAACGTGGCGCCCGGCCTCCATCTTCTTCCGCCGCTCCTCCGCACGCTTCCGCAGCTCCTCGAGCATCCGCACCTGCGAGCTCGAGGCTCTCGGCTCCGGCTTCCGAGTCTTAGGGAAAAAGGCGAGGGAAACCGCCCTGCCCGTTTTTCAGATCTGCTAAAAGTGACCTACTGTTTTGGGGGTGGAAAATTACGACACCAACTAAAGCATGAAGAAACGTGAAGGGGTGGCTGGGCACCAAGAAAACTTGGCCGATCAAATTCGTTGATGTTTTTGCTTACTACAATTGCCCAAACCAAAAAAGATAGTCAACTCAGGGAGTAAGGCTATGGGGAAAAACGGAAACAGGGAAAAGGTTAAGCCTATCTTATGCAAGCTCTGAAATCCAAGGGTAGAACCAGGGGAACTGACAAGGACGGTCAATCCTAGTTCATACCAAAACTGGAAATCCCAGAAAGGCCCGTTTCATGAATGGTAAGAATCTTGCGGATTGCCTTTGACCTCACAAAGTGCAGTTCCAAGTTTCCATCCCAAACCCTGATCCGAGTCAGGCTCGCAGAGCCTCCTCTTCGTCTGCCTCATCCTCCAGTTTCTTCTTGTCGCTTTTTGCCTGCAGTGACTGATTGCCATAAGCGTCTTAGGGCCTGAACCCAGACGCCCCGCGCGACCAGGGGAACAAGAATCGGCATCCGATTTGTTTTTGGGTTGGTTGAGTCTAAAGGGAACCAACCACCCCAATTGCCTGCCATCATGAATTAATGTGGCCTTAACATCAGGAGGGACTACCCAGAACCGCTCCCTCCCAACCCACCGAAGCAAACTTAAAGTTAAGAGCACGAAGCAATCACAAGCGAGGAATCCCGCGCATGGAGCTGCTCGTTCTGTATGTTGCGCTATGGCATTCAACTGAGATGAAACGAAAGCGTTCCTGAAAATGTGCCCTCCCGCTGATTAATGATACTCATGGCAGTGGACCTTTGCACCTCTTCAAAAAGTCTTGCAAACCAGTCATGGGCGTTTCTCAAAATTGGTGATCCCTTGAATTTGTTGAATGTGCCAAAGGGAGTCGACCTTTTGGTTTCCCCCTTTCGGTCCATTCTTAGCGAAGGTTCCAACCGAAAGGTTAGCATTTTATTCCCAGCTCCTTTGAGTACCTGAGGCTTGCTTCCTTTTGGTTTCCCATTAAGTACAGTATCAATCAAAAGGGGGTTGACTGAATCCCACTCAGAGAAATTCCAACATGGTTCGCTGTGCTGGCCGGACCTCTTAAAATTGAGTTCGGGGAGGGGGGCTGAAATTCCTTTTCAAGAATACTTGACAAGAATTGCGGAACCATGAACCATCCCCTCCCCCTGTATCAGGGGCTGAGAGTCACCTTCCAGGTGCATGTTACCCAGCCTGGCTGACTTACGAGCCAGCCTGGCTGACTTACGAGCCTGGCTGAGGGGGCCCCCAAACCCCCTGCACGCAGCAGGGGAAGCAAAAAAACGGCGCTCCCGACCCTTCGACCCTTCGTCTTTCGCGAGCCGAGACGCCGCAGTGCCGTTCTTGTCGGAGACCTGTTCGTGAGGATGATGATATCCCAACCCGCGAAACTCATCTATTGGAGGGGGGACGATTTGGAGCAACACCCGGATGACCCCACAAACAAACTGTTTGCTGTGGCCTTTGGATAAAGCAGTTGCCAAAAAACAAACACGTCCGTTCAGTACTGGAAAAAGGGGCAACCCTTTTCTCACTTCTCGAGTGGACTGGCCAAGAAAGTCCACTCTTTCAGTCTGCCACGAGGGTTGTCTTCCCAAAAAGTTTGAAGTCCATGAGCTCATGGCACATGACCATCCCTGGGAAAGCCACCAAAGATGCATGGAAGAGGCCACCAACAAACACCATGACTTCGAATGGGGGCCCTCAGCCAGCAGTTGACCCACTGGAAGGCGACCCTCAGCCCCTATGATACTATGATAGAGGGGGAGGGGAGTGGTGTGGGGTCCCGCAATTCGCAAATTGAGTATTCCCCAAAAAGGGAATTTCAGCCTTGTCCCCCAATTCCACGTTCAAGGGAATTTCTCTGAATGGGATTCGGCAAAGCGCCTTTTGACTGATGCTGTACTTAGTGGGAAACCAAAAGGAAGCAAACCTCAGGTACCCAAAGGAGCTGGGAATAGAATGCTAGCCTTTTGGTTGGAACCTTCGCTAAGACTTAAGAATGGACCTAAAGGGGGAAACCAAAAGATCAAAAGGTCGACTCCTTTTGGCAAATTCAACAAATTTAAGGGACCACCATGTTGAGAAACACCCATGACTGGTTTGCAAGACGTCCTTTTGAAGAGGGCCAAACGTCCACTGCCATGGTTGTGCAACAAATCACCGTTATCCAGCAGTTGGTGCAATAGCGAATACTCCCATGAACACTGCGACTATTCACCTGCCATGGCCATGTTCCTAAACCAACTGGTTCAAAACCCTGGCAGCATCGAATCAGATTCCCTCTGAATGGTGATTTGGTAATTGGTGGTTTGGAGGCTCGGAGGTGGCTTCCCATCCACCCTCTACTCTACAAGAACCAGGGGTACATATAAAGCGGTTGAAAAACAAACTGGAGAAACAAGCGCCATCAACCCCCTTGAGCCCAACACCCCTTGTTGTTGTCCAGAGGCAATCACACACATGGACACATTTTTGAGTACCATGTTTAGTGGTTGAGAGTTCTGAACAAACGCAACAAAAGCACCAGTTGGTCGAACAGACCACACGGCCCCCAAATCACATCTCAACCTATCTTCAGATGATAGAACCCATTTCCAAAAGAAACATTCAAGCCGAATACCCACGAAGAGCAGGGCGTTGGGCCAACTTCCGGGAGAGAAACGAGTCCAGGAGATGTCTTAGGCTCACTTCCCATCGAGTTGACTAATGTGGACCCCGTAGAAATTTACCCCTGAAAATTAATGGGGGGAAGAAAGCCCCTACAAAAGTGATGTCTGATTCCAACAACATTTCACCCAGAAAACCCCTATGAATAAGCTGGGGTTGTTTTCTATGGGGGCAGCACTCGCCAAAAAGTCACCCAACTTGTTGGTTGCCACTATGGCCCAAAACCAACAGAGTCATAAAAGCGCGAAATGGAACTCGGTCGGGAGTGAAGGTATTCACCACAAAACTGAGAACAGCATGCAACAAGCAACGAAGGAAGGCTTTACCAGCTTAGAGAGGTCGTACAGAAAAGTTGGCTAGGAAAGACTCCCTACAGGAGTGGATATACCGGTCCCACCGGTCCCACCGGTTCGTCCCACCGGTTCGTCCCACTGGTTCGTCCCACCTTGCGCTGGGCCTTTTTCCTCTCCTCCTCCGCTTTGGCACGTTCCTGCAGGCAAAGGTGTCCCTGGTTTTCATGGGGATTCATCATTTGTGGAGGGGAGCACCCCCCAAAAAAGAAAACAAAAAAAACAGCCGGGGTTTATGACTCCGGGGTCGACAAATTCAGAACAGGTGTTCCTTTCGCGGGAAAAAAGAACGAAGCCTGCCGAAGCCGGCGAAACCGGGGAAACCGGTTTCATCCGTGGTCTTTTTCGTCCCCTGCAAATCTCGGTTGCTTTCTGCTCCCCTGCTAAAAGTTTAACTTTTAGTGGTTTAGCGGAAAACCCATTAGTTTGCAAAAAGTTAAAGTCCTAACATCCAAGCAAGATGCAACAAAAAAAACAGAGCATGTTGAGATGTTTCTTTCAGAGGGAACCGGGATGGATGCCCAGCTCGGGAACGCAGGAAACCCTGCAAATTCAACCATGGCTTTTACTTTTTTTCAATATTTAGGGCATCTACCGTACGACCCCAGAAGAATGAAGACCCACAAAGTCCCTCAAGGAAAACCTCAAAAGAGCTTTGCAAAAAAGCTGAATCTTCCTGGTAAAGCAGGGCTCCCTATATTTCCCCAAAAAAGCAACACCTCCACCAAGGGACGCCCACCTTTCATGGGCCAAAAAGATGATGTTTAAAGCCACCAAACAGATGCAAGTATAGGGACCCGTAAAACATCAGCTTCCGGGGCTCGGAAGGTGAGGTAAAAACCAGTCCCCTGGTTTCCCTTTCTCAGCTGCCCTGGTCAGAGCTGGAAATAAAAACGTGATCACCTTTCGAAACCTAGTCTGAATACCTCACTTCCTATATATGTGGATTGGCCAACAAAGTCTGAACTTTCTGTATTCCACAAGGTCCGAACCCAAAAAGCGTAAAGTCCACGAACTCAGGGAGTGAGATATGGACCAAATCAGGGATTGGACCCCACACGGCGACTTTCCAGGACCTCACAGTTGCAGCACCAGGCTTCTCAAGGCTGGTTTTGAATCTATGGCAATCATGTTCATACTCTTACCCCTTAAAACTCCAAGCCCTGAAAAAGTTAATCTTTTACAGACAGACATATAGCCCATGTTACCCCCAAAAAGTTGAAAAGTTGTGTTTTTAAGAGGTAAGTACTTCTACGCCTCCTTGCCTCTGAGCATTCCCGTGAGCCTTGGATGGCTTCCTATACCAAATTGAAACACTACATTGACTTCCCAGCTTCCCCACCCCTGGCATGTGGTCGAACACGTCCTTCTTCGCGAAGATGCTAATCAGAATCAAGCAACTGATTCATACATGCACAAACTCCTGCACCAGTTAGGTGGTCTGTGCCTGTCTCTGTCTGTCTCTGTCTTGTCTGTCTGCGTCTCTCCGTCCGTCCATCCGTCCATCCATCCATCCATCCATCCATCCATCCATCCATCCATCCGTCAATCCGCCTACCTATCCAACTGTACATCCATATAGGTACATATACACTACATAATGCAGTATGCCACATGTGGATCTTGAGATGAACATCTATGCAAATGAGTACAAGATGGGGACCCCGCCCGCAAACCACTTTCCAACAACAATTTTTCATATGGTGGCTATATAGTGGTTGTGTATCCCATTTAACCACTGGGGGTAGTGAAACGGTCTTCTCAGTTGTCCAAAGGAGCCAAACGAGGGACACCAAAAGGCCAAAACGCTTGAGTCTTCGAATGAAGACGTTTATTTTGTTTGGCACCCCCCACTTAAAAATAAACAGAACCTAAACAAACACTTGCTGCAAGACTTGGTTGCTGTTGACCCCCTTGCGAAAAGTTTAACTGTTTGAAGGTTTAGTGGAAAACCCAACTTGAATTCCCAAAATGTTAAAGTCTAAAGATCCAAACCAATAGCAGTCAAGAAGAACAGTGAAGTCCTTTTATTTTTTTGGTTTGCCACAGAACCGACGAACAAAAGGGCGCTCACCTCCGCCCTCCGCCCTCCGCAGTCTCCTCGCGGCGCTTGTTGTAGGCCGTGACCTCTGATCGATCGAGTTGGGCCGGAAGGTCGAACAAAACTCCGAGCTCTATGCTGGGTCTGCCTCAAAATTTACTTGGCTGGAATTAGGACCCCAGCAAAAAATGATATGTGTTTGCCTGGTAGTGGAAAACAAAGGGAACCCAAAACAAAACAACCAATTAAACAGGGGAACTAATTCTGGGGAAGAAAATTGGTGTCTTGTGGGCATATCCGCGGCTGATTCTGGACCCCCCCCCCCCCACCTACTGTGGATGGACAGAATCCTGCACCAGGGGAATCATCATTCGGCCCATTTTTCCATTTACCAGGGTTCCACTACACAGCCAAATAGCGGGAACCCGCCAAACTGGCAGGTCTCCTCGTGGTTTCCCTTGAAGGGTGCTTGCAGGGGCAGGTGAACGTCAGGTATGTAGGTTATACTCACTTGCCCAAAGGACCTGGAAATAAAAGGTTAACCTGTTGGGACCTCTACTAAAAGTAGACCAAAAAGGGAAAACCAAAAGGTCAAAAGGTCGTCTTTGAACAACTGAGTATAACTTCTAACCAGGCTGACTAGCCACTTACTAAGTACCCGATCGCCCCAAAACCCTTGGAAAGGGCAGCGCCCCTTTCGAGCTGCTTCGGTTCTTTCCGTAGGGAGCCTGCTGCTGGAAGTGTATCGGTTGGTCGCCTGGGGCCTCCGGCAAAGTAGTTGCCTGCGGAGTCCGTCGCCTCGGGTTTCTTGCCTGGGCAGAGGTATCGCTTATGGCGCTGTTGAGAGGCGTCCATCGCTTTGCCCTCGCTTTGGCGCTTTTGGGGAGGCGTCCATGTCAAAATTCTGAACCCACAGATTCCTTCTTTTCAGGAAACCACTTTTCAAAAACCCGAAGGAAACACCATGTCCATTTCGGAACCCAAACATTCCTTCTTTTCAGGACGCCTTCCAAAAGCCCAGAGGGAAACAGCGATCAGCGGTTGAAAAGCAGGATGCCGGGAAAAGAATGCGTTGTTTTTTCTCTAGAAAACGGTTTGGACTCGCGCTTCTTACGTGGCTTTCGCCAATGGGTTAGTATATACTCTTTTAATGTCCGAAAAAGGGGTGGATCCACAAAAGCCACATCCAAACCGGAAACATAACAAAAACAGGCTCGTAATTGCGGCATTTCGGCTGCAACAAAATCCAACCGCACGCAAGGATCCCCCAACATCTCCAAGGCCCCGTGGAGTCCCCCAAGACCCCCCTTCCCTCCAAGACTTTTTCTGTACCCTCCCCAAAAAAAAAAGGGTGAGAAAGGGCGCTACTGGAAGACCTAGTTATGGGGATGCAAACCAGGAACGGATCCCCAGGAAAAAGCACAGCGATGTTTTGCAGGTGTCATTGGCAGACATGGTCCAAATTTGCGGGCAAAATCGGTTTTATTTTCTTTGTACTGCAGCAGTGGGTCTCCGGGGGCCAGACAAGAGGACACGTTTTTTCTGGAACAACCACCCGCAGAAATAAACTATTGACCCTTGCTGAAAGTGGACCAAAAAGGGAAACCCAACAGATCAAAGGTCGATTCGCGTTGGACAAGTAAGCACCAGAGAGATGTTGCTTTTTTCTCTGCCAAATCTGTTTGTTGCTTTATTTTTTTCCCGACTGGAGTGGCTCAAACTGAGCCAAACCAATCCCGGATCTGAGAGCTGCGCCGTCCGACTTCGCCTTGTCTTTGGGCTTGTCCTCCTCTTCATCTTCATCCTCGGGCTCAGCTCTGTTCACATGAAGAATCTCCTGGTTGCTTCAGAGGAGGGTGCCTGTTTTAGTTCTGTGCAAACATACACGTGCCGTTCTCAGGGAAACCCCAAAACATACAGACAGTGGGCGGGTTCTCCTCTTGGATTTCGTTTTGAAACCACCACAACTAGGTCCTCCAGTAGAGGGGTTAGAATAAGGGTACCCTTTTTTCCGTAGTCTATTTTAGTAGGGGAACCCTCCCAACCAAAAAGGGGGTGAGAAAGGGCACCTAGCTGGAAGACCTAGACAAACAGGGGTACCAACTTCAAGCAAAGAACCTCCGCAGCCCGCCTCGTCTTCGTCCTCGTCGCTGTCGTCCTTTTCCTCCTCGAGTTGGGCTCTTCAAATGGGTTGCTTTCCTTGGAACCCAACCTCTCCAGTCCGAAACTCGCCGCATTTTTTGTGATGTTTGGTGCTTGTTGCCAACCCACCTGTTGCCAGAGGGCGTGAGACTTTCTTGCAAAGCCCTGTGGACCTCATTCAATATGTCCTCCTCGCAGTGGAAGGGCTGGAATAAACGGAGCGAGCCACTTTCCAGAACTTCCGAGAAGAGCTGGAACCATTTCTTGGGGATTGGACTCGGGATTGGACTCTGGCTGCCTTGCTATTTCGCCCCCTAGAGAGAAAAAAAACAAACATAGAACATCCAGTAGTGAAATCGATTCCCTCTAGAAATCAACAGGGCGAAATTAACAAATGTTCTTTCAGCAAATGAAAGCCACATAAATCAAAAGGATATTGGGATGCCACTGGGCTGGTTTTGCTTGCCACAGAAAAGCATCCTCCTTTGGGCATGTCAAACGGGACCAAGTCACCAAAAATGGCGACGCCCTCTTCCCGCAAGCCAAATGCAAGCCAAATGCAAGCCAGGTCCTTCTTGCTCTTGGCCTTGGCCGGCTCTGACTTCTTGGTCTTCTCCTCTTCCTCTTCTTCCTCCTCCTCCGAGGGCTGTAAGTGTTTCCCTGAACTTGTTCAATAGTTCAGAGAAACCGGGGGGGGGGGGGTGTCAATGAAACTATGAAAACTCGGGACACCCTGCCTCTTCCTCATCGTCGTCCTCGTCGTCATCATCATCCTTCTCCTCCTTGTCTTCCTTTTCCTCCTCCCAAGCCACAAACAGAGTTGGAGCCTCCAAACACGAAAAATAACTGCGGCCACTGGCACCGAGCCATGAACTTGGTTCGAATCTTGAGCCCAAAGAAATGAACATGTTCATTGAGAGGGGGCGCCCCATTTTCGAGGGAATCTTCTCAGATTTGGAGGCAACACTCCATCTGCCAGATTTAGCAATTCAGGGTCCATGTTAGCGGACAAACCGGGTTGCTCCCCTCTCCTGTTCCAGCCTTACTCTCAATTGCCGACGCCAAAACGCGCAGTACCCAACTTGTGACATCTCACCTGACCGGGCGTCGGCTTCCCATAGTCAATGGCACAAAATCAGGGCTCCGGCGTAGGACGCCTCATCAATGAAAAGGTTTTCCGCTGTTCTATTTTTGTCGCCCGGATCTCCGCAGTGGCCTGGCCAACACAAGTCATACCGCTAAGATGTCCAGGAAGTCAGGGGGTGAGTGGAAGAGAGTGCGATTTGTTCCGCTGTTTCTATGTTTGCCCGGATCTCCTTCTTGTCCTCCTCTTCCTCTTCTTTCTCGTCTTCCTCCTCTTCCTGAAAAACAAACACATCGAACTCTGCGCTCGCGCGCTTGAAACATCTCTTGAAGTCGGCCGGGGGTCGTCAAAGGGAAGGCGTGTTCCGAATTTCCAACTTCAGTGGGATATTGGCGCTGCTGGTGGGAGGCGAAAGCCAAATGCAAGCACATAGGGACACTTGTCATGAACCAAGGAACATACTGTGGATGGACGAACTCCATTTCGCACCACCAAAGCAACCCAAAGGAATGTTTCGATTCCTCTGTAACTGCCAACAATCAATGTTTTCTCATGATTTCAGTCCAGGACTTCGTCCATGAGAACAGCATGAGCGATGGTCAAATCCCGAAATCGCTGGGCCATGGTTAGCCTTGGCGGTCTAAATTCTTTCAGGGGACCAGACTTTGGGCCAGTGAGGAGAGGGTGTTTTCAGCAAGGCACACCTGTTCACTGATTCACTCGACTGAGTTGCGTTCAATTCCAAAGGGGGGGGGGAGCCCCAATCCTCCGCAAGGGAGTGGGACTAGTTGGGGATAAGCGGGCCACCGCCATCTGCCAGAAGGATGAAAAATCGATTTTCCATAACCCAGCTCATGTACTCCAACATTTAGGTGGTTTGCCCCTTGGCCTAAACAGGCTGGCTATGCTGACTCAAGCAGCCCTGCCCGTCCTCTTCACTGGATGACTCGACCTTGGTGCACTCTGCAGGTGTGGCGCGGGGCGATATCCGCGATCATGCAAAGCCCTACGCCCAGCCGTCAGGGACGGGGTTCTGGCCATTTCCCCAATCCCCAGACTTTGCATTTACGACTGTGGGTGGACAAAATCCAGCATCACCTAAGAAGCCCGGGAATGATGAATCCCTTGCACATACCAACCAAGAATTGCTTCCCGTGGCTTCAAAGTGGTGCAGGATTTCGTCCATCCACAGTACTAGAACTGTCCAAACCCAAAAATGTCCGGGAACTCAAGGAGCCGCTCTTAAGGCCTTCTTAAGGCCACTTCAGGGCTCAGGGAGAAGTTCGCAGCCTGGGTGGATCCTGTACTCGTGGACGCCTTTTGCGACGCTTGAAACATGCAGAGCCCTGAGCCATGAGGAGTCGAGCGATTTTTCGCGGTTGGATTTTTGGGGGCGCCACCATGTTCCGAACCGATCGGTAGCTCCCTTCGTCCGGCTCCCTTCCAAGCACTAGCTAGCCTCTGAACTGCTTCCATTTAAGCTCAAGCCTGGAACATAAACATATCTCCCCAAGAAAGCCAACAGGGAACATGTACCATATTCTCATTTGGCCATGGGTCAAAACCCCGTTTTTTCCCGTGAACCTCCCACTCCCCACGCAAATAGGTTCTAAAATGGAGGTGCACCTACCCCCAAAATGGGATACCATTGGTTTTGAGCCATATGACTCCACTTCACCAGGATAGCTATTGAGGAAAGTGTTGCTTCCTTCCTGGTATCCTATTTGATGTTCACAAGGGGTACAGGGTTTTGACCCACTGCCATCTCAGCCAATGGAAGTCCGGATTTTGGAAGCCGAGCGGCGACTTGCTTCTTCTCGCTCGCCTTCCTGGCACTGACCTTTTCGCTGCGCTCGCTCTTCTCCGCCCGCTTCACCTCGAGCACGAAGCACCATGGGTGAAGCGAAAACCAGCAACCCCTGAGCTTAACCCTATCCCTTGTGCTCCTCTTCAATTAGGGGCTCCTTTCGGGGGGCCTCATCTAGGTTCTAAAGGAATCCACAAAAATTAGTCTTTCCACCAGATTGCCTCGTGAGATACGGTTTGATCACAAAATTGGGAGCACCTTCTGAAGGTGTGAGTCAGCTTGCACCAATGTCCAGCAGGTCAGTCCAAGGAGGCATGCAAGGGTGTCAAACATTTTTTTTGTCTCGTGGCGTCGTGGCATCCAACAAATGGAAGCAATATTGGCCCCCTGTGGGCTGGTAACCAGGGAGGGGCCAAGGCGAGCAAGGGCTACGTCCTTCCACCCGTAGAGTCAACGACGCGCCTCGGCGCGGGGCTTCTTTGGGCTAGCCGAGGCTGGCTTCTCCTTACCCCAGAGGAACGGGTCGCTCAGCTTCCTTCGATTTGCTGAAACGAACATTTTTTTATCTTTCCCTCTTGGATTTAAACTTACCCCTTAAAACTCCAAGCCCTGGGGAAGTTAATCTTTCACAGACATATAGCCCATGTTACCCAAAAAAAGTTGAAAAGTTGTGTTTTTAAGAGGTAAGTAAAGCGAACCGATTTCACCACTGGACATAGTTTATCTCATTTTTTGCCCAGGGGCGAAGAAGCAAACGGACGGTTCCCAGTCGCCGAGACCTCGAACCGGCGAACACCTGGGTGTTGCTTCGTGCCAATGGCCTCCAGTTGCTTAAGGTCGTCCCCTTTGACTCACTTGCCGAGTGGATGGCCCAAAAAAAGTCCAAACTTTATATTTACCACTAAAATGGTCTTCCCAAAAAGTTTAAAGTTCATGAACTCAGGAAGTGAGTTGAAGAAAAGCAAACCCAGGGTTTGGATTGGCTTTGTCGCCCCCCTGAAGGGAAAAAACATACATTCTGTCCGGTGGTGAATTCGGATCCCTTGACAATCAGGGCAATTATGAACCATCTTCTTAAACAAATGGAGGCCCCGCATGGGTTACTTGTCCCAAATCGCGGAGAGGCCGTGGAAACAACAAACCCCGCTCCCTTATGTTTGTTGCTTGACTTTAGATGGAAGCTTCATCCACAGGGCACCACTTCGGTGTCTGGGATGTTTAGAGCGTCCGTTAAGACATGCCCAATTCAGAAGGTTGCCGAAGTCCTCGTCTTTGACTCGGTCTGCACGAACCCTACCATAGGGGCCAGGAGAAATCGAAAATTGGGCTGCTCGCAGTGGAGAAACTCAAGCCAACAGCTAGGTCCTCCAGCAGGGAGGATAGAATAAGGGAACCCTCCCAACCAAAAAAGGGGTTAAACAGGGCACCGATCGCTGGGGGACCTCGGCTGGTGCCACACTGCCCCGCTTCACGGGCTCCTTAGCTTCCAAAGTTTGCCACACAAATGCACGCCAATGTTTTTGTGTTTTTAGGTATGGGCGTGCAAAGCTGGCTTTTGATGGATGTGTGTCAAATCAAGTTGGATAACCTTGAACACATAGGTGTCCTTCTAGAGAATCGATTGGTTTCCCTGGTAAATGGTTTAAGCAACCAGTCTACACCAGTGGAACCCATCTATTTCTAACCAAACTAACCGATCCAGAATCCAAGGACGCCAATGTTTGAACCTATGTTTCTCGTGTTCAATCCATTTCCGAAAAAGGCCCCTTTAGAAACTTCGTGTCATAAGAAATTTCTTTTGAACACATAAACAAAACGAGCTGGTGCGAGAGATGCAGGGAATGAGGGGGTGAGCCCTATAAACCGTCCGACTGGTGGTTTCCTTTCAGGGGACTCCCAAGTTCATGTCCACCTGGCCTACTGAGCACCCGAAAGAAAAAAAAACGCCTGACCCACGAGCCTAGCTCAGAACCTTCCAAACCCTGAAGCAAAGATTGGACTGCCGAAAGGACTGTGATGGATTCTCGCTTCTCCCCATGAGCTCACCGGAACTAGGCAAACATATTCCATGCGGCTTTTGGCCCTACTAACATTCTTATAGAGACTTGAATGGCCCTTACTAAAACCTCCGCTACACGTGGCAAAACCATATGGGTCTGTCTTTGTTTGAGGGTACCCCTCTTGTGTGTTCACAAAGGGAAACCAAAAGCAAAGGCACGCTTGTGGGGGGTCCAACCTTGGTTGCTGATGACCCTCCTGCAAAAAGTTTAACCTTTTAAGGAAAAAGTTAAAGTCTAAAGATCCAACCCAATAGCAGTCATGCAACCAGAACAAAAGAGCCACCCATATCAAAGGGTGAAATGGCTGCGGTCAAAAATGGGTACCCAAAATTCAACCCTGGTATAAGGATATGTTAACTAAAACCTGTGGTCCGCTGGTGGTTCAATTTTCACCCACAGCCAAAAGGGTAAGGCAAAACACTGCAGACAGCCCAAGCGACTGAGGAGGTTCTCTTCGCGCGGATGGCGGAAATGGCGAAGTTCTCGGCGCGAGAGCGAGTGGATTTTCGCGCGGGGGCGGGGCCGGTGGCGCTTTCCAAGTGGAAAGCAGACGTGGGGAGCGGCTCTTGTTTTAACCATGGGTTGTTCACATCCTGTAGAAAGAAGGAGCCCCTGGGAATAATGGAAATGGAAGGTACTCTTAGAAAAGCACACACAAAACATTGTCGGGGTTGGACTTGAAGGGCAACCCAAACAAAAGGAAGGGCACTAGAGGTGGCTTCATAGGAGATGTGCTCATACATCCATGACACAGGATTCCAAGGCATCAGGCATTATCTCAATGCGGGAGAAACGACCCTCTTCGACCTGGTCCTGTTCGCTCACGTCGCGCCTCGGACCGGCCCAAACGATCAAAGAAGTTGAATTGTTTGCTCACCTCCTGAGTGGATTGACCCACCTCCACTCAGTGGATTGGCCAAAACGAAGAACCAAAGTCGTTATTTACCACCAAAATAGTCTTCGCAAAAAGGTTTGTTTACCACTGAAATAGTCTTCCCACACGCTTTATGTACCACTAAAATAATTTTCGCAAAAGGTTTAAAGTCCAGGAACTCGGGGGAGTGAGTTTGCGGCCATGACGAAGATCATGTAGAAACAGAAGAAATCCAAGGCAAATCCGAACGGGGTTGAACCAATGGCCTCAGCTTGATGCTCGGATGATTCCCCCGGGCGGGCGGAACCAGTTTGGAAGAGCAAAAAAGCGAGTGAGATAGGCCCCAACCCAGGTTAATAGAAGAGTTCTGAGAACCTTTCTGGGAAGAGGGGGCCCAAAGTTCGCAAGAACAAAGGAACCCAAAGTGGCGCGTGCTGGGGACAACCCAACATGATGCTTGAAGCCACAAGAAATTGGCAACCCCCAAGCCCTTGCCGATGTGTTCTCAATCGAGACTTGGCCATGGAAAACCGTGCAGCACCAGCCTGGTCGATGGGCCCATCGTGCGGCACGTTCCACCTCCGCTTCTTGCGTGCCGATGCCCAAGTCTACCAAGCCGCAAGTGGTGAGCGAAAACAACCCTTGGCATGGAGCAAAACCACTACTCAAAATGCACAGATCTAAAAACAAGCAACACAAAAGGCAACACGAAACTAACAACTTGCCAACAACGGTCAGTGAGTTGAAGGAAACACGGCGCCACCTCACCCCGAAGGAGTGGATTGGCCAGCACAATGACCCATAAATTATGAGGTTGCTTTACTCACTTGGGTTTGCTTTTTGTTTGAGGGTACCTTACGTTTGTGGTGAGAAAGCGAAACTACAAGAGGATTTTTTTGGTGGGGGCCTAACAACAATGCAGGCTCTCTTGGAGGGTTGGCAACCTCGCCCCGAACCAAGGGTTTCCAAGTCGTGCCCCCAGTGAACATCCC